TGGCAAGAGGTGTATCTTTACCTATCACCTGAGAGGTGTAAGTTAAACTTTTTCTCAAGCGTATCAATATTGTCCTGCGCTCCACAGATACTTGGAGGTCTGATTGTGTTTACAATAAACCAATAGCTGACTAATTTGCCTCCCTCAAATTATTTGGAGATAGACCTGAAAGGATAAGGTACGGCTTTGATTTGGTTGAATCACGACCTGGCATGTAGTCTGTCCTGAGTCCAACCTCAGTCATGAGTGAGGCATTGTCACATGCATAACACATGACTTATCCTATAGAGAATGCATTGGAGAAGGCAGGGAGCAAAGGCCAGGAGAGACTATCTATTTATCCCAGTCTCCTGTTTGCCTCTTGGTCATTGAGGACACGAGAGAAGGTATTTGGGAAGAATTTGTTCTATATCTTTTATGGACTTTAAGTCCTTTTAGAAGCCAGTTATATAAGTCTTGCCGCTGTACAAAACAAATGAGGCAATTAGGTCAGAGATCAATCCATTTTCAGATAAATTACATCCTTTTATCAATATTAGAGTGTCTCTGTACAGAATGTTTATATTATTTTGCGTATTTAAAGTTTTCAAAGAAGCTGTCTTTCCTCATCTCTTTCCCTGCCGTGATAAGTTACTGGGATGTTCCCAGGAACCCAAATAATAAGGGGCTACAGTGTATTGATTCATCAAAACTGTGCCATGTGGGCACGTCCCATTTGGGCACAATAAAACTCCTCCATCAGTCCCCCTTCACAACACAGCATACAGTGGCTTGCGAAAGTATTCACCCCCCTTGGCATTTTTCCTATTTTGTTGCCTTACAACCTGGAATTTAAATTGATTTTGTTGGGGGTTTGTATCATTTGATTTACACAACATGTCTACCACTGAAGATAAAAAACATTTTTTATTGTGAAACAAACAAGAAATAAGACAACAAAACAGAAAACTTGAGTGTGCATAATTATTCACCCCCCCAAAGTCAATACTTTGTAGAGCCACCTTTTGCAGCAATTACAGCTGCAAGTCTCTTGGGGTATGTCTCTATAAGCTTGGCACATCTAGCCACTGGGATTTTTGCCCATTCTTCAAGGCAAAACGGCTCCAGCTCCTTCAAGTTGGATGGGTTCCGCTGGTGTACAGCAATCTTTAAGGTCATACCACAGATTCTCAATTGAATTGAGGTCTGGGCTTTGACTGGGCCATTCCAAGACATTTAAATGTTTCCCCTTAAACCACTTGAGTGTTGCTTTAGCAGTATGCTTAAGGTCATTGTCCTGCTGGAAGGTGAACCTCTGTCCCAGACTCAAATCTCTGGAAGACTGAAACAGGTTTCCCTCAAGAATTTCCCTGTATTTAGCGCCATCCATCATTCCTTCAATTCTGAACAGTTTCCCAGTCCCTGCCGATGGAAAAACATCTGCACAGCATGATGCTGCCACCACCATGCTTCACTGTGGGGATGGTGTTCTCGGGGTGATGAGAGGTGTTGGGTTTGCGCCAGACATAGCATTTTCCTTGATGGCCAAAAATCTCAATTTTAGTCTCATCTGACCAGAATACCTTCTTCCATATGTTTGGGGAGTCTCCCACATGCATTTTGGCGAACACCAAACGTGTTTGCTTATTTTTTTCTTCAAGCAATGGCTTTTTTCTGGCCACTCTTCCGTAAAGCCCAGCTCTGTGGAGTGTACGGCTTAAAGTGGTCCTATGGACAGATATTCCAATATCAGCTGTGGAGCTTTGCAGCTCCTTCAGGGTTATCTTTGGTCTCTTTGTTGCCTCTCTGATTAATGCCCTCCTTGCCTGGTCTGTGAGTTTTGGTGGGTGGCCCTCTCTTGGCAGGTTTGTTGTGGTGCCATATTCTTTCCATTTTTTAATAATGGATTTAATGGTGCTCCGTGGGATGTTAAAAGTTTCTGATATTTTTTATAACCCAACCCTGATCAATACTTCTCCACAACTTTGTCCCTGACCTGTTTGGAGAGCACCTTGGTCTTCATGGTGTTGCTTGCTTGGTGGTGCCCCTTGCTTAGTAGTGTTGCAGACTCTGGGGCCTTTCAGAACAGGCGTATATATACTGAGATCATGTGACAGATCATGTGACACTTAAGATTGCACACAGGTGGACTTTATTTAACTAATTATGTGACTTCTGAAGGTAGTTGGTTGCACCAGATCTTATTTAGGGGCTTGATAGCAATGGGGGTGAATACATATGCACGCACCACTTTTTAGTTATACATTTTTTAGTATTATTTGAAATAAGTTATTTTTTTCATTCCACTTCACCAATTTTGACTATTTTGTGTATGTCCATTACATGAAATCCAAATAAAAATCCATTTAAATTACAGGTTGTAATGCAAAAAAATAGGAAAAACGCCAAGGGAGATGAATACTTTTGCAAGGCACTGTAGATCCCAGATCTCAGCAGGCTCTGGGTTATAAAGTAATGTCTCCTGGAGATTGTTTAGCCCTGCCCTTGTTTCTGTTATACAGCACAGAGGCATTTCCTTGAATTCTGCGCCAGGAGTGCTAATGCCTTCGTATTTGAATTAAGAGGGTTGCTTCCTGAGCTGGTTTACTCTGGCTATGAACATTCTCCTATGAAAGGAGGGGGTCTGAGATATGGAAGGAGATTTCAATCATGGAGCTTTTCTATTTTGCTTTTGTAAATATCTGGCTAGAAGGAAGTCAGGGAGTGGGATGCTGTGTATTGTGTCTAGAACACTTTCACAGTGAGAAATCAGTCCAGTACATAGATTTCAAACATGACGTCCACAGAGTCGTTTTTTGTTCCGGTCCAGACCGGCCTTGATTTCAGCATCCACAGACATTCAGTCCAACATGATTTGGCCCAAACATAGATGTCTATGTTTGGTTCAGATTTGGTACCGTCCGGACCGGCCTTGTTTTGGACAAAACATAGATGTCTATATTTGGTTCAGATTTGGTCCGGACCGGCCTTGATTTGGCCCCCCAAAAAACAGCTATGATTGGTTCAGATTTGGTCCAAGTTTGGACAGCACAGTACAGCACAGTACAGTAGAGCACAGTATAGTACAGTACAGTTAAGTATAGTAAAGAAAAGTAGAGTAGAGTATAGTTCAGTACAGTAGAGTATTGTACAGTAGAGCACAGTAGAGTAGGGTACAGTATAATGCTCTGTATTGTACTGTACTGAACCCTACTGTACTCTACTGTACTTTACATGCTTTGCAAATGTTCATTTTGAAATTTACATTTTGGTAATTTAGCAGAGACTCTTATCCAGAGCAAATTACAGTCAGTGCATTTAGCTAAGATAGATAAACAACCACATATCACAGTCAACGCAAGAAAAACGTGTCTGTAACTGTTACTGAGAATGTTATTATAGTTGAAGTGTTCTGTTGGTTCTTTCTGTTGTCAGAAAACTTTGAACATGATCACTGCCAGTTTAAAGCTTTTGACATATGGGAGTAATAATAAATGTTCCACACTGCAATCTTCACTGCAATGTAATTACATTTTTGGAATTACATTTTTTGAATGTGATATAATGCTTTCTTCATTGACATGCAGATATAGGTGAATAAATGTATGGTTGAAATTCGGGCATTGAAACAATGACCAAAAAATATGAATTTTAACTCAGGAAAATACTTTATCAAACTCTGGAAAAGACGTCAATAGTAATTTTGCTCACTGGGCTGTCATGAAAGCTATCTGAGGTCAGCTCCATTTCAATAGTCTACACAGTACCGGGTCACTTGAAGGAATCCACTGCACATTGCCTCACATAACATGTATATAACAGGTGCTTAATATCACATATACCATTAATATTATGAGCAATGTGTTTGTGAGTTATGATAAGATATACTGCCCAGTGCCTATCCATATCCTATTCCCTGTCCTTTGGCGACTGCACAGGCAATAATATATTTACATTAAAGTGTTTTACTGCTACTCAGGTGATTGATTTAAACTTTGAGAGGATCAAGATAGTGCATTTGTCAGAAGTTGATTTGGTTTAGAAGATAAGAAGAACTCCAAGCTCAGCGGTGCGTCCTACTCAATGATGGGGAGGGGTAGCCTCATTTACGTCAGTGCGTCTGGTTCGAGTGCTTGGACAGTCCGAAAATGTTAAAGCGTTCCTGGAGCAACACCGCATATCTGCGCACGTATGTGGATGTAAATATGTTTACGATGGAGAGAGGTATTATTGGTCAAGATAATGATTCTAAAAGCAGTACACATCAGAGTAAATAGTGGAATTACATCGCTGGAGGCAACACTGAATGGCAGCCCCCCAAAATGTAAGTTGAATTGCTCTATTACAAATTAGGCTATACAGTATATTGGATAATGTCGGTTAATGAAATGGGGAACTGATATCAGGTGCTTAGAGATATATTGACAATATATTTGTTATGGTGAGTGTTATGATAAAATATTAGCATGACATTTATTTTTAGCATGATAGGCTATTTTATTCTTGCTATATAATTCCTGACAACCAGTCTGAAAAGTTGCCATTTTAAATGTAAACTCACTTTTTGATTCTAATAGTAGGCTAAAATGTAGCCCAACCGGCCGGCAGATTGCGCTATTATTCCTTTACGTCGTTTGTCATAGCGCCATCTGCCGGCCGGTTGGGCTAGCTAATATGCTTGGGGTCATAATCTTGCTATTTGAGAATGCTCTTGCGGCGAGAGGTGCTTGCAAGAGGAACATTTTGAAAGATGGGACTGTTATGTTTCCAACAATTATCTTCATCCAGCAAAGTGTGTCAATGACAAATGTAGTAATTTCAAGGAGATAGTTAAGCTTTTGTGTGTTTATTGTCTACATTTTACAGATGATTGAGGTAGCTAGTTGGAGAGTTGCATTGTTGTAAATATGGCGTAGTCTACTATTATTTTTCTACGTAACTCCTATCTCCATTTTATAGACAGTTGGGCTGGCAACAACCACATCTCCAATAACTATATTCTTGTTCTAACTTCCGTACAGATCTCTGGCCCTTCAATGAAGCTCCACTGCCCAACTCTTGTGACCCTAGAAGTGAAGTGACCTACATGGATCCCCTATTTGAGCTGTCATCACTCTCTCCCCCCACATCCACCCCACCCTCATCTATGTCCTCTCCACCTCCCCCAACCATGTCTCCCACACCACACCCAACCATGTCTCCCCCACCTCCCCCTCCCATCTCCCCACCACCCCCACCTCCTCCACTGCCCTGTGGCCTCCACAACAGTCGTGATGTCCTGCAACGGTCCAAGTTACGCAACCTGAACTGGGACCTCATTCCGAAGGAGAAGGTAGAGGGCCGTCAGAGTGTCTGGAACAGTCCAGATGAGTTCCACTTCGACCTGAGCTCGTTGGACGAGCTGTTTGGACAACAGAAGAGGTCTCGGCCCCCCAAGAAGGACTCCAGTTTACGGCATGGTCTCAGACCCATTGGCTCCCCTCTACGCAATGCACCTGAAAAGGTCACTGGTATCCATATGTAAATGGGAAGGTTTAGCCATGTCTATTAGTCTTTATTGTAATGAAAAGTGTATTCCAGGTGTGGTGCTATTATCATACTGCGGGTTGTTTCCTTAGAGAATGATTGGGGTGTGGCTGTATGTTGATTGTTGTTCTGACTGTTATTCTCTGTCTTTGTCTGAACCTGTAGGTATCACTTCTGGATGGGAAGCGCAGTATGAATGTGGGGATTTTCCTCCGGCAGTTCAAGAGGTGGGAGAGTTATTTTACCCTGATGAAGACAGCTTGTCTGTCGAAATGTTGGTTATTAGGTTATTAAATGATTGCATCTGAGCTCCTAGAGTGTGCAGCTCTCTCTTTTTCTTTTTCAAGTGAGATATTTTAAACCCACTTTAATCAGGTTTGCAAAATAATGTCACTATCAGATAAATGTTTAATGTAATCCCTGGCATGTAACATGTCCCTGGCCTAACAAGCATTAGAGACAGAGGTATGACGTACTGTATAGTTTAAAACTAATCATGACTGTTTGTAACTCATTATAACTAATTTCTTCACAGTGCAGTCAGGGAGATAGTGGAGGACATCAGGCAGGGGGCTGGGCAGCACTATGGGAGTGAGATGCTCAGTGAACTGTGCAAAATGCTGCCTGAGACGGAGGAGGTACTGTGGAGTTGTGTCTGTCTCTCCATATCATCTGTCTGTATTTAGTGGTTTTTATATCTACATGTTTTTTCTGTCCTACAGTGTACTAACTCATGTGTCCTGTTCTGTAGGAGAGGCGTCTGAGGGCGTACCGGGGGGAGCGTAGCCATCTTGAAGACCCTGACCTCTTCATGCTCCTACTAGTGGAGGTGCCCAGGTGATTAAACATATTTTTGGTGTTTGGTCATCATCCTACTCCTACCAGAAGAAAATGCTATCAAATCCTCCTTATCTAATTTCTCTTCCTGTCTTTTGCATCCCCTCAACTTGTCCCCATTTTCTCTCATTTAAGCTGTTTGAAATGTGGGTTTTCCAATACTCTCCTGTTATTTTCCTTGGTCAGTTATCGCTTGCGTCTGGACGCCATGATCCTGCAGCAGGAGTTTGACCCAGCCTTATCTTCTCTGTGTGTGTCAGCACGCTGCTTGGTGTCTGCAGCCACAGGTGAGGAGACAGCATTAGCCAGAGGGATTGAAATGTGTTTTTCCCAGATTCCTGAACTTTCTTGTGAGATTTCTTTGACTTGCATGTTGATTTTATCTTAGACATACTGTACATTACTATCCCCTCTCTCTCTTTCTTAGAGCTTTTGAGCTGCCCAGAGTTGCACTCCATCCTACGGCTGGTCCTGAGGGCAGGAAATTACATGAATGCCGTGAGTAGCAGTCATCTGGCACCTAGACAGCCAATGCAGCCAGACAGGCTGATTTATTGATTTATTGACAACCAATCTTCTCTCTTCTTTCAAAATGTGTTGAGTGCATGAGTATGAATGAGTAGGAGGGAGTGATCTGATCTTGTCACACCTTCTGACCTTCATCAATAGGGAGGTTACGCAGGCAATGCTGCTGGGTTCCGCATCGCCTCTCTGCTCAAACTAGCTGACACCAAAGCCAACAAACCAGGCATGAATCTGCTGCATTATGTGGCCATGGTAAATATCTGCTAAATATTTCACAAATGGATGTTAAAAGGTTTCTCCAACACTCCTGCTACTAGTTCTACTTGGGTTTCACAGAAATAAAATAATACAGTATGTCTGTCCCCTCTCAGGAAGCCTTTAGGAAAGACCCAACCCTGCTGTCCTTTCCCGTCAAGCTGAGCCATGTGGGTCTAGCCTCCAGGTCAGTGACACACTGAGGATGTTATGAGTGCTTAATGACAAGTTGCTGACATAGTTCTCACATGCTTGAAACAGAAAAGAAGCAGCATTACATAACATTGTGTTTTTGCATGTTTTAGGGGTTTACCCAAGTACTCAATGATGTTGATTGATTGGTTGGTTGATTGATTGGTTGATTGATTGATTGAGTCATTCATCCATTCATTCATTAATTCATTCAATCCATTGTTAATAACAATGTTAGGTCCCTTTACATCAGACTAATCTCACCTTACTGTTCTCTCTCACCCATCAGACTGTCTGTGGATGTGGTGCAAGGGGATCTGTCTCAGTTGTGCATCAGACTAACTGGACTAGAGATGAGAATTCAGACTGAACCTGCTCTCCAACAGCAAATGAAATCCTTCCTCCAGGTAAGTGCTTCCTGTAAAATACGTGTCAAACTCATTTCACGGAGGGCCGAGTGTCTGTGGGTTTTTGCTCCTCCCTTGTACTTGATTGATTAATTAAGGTCACTAATTAGTAAAGAACTCCCCTCACTTGGTTGTCTAGGTCGTAATTGAAAGGATAAACCTAAAACCTGCAGACGCTAGGCCCTCCATGGAATGAGTTTGACACCCCTGTAAAATAATGAATAATATCTCAAAATAAGACCGCAGGACTGCCACTTCAATGTTTCAGAAAGGACCTTAAATTGCAAGTAAATTGATGGTAATTTGGACCAACAATCATAAATTGTGAAAGGTGATTTGCAAGACTTTTGTTGTGGTCTGTTGTCAGAGTGCTGAGGGGAGGCTGGAGGAGGCAGAGGTGGAGGTGGAGGCTCTACTGCAGGCCCAACAGGACCTGATGGACTTCTTCTGTGAGGATGATGTCACGTTCAAGCTGGAGGAGGCCTGCAGCATCTTTTACTCCTTCAACATTCGCTTTCAGAAAGCTGTAGAGGTCAGCACCTAAGCAGCATCTGTTGGTGTTTAACCATATTTTCACTTCTCCCATTGATATGAATGAATATTTGTTTGCTACAATAATGTGTGCTGGTTGGCAAGACCTCCATTGACACACTTTTATTTGCCCTAAATGATTCTGTTCATTCCAATTTGATAACTCTTCTGATTGTGTTTCAGGAGAATGCAAAGAGGGAGCTTCAGGAACAGAAGCGAGCAGAGAGGGAGAGGGAGAGGATGGAGAGGGACCGGAACAGGACGGTGAGACGTCGCTCCATAGCCACCTGTTCAGCCCTGGAGGTGGGACTCGGGGACACCCAGGAAGAAGACCTGGAGAGCACCCTGGAGAGGAGCCTCTACCACACCTGGCAGAGCCGGCACAACGTGCGAAGCCCAGACAGCCGACTACGTGCCATGAGTCCAACCTTACACAACTTACTGGAGAACATCAATGATGATGATACTACAGAATCATGTGACACACCACCACCAACCCTTGCCCACTCACCACCACCACCCCAGACAAAGCCTCAGCAGATTGTGTCTGCTCCCCCCTCTGACCCCACAAACAGTATGTCAGCCCAGCCTGCCCAGGAGACCACCCCTCCGGTAGACAGACCACAGTCACCTCTGGAGAGTGCCCATCTGCTGAGACGTGTAGCATCCAAAGTGGTGACCCAGCAGGGCAGTCTACAAGAAGTGTCTGCCCCAGACAAACAGCATGACACAGCCTCTGCCCAACTCACCACCAAGGGACAGTCACAGAAGCCTGGGGAATGGGAGCGTCTGTATCCATGCAAGGGAGACACAGTAGTGTGTCACACTCTTGTGACTGGCCTATGCTCCTATAAGAACCTGACCCCAACACAGCCCTGCGAGGAGCCCATGGAAGGATCCCACTGCTGCTTACGGTTGAGGGACAAGCAGGAGCAGGACAGAGCGGCATCACCCCAGATCCACAGAGCGGCAGCACCCCAGGTCCAGGGGGACAACGTGCAGGACAAAAAGGTGCGCACACCAGCTTCTGGGCTGCAGAGAACTATGCCCAGGAGTAGGGCTTCCACACCCTCCGCAAGCCCCACTTCCACCCTTTCCTCTACTGCCTCTGCCATCCCCACTCCCACAGCCTCGGCCATCCCCAAAATGCAAGGCAGGTCAGAGGCAGCCTCCACATGGTCCTCACGTCTCCCTCTCAGGAACTCAATGCGTTCCCCAACTCCAATCACCTCCAGAGATCATAATGAGGTCAGACCGGAAGGGATTGTTAGGGAAAAAATGCAATTTCTGAATGAGCAGACAAAAAAAAAGCATCCACTTCGTCGACTACTAGAAAAAGCCAAACCAAAGGAGAAAGAGAGAGAGAAGGAGAAGATAAAGAAGGAGGAAAGTGAGATGGAAAGGGAAAAGAAGAGGGAAAGGGACAAATTAAGGGAGCGTGAGAAGGAGAGGGAGGGAGTGAAAGAGGAGAGGGAAAGTGAGAAGGTAAAGCAGAAGGAAAAGGAGAAGGAGAATAAAAGAGCGAAAGAGATGGAGAAGGTCAAGGAGAAAGAGAAGGAGAAGGAGAGGAAGATGGCAAAGGAGAAGGAGCAGATGAAAACTAAGCAAAAGGGACGGGAGAAGGAAGTCAAAGTGGAGCCAGTGATGGAGTCAGCTCTGTGTGTGTCCAAGCCGCTGCGCCTGCACCCTGACTGTCATACCTCTCTGCCTCGCCGTGTCTTTCAGAGCTCTGTGACCACCAGTGCCAAGGTCATACGCTGTGCTGTCATTGCTGCTGTGGCTGTGAATAAGGACAGGAGCAGCCAGTCCACAGTCCCAAAGACTGCAGTTACAAAGCTACCTGGCCCCAGGTCAAAGCTCCCAACTCCACTATCCATGTGGAAGTGAGTCTGCCCACACCCACCCAGTCTGTGACCCAAACATACATTAAAAACCCTCAGATCTGATATGGAGAGATGCCAATAGGGAATCAAGAATAGTACCTTTATTTTTAATATCACACCTCATTGGCTTTAGCTAAGTAAATGATTTAGTACTGAAAATGTGATAAATATTATAAGGTAGGTAATAAAATAACTCAATGGGTCCTCTCAATTTACCTGGAATAACGAAAGTAGGCAAAGGAAAGGAAAAAGAATGTATGGATATAGTGGTATACAGGAAGTTGTACTTAGGGATATTCAACAAGATGCTTGAATATGGAGTGATAGAGAGAGAGTGGGCGAAGAGGGGATAAACAGAGAAGGATCTGGTCAGGAATAAGACCCACTTTTATGAGTTTTGAAGTTCTCCATATTTCAATTGAGAGATGGAGTGGTGCGGTGCTTGTGCTTGTAGGTGACTGCATCATTGAAGATGCATTGAGAGTTTATTTACATTTCTTACCATGCATTTCTGTGTCCCAACTGTACACAAAACAATAAAACCACAAAAATGTTATTTTGTCAGTGATCTTTCAGTTGTGTTTCAATTAAATTCAGTGTGGCTTTTGTTAAATAATTGTGACCAACTCACTCCTCCAATGTACACAGACTGTACTGTAGCAGCTAGCGACTACAACAACCAGAATAAAATACTATTTGGGCAAGAATCCCCGGATGAAATACTTCTGATACAACGACGAAAGGCGGGCGCCCCCATTATTTAAAAAAACAAAAACAAATGTGCAATGCACTTTCCGAACTGTGAAATGCAGCAATACGCAACGAAGCGTCTCGCCTGCCGGAAAACCACACGAAGAAGAAGAAGGAGAAGAAGAAGAAGGAGAAGGAGGAGGAGGAGGAGGAGGAGGAGGGCGCGAGTGTGAGTCAAGAAGCGGTGGGGCAATTTATCAAGATAACCTGACTTTCAGCTCAGTTAGCCAATGGGACATTTCAACATCCATACTAAATTCACTGTGAGTTGTTTTCATAATTGAACCCGGTTAAAGATTATTTCCAAGAAGGTATTCGTGTTCTCGGCCAATTTTACAACCTAAATTGACGTTAGCTTGTAGCTATGGCTAACTTGCGCTAACCCTAGCTAGCTAAAGTTCAAAGCTAGCTACGGAAACACAAGCGCGTGCTAAGTGGCTAACTAGATAGAACTTTGAGCCAACTAGCGTTAGCAATCGCCGTTTTCCTGGCGGATAACTAGCTAACTAAAACCCTGGGCTGTACTGCATGTACACACACGTTTTATTTTCATTCAATTATACTAGTATGTTTGTGTACTTAGCCAAGTAACTAGTTAGTGCAACTTTCTTCTAGTTAACGATAAATAAAGTTAGCTAGCTGTTAACGAGCTAAATAAGTAAGTTAGCTAACTTAGCAGAAGTTGCGAGCTAATGTTTTGCTATCAGTTTGCGTAATGCATTTCACGTTAGCTAAATTATTTATAATGTTGTTATATGTTTTGACTTGTGTATTGGTAAGCACTGTCTGCCTCTGTCTATCAAGGACCAAATTGAAAATAAGTGTTGCAAAACACGTTCATGTGTGTTATCCTCTGAAATCACTGACTACTCAATCTGGCTACTTTGAACAATTTATGATCAGCATTTCATGGTCATATTTCTCCCCTTTCCTGACTATCTCTCTCATTGCCCCGTGTTTCAGGCACCCTAGTCGCCAGTGTGGATGTGGGAAGCATGCAGACCATAAAGTGTGTGGTGGTGGGCGACGGTGCTGTTGGTAAGACTTGTCTTCTCATCTCCTACACGACGAACGCCTTCCCAGAGGAGTACATCCCCACCGTATTCGACAACTACAGTGCCCAGATAAGTGTGGACGGCCGCGCCATCAGCCTCAACCTGTGGGACACGGCAGGCCAGGAGGAGTACGACCGCCTGCGCACGCTCTCCTACCCCCAGACCAACGTCTTCATCATCTGCTTCTCCATCGGCAGCCCCTCCTCTCATGCCAATGTACGACACAAGTGGCACCCAGAGGTATCCCATCACTGCCCCGGAGTTCCAGTGCTGCTGGTGGGCACCAAGAAGGATCTGCGTGGAGATGCAGAGGCGGTGAAGAAGTTGAAGGAGCACGGCCTGGCCCCCACAAACCAACAGCAGGGCAACGCCTTAGCCAAGCAGATCGGCGCCGTCAAATACCTGGAGTGCTCAGCTCTGATGCAGGACGGTGTGAGGGAGGTGTTTGAAGAGGCCGTGCGAGCTGTGCTCTACCCCGTTACCAAGAAAAATGGCAAGAAGTGTGTTCTGTTATAACTATGTGCCTAGACTGTAGGGGGACTGGGGGAAGAGACTCACACGATTGGCGCTGCCATTTTGGCTCCCAATAGGCCTTCCACGTTCTAACCCTCACCACTGTTGGCTTTGCCTGGCTTCTATATTAATTGATTGTTTGTCAAGAGGTCCTCTCCACTAAGATGTGGTTTTAATTGATGCCACCAACCTTCCTATGGATTTTTTGTATCTCTGAAATCAAAACCACAGCGAAGATGCTAAGGGATTTCAATGGTGCCTTCTCAGCCACTTGCTGCCTTGTGTCCTCACCAGCTGCATGTTTAAGAAGATTACATATGATTTGACCCCTCTTTGCTTTTCTCCTTCATCAGGCCAGTCTTGTAATGTGTTGGACATTTTCTGTTAACCTTGGCCTTGTTTTCATCTGATGTGATTCATAGGAATGTTGTGTGTGTCAATCAGTAGCCACTGTTAAACATTATGTTCATCCCTCTGTGCCTTTACAGTAATAGTTGTAGTGTCCCACACCTTTGCTCTTATTGCAATAGGGTTGTCAATAAGAGAGACGGTTTGCCTCTAACATGGTTCATAAGCCAGGGTCGCAGGATATCTACCGAACTAGCCTTGCTGGAATGAGACAAGCAAGGGTGTATGTATGACACTGTTCTAATCAGTGTGCCTGTGTTCAGGGTGACAGTCTGTCTCCTATTGCTCTTTCACTTACTTGCACTCCTTCTCTCGCTTACTCTGTAAAACCATGAGCTTGCCATTCCACACAATGCTTTATTGTCAAAACAAAGTCCTGATTGTGTCAGAGTGAATACAGATTTGGGTGTCTGCTAAGTAAACAGATGTCCTAAAGATTAATCTTATATTTGTATCGCTGGTGGGACAAGTCAGGAAGCAATAATTTGAGTGATCACTGAGACCCCCCAACCCCCTCCCCAAAAAGTCTAACTTCTCAGTCAATTGACCTGCTTATGAGTAATAATCTTTATTTTTTGTCTGAAGTCAAACAGAAACCACAAGTAGAATGTATTTTATGTTCTATTGTAACTGACATCTGTGCTGAATAATGCTACACATTAGGATGTCATAAAAAAAATCCTGTACCGTTTAGCGTTACTGCCCTCATTGAGGTACGTACATGTGTTGAAGGTACCACATATCAGCAGTAATGCTGCTCATTCATGGCTAACTGTTAACTTATCTAAGTGTAATGGCAAGTATGTATGGATAATACTGCAACAGGAGCTGCAATCCTAACAGTTACTTATGTTGCATGGGCATGCTAGTTGGAGAGTGGAAGGTATGGGCCTACATGTTTACCCAAACCACTCTAGCAGGATTGTTTTCAGTGCCTGGTGGTATTATTGGTATGAATGGTTCTGTCGTTTGCCTCATCCCTTTGTGATGTCATATGGGACCTGTAATGAGTTGATGTGCAGCTTCTGTACTTAAGGGCCACAGGGTCAGCTGGTTTTTCCCATCTGACAGCAGCACTGAATTGAATTTGAAGTATTGCATTTTAGGTATAATTCATAGTAAATATGCTGACTGAACAATACATGTGGTGGAAACCTGCAGAGTCTGTAGCACTTGAGAAGTAAAGTTGCACTTCCTCTGTGTGGAAATCTTTGCCTTCTGAAACAGATGGAATGAATTCCCCCCCAACACTGACTGATAACAGATGGGTTCTGGTGGAATGTAATAGTTTTTTAAAACAGGTAACCTGCTATGACATGTACATCTAATTGCCAAAATAAAGGAAACACTTGAGTAAATGAGGAGTAAAAGTACAGTCGGGGTCAAAAGTTTTGAGAATGACACAAATACTAATTTTCACGAAGTCTGCTGCCTCAGTTTTGATGATGGCAATTTGCATATACTCCAGAATGTCATGAAGAGTGATCAGATGAATTGCAATTAATTGCAAAGTCCCTCTTTGCCATGAAAATGAACTTAATCCCCCCAAAAAACATTTCTACTGCATTTCAGCCCTGCCACAAAAGGACCAGCTGCCATCATGTCAGTGATTCTCTCGTTAACACAGGTGAGAGTGTTGACGAGGACAAGGCTGGAGATCACTCTGTCATGCTGATTGAGTTAGAATAACAGACTGGAAGCTTTGAAAGGAGGGTGGTGCTTGAAATCATTGTTCTTCCTCTGTTAACCATGGTTACCTGCAAGGAAACGTGCCGTCATCATTGCTTTGCACAAAAAGGGCTTCACAGGCAAGGATATTGCTGCTAGTAAGATTGCACCTAAATCAACCATTTATCGGATCATCAAGAACTTCAAGGAGAGAGGTTAAATTGTTGTGAAGAAGGCGTCAGGGCTCCCAAGAAAGTCCAGCAAGCGCCAGGACCGTCTCCTAAAGTTGATTCAGCTGCGGGATCGGGGCACCACCAGTGCAGAGCTTGCTCAGGAATGGCAGCAGGCAGATGTGAGTGCATCTGCACGCACAGTGAGGCAAATACTTTTGGAGGATGGCCTGGTGTCAAGAAGGGCAGCAAAGAAGCCACTTCTCTCCAGGAAAAACATCAGGGACAGACTGATATTCTGCAAAAGGTACAGGGATTGGACTGCTGAGGACTGGGGTAAAGTCATTTTCTCTGATGAATCCCCTTTCCGATTGTTTGGGGCATCCGGAAAACACCTTGTCCGGAGAAGACAAGGTGAGCGCTACCATCAGTCCTGTATTATGCCAACAGTAAAGCATCCTGAGACCATTCATGTGTGGGGTTGCTTCTCAGCCAAGGGAGTGGGCTCACTCACAATTTTGCCTAATGAATAAAGAATGGTACCAACACATCCTCCGAGAGCAACTTCTCCCAACCATCCAAGAACAGTTTGGTGACGACCAATGCCTTTTCCAGCATGATGGAGCACCTTGCCATAAGGCAAAAGTGATAACTAAGTGGCTTGAGAAAAAACAAAACCTCGAAATGTTGGGTCCATGGCCAGGAAACTCCCCAGACCTTAATCCCATTGAGAACTTGTGGTCGATCCTCAAGAGGCGGGTGGATAAACAAAAACCCACAAATTCTGACAAACTCCAAGCATTGATTATGCAAGAATGGGCTGCCATCAGTCAGGATGTGGCCCAGAAGTTAATTGACAGCATGCCAGGGTGGATTGCAGAGGTCTTGAAAAAGAAGGGTCAACATTGCAAATATTGACTCTTTGCATAAACTTAACGTAATTGTCAATAAAAGCCTTTGACACTTATGGAATGCTTGTAATTATACTTCAGTATACCATAGTAACATCTGACAAAAAATATCTCATAACACTGAAGCAGCGAACTTTGTGAAGACCAATACTTGTGTCATTCTCAAAACCTTTGACCACGACTGTATATTGAAAGCAGGCGCTTCCACACAGGTGTGGTTCCTGATTTAATTAATCAATAAACATCCCATCATGCTTAGGGTCATGTGTAAAAATGCCCAGTTGCCCATTATTTTGGCTACCAGGGCTAGAAGAAGAGATCTCTGTTACTTTGAAAGAGGGGTCTCAAAGGAGGAGAGGGGATTTAAAGGATGTGTGTGTGTCAGTCACCAGATCTCAACCCAATTAGAGATACTGGAGCGGTGCCTGAGACCGCATTTTCTACCACCATCAACGAAACACCAAATTATGGAATTTGTCATGGAAGAATGGTGTCCAATAGATTTCCAGACACTTGTATGAATTGAATTGAAGCTGTTCTGGCGACAGGTGGTGGCCCAACGCCCTATTTAGACACTTTATGTTGGTGTTTCCTTTATTTAGGCAGTTACCTGTATAACAGGTTATAAAGGTTAAATTAAGAAGTGCAATTTTGTTTTGTATTTTTTAAGTAGGCCTACATATTCCCTTATGTCTTTGGTGCTCAATGCCATTCTGTACTGCAGACTAAAGAGGCTTGGTTGTGGTATTTATGATCCAAAAGAGACATTTTGGCATTCATTTTATAGTCCATTTAATTCCAGATACAAGTGTCATGGTCTTTACCTTTATGTGTAAAGACTCAACTTGATTATATATTTTTGATTTAATCATTTTTTACAATGAGAAGTCAATGTGTAGTTACAAAGAATCACATGCATTACCTTTACAAAGAATTACTTTGATAAGATGTTTACCCATTTTACATTTACATTTTAGTCATTTAGCAGACGCTCTTATCCAGAGCGACTTACATTTTCTTAAAATTATATAAGCTTAGTAATAAAAGGCAATGTAAAAGAGTGGGCACCAATTTCTTCAATCTATTGATGTGTTGTCAGAGCAGTTGCATCAAGGAAACATCACCTGGTAATAAAACTACTTGCATAGAAATAAAATAAAAAATTGCTCTCATACTTACAAATTACTGAAATGCTCGGTCCTGTATGGTACAGTGAACCCAAACCATAGATTTGGAATTACCCAGATTTGCCCTGCTGCACACAGCCATCGTTTGAATTGGTTGCTGTTTGTCTATCAGTGTACAGATTGACTTCATGAAAAGGCACATTCTAGCATTAGGTACTTCCAAAAACTCAAGTTTGGCCTTTTTTAAATCTATTTTACCTGAAAGGGATGACTTAGCATAGAAGTGCCTCAAATGAGTGTGCGGTTTTTGACTCAAGCACTGTGGAACTTGATTTGTGAGTTAATGTCATTTTAACTGCAACCAAACCCAATAAATACCAAATAAATGCAAAAGTTTACATTTGTGTGTATTTCATCTTTGTTCTGTTGTATACAGTGTGTTCAGAAAGTTTTTTTTGTCACTGGCCTACACACAATACCCCATAATGTCAAAGTGGAATTATGTCTTTAGAAATGTGTACAAATTAATTAAAAATGAAAGGTTGAAATCTCTTGAGTCAATAAGTATTCTACCCCTTTGTTATGACAAGCCTAAATAAGTTCAGGAGTAAAGATTTGCTTAATAAGTTGAATAATAAATTGCACAGACTCACTCTGTGTGCAATAATAGTGTTTAACATGATTTTTGAATGACTACCTCATCTCTGTACCCCACACATACAATTATCTGTAAGATCCCTCAGTCGAGCAGTGAATTTCAAACAGAGATTCAACCACAAAGACCAGGGAGGACCAGAAGGGCACCTATTGGTAGATGAATAAAAATGCTTACATTGCACAAAAAGCAGACATTGAATATCCCTTTAAGCATGGTGAAGTTATTAATGACACTTTGGATGGTGTATCAATACACCCAGTCACTACAAAGATACAGACGTACTTCCTAACTCAGTTGCCGGAGAGGAAGGAAACCCCTCAGGGGTTTCACCATGAGGCCAATGGTGACTTTAAAACAGTTACAGAGTTTAATGGCTGTGATAGGAGAAAACTGAGGATGGATGAACAACATTGTAGTTGCTCCACAATACTAACCTAATTGACAGAGTGAAAAGAAGGAAGCCTGTACAGAAATATGCATCCTGTTGAAACAAGGCACTAAAGTAATACTGCAAAACATATGGCAAAGCAATTAACTTTTTGTCCTGAATACGAAGTGTTATGTTTGGGGCATATCCAATACAACACATTACTGAGTACCACTCTCCATATTTTCAAGCAAAGTGGTGGCTGCATCATGTAATGGGTATGCTTGTAATCGTTTTTTTCAGGATAAAAAATAAATGGAATGGAGCTAAGCACAGGCAAAATCCTAGAGGAAAACCTGGTTCAGTCTGATTTCCACCAGACACAGAGATGAATTCACCTTTCAGCGGGACAATAGCCTAAAACACAAGGCCAAATCTAGAGTTGCTTACCAAGAAGGCAGTGAATGTTCCTGAGTGGCCGCGTTACAGTTTTGACTTAAATCTACTTGAAAATCTATGGCCTGAAAATGGTTATCTAGCAATGATCAACAACCAATTTGACAGAGCTTGAAGAATTTTGAAAAGGAAAATGGGCAAATGTTGCACAATCCAGGTGTGGAAAGCTATTAGAGACGTACCAAGAAAGACTCACAGCTCTAATCGCTGCCAAAGGTGCTTCTACAAAGAATTGACTCAAGGGTGTGAATACTTATGTAAATGACATATTTCTGTATTACATTGTCAATACATTTGGAAAAATTTGACAGAGCCAGCAAGGGGAAGTCACCATAAAAAGAAAAAAATAACACTTTCAATATAGTCTGTGACATTTTCAATATAGTCTGTGATTTTGTTTTACAGTTTGCTCAAAGCCCACAACAAAAGACAGAGAGAGCAGCTGCAGCGCATTCTCATTGAACAATCTTACATCCTCCCTTGCTGCGCCACCACTGTACTGCAGGTAGCCTAGCGGTTAAGAGGTTGGGCCATTAACTGAAAGGTTGCTGGTCGAATCTCCTAGCTGACTAGGTGAAAACTATGTGGATGTGCACTTGAGCAAGGCACTTAACCCTAAGTGCTCCTGTAAGTCACTCTGGATAAGAGTGTTTGCTAAATGAAAAAAATGTACACAAACATCTCATTGTCACTTTACTTGGTGAGATGGGCATGGCTGACTGGGCTCTTGCCCTGGTGGTTGGCACACAGATGCTTAGTGGGAACAATAGGACAAATGTTGCAAGACACTGTCATAAAGGCAGTGACACCTCAAGCCAAGGATATTTGCTGTCTTTCTCAGACCAGTGAGCTTGGTTACTTCTTAAGGGCTAGGAGTCAGGTCAGGTCACATAAGGTAACAACTTGTTACATCAGGTAACAACAACACTAGTCTTGGTCACATCACGTATGTCAGTGTTCTACTGCACTTTTTTCACACAGTCAGTGGCTTGCATTGAACGGCCCTGTACAAAAATAATGAAATACACTATCCTGTAGGTGGCGACAAATCACGCGCCAAGGTGAAAACAACTGCTGGAGGACCATCCTTTATGGGGCGGAAATGAATTATACGCACGCGCATTGAACAATCTCACCAGTGTTGGTTGGTGTTGTCTGCATTGACTACATTTGAAAACAAATGAAACCATTACATTTTCTTTCGAAATAACGGTTCTGTGAATTACTTTAGACTACGTGCAAGTGTTCTCACCATTTTCCCGCGTGTTGATAATGGCGTAGTGAAAGGACATCGCATAGGGTGTTATGGCTAACGTTAGCTTGCTACGCTAGCTGCAGTTTGGGTCCGAGGATATTATCAAGCTGCCCTCAACCCGAGGCCAACTGGTCTTCCTAACTGAGTAAAGTAAAAGTAGCGCAAGGTAAGATTAAACCCTCAACATACCTTTTTTTTTGTTGCATGCATACAACTCCTGTCTGTCATTCCGTCCCATTTGTTGTGATCATGCATGCATGGATGTCATTGCCACCCCCTTTAACTGTTTTCCATCTCTCCTGACAAGTAAGGACTAAATAAACAATGTAAGAGAGAATCGACGAATCTCAGATTGATATGAATAATTGAAAAGTACATTTCTCTCTCAGGATGTCGGACTCAGACAGTGATGAAGACCAAGACCGCCCCTTCTCTCTCACTGGCTTCCTCTTCGGGAACATTAATGAAGATGGTCAGCTGGAGGGAGACAGCGTGCTGGACACTGTGAGTGACTATTTTGTAACAAGAGGAAAGCACTCTGCATAGTGTGCAAAAAAAACACAACTGTTTTGAATGCATACACTAAAGCAGGAATGGGCAACGTAATGGGGGGGCACCAAAAATCAGAACTCATCATGATGGGCAGCATTGGCTCACGGGTCTGCATACCCACACCCATACCCACATATGCAGTCAGAGCCGGCCCTAGTCTTTTGGGGACCCGGAGTAGAGATGTGACAAATAGAAAAAAATGATTAACTTTTAAACTGACATTTAAAAAAATCTGTTTTCGATTAAAAGGCTTTCAATCTTTTGATACAATTCCATGTGAATTCACAATGCAGCTGTGCTGCTGCCAGCAACGGTTTGGGTCTCACGGTGCATCCCTTTCAGATGGTTAAGCATTGCACCTGTACTACCATTACTGTACCTCAAATCCACCTCACAAAGTTTGTATTTCCTTCTCATTTATCTTGTCAAAGTATTGCCATACAGGACTTCACTACTGTCGCTTGCCTTTCTCTGCCATTTTTCAGACGGTTAACGACGATGACATAGTAGTGGAGAGTCGACTCCAAAATAATTGATTCCTCGACTCCAGGTGTTGACTCCCATTTCTTAGTGTCAAGATTCCAGTCCGCTAGGAATCGACTCCTAAGATTCAGTATTTTTGGAACGGAAGAGACCAGTGCTTGACTTGAGCAGGAGCTCATCGGAGCTGAGTACCGGTACCTCACATTTTCTACTGCTTTAGCTCACGTTCCTCTTATTTATTTAATCTTAGCCCAAAAGTATTGTGGAGCACCTGCATCTGAATGTAAACAGTACCGGCGCACAAAATGAGCACCTGCACCTATTTCAGTCCAAGGTAAGCACTGGAGGAGACTAATTAGTTGCCGTACTTCCGAGAACACAAACACTTGCATCTTTCATAGTGCGCTAGCGGGGGCTGAAGAGAGAGGGGAGGGGCACAGTATGGGCAGGTCGGCCACCAGGCATACAGTCAGAACCATGCACTAGGCCAATCTATTGGCAATCAATAGCTACAGTGGGGGAAAAAAGTATTTAGTCAGCCACCAATTGTGCAAGTTCTCCCACTTAAAAAGATGAGAGGCCTGTAATTTTCATCATAGGTACACGTCAACTATGACAGACAAATTGAGAATTTTTTTCTCCAGAAAATCACATTGTAGGATTTTTTATGAATTTATTTGCAAATTATGGTGGAAAATAAGTATATGGTCACCTACAAACAAGCAAGATTTCTGGCTCTCACAGACCTGTAACTTCTTCTTTAAGAGGCTCCTCTGTCCTCCACTCGTTACCTGTATTAATGGCACCTGTTTGAACTTGTTATCAGTATAAAAGACACCTGTCCACAACCTCAAACAGTCACACTCCAAACTCCACTATGGCCAAGACCAAAGAGCTGTCAAAGGACACCAGAAACAAAATTGTAGACCTGCACCAGGCTGGGAAGACTGAATCTGCAATAGGTAAGCAGCTTGGTTTGAAGAAATCAACTGTGGGAGCAATTATTAGGAAATGGAAGACATACAAGACCACTGATAATCTCCCTCGATCTGGGGCTCCACACAAGATCTCACCCCGTGGGGTCAAAATGATCACAAGAACGGTGAGCAAAAATCCCAGAACCACACGGGGGGACCTAGTGAATGACCTGCAGAGAGCTGGGACCAAAGTAACAAAGCCTACCATCAGTAACACACTACGCCGCCAGGGACTCAAATCCTGCAGTGCCAGACGTGTCCCCCTGCTTAAGCCAGTACATGTCCAGGCCCGTCTGAAGTTTGCTAGAGTGCATTTGGATGATCCAGAAGAGGATTGAGAGAATGTCATATGGTCAGATGAAACCAAAATATATTTTTTTGGTAAAAACTCAACTCGTCTTGTTTGGAGGACAAAGAATGCTGAGTTGCATCCAAAGAACACCATACCTACTGTGAAGCATGGGGGTGGAAACATCATGCTTTGGGGCTGTTTTTCTGCAAAGGTACCAGGACGACTGATCCGTGTAAAGGAAAGAATGAATGGGGCCATGTATCGTGAGATTTTGAGTGAAAACCTCCTTCCATCAGCAAGGGCATTGAAGATGAAACGTGGCTGGGTCTTTCAGCATGACAATGATCCCAAACACACCGCCCGGGCAACGAAGGAGTGGCTTCGTAAGAAGCATTTCAAGGTCCTGGAGTGGCCTAGCCAGTCTCCAGATCTCAACCCCATAGAAAATCTTTGGAGGGAGTTGAAAGTCTGTGTTACCCAGCGACAGCCCCAAAACATCACTGCTCTAGAGGAGATCTGCATGGAGGAATGGGCCAAAATACCAGCAACAGTGTGTGAAAACCTTGTGAAGACTTACAGAAAAGTTTGACCTGTGTCATTGCCAACAAAGGGTATATAACAAAGTATTGAGAAACTTTTGTTATTGACCAAATACTTATTTTCCACCATAATTAGCAAATAAATTCATAAAAAAATTTTTTTTCTCATTTTGTCTGTCATAGTTGACTTGTACCTATGATGAAAATAACAGGCCTCTCTCATCTTTTTAAGTGGGAGAACTTGCACAATTGGTGGCTGACTAAATACTTTTTTTCCTCACTGTATATCTCGCAATGGAATGCTGTATTTCGCAATTTCTTGGCTTGCAATGTCTTGCAACTTCAGTAAAGCAGGGCCTATCATCAATGAATAGGCTAGGATATTGAGATGAGCGAGATGCGACACTTCGCTCTCACACAGTCACACACAGTATCTGTGCATGTGCACGGGTTTGCTTCACACTGTTCACAGCTTGGTAGCCAGGGAATCAAAACAGCAGAGAAGTTGAGCGTCACGCTTCAAAGCTCTTAGTTGTTGCGGAAATTGACCCACTATGCGGTTTACTTTCTGCATCTACGAAAAATCTTTCTTAAAGTTAATCAATCAAATTTCAATCAAATTGATTTATAAAGCCCTTTTTATATCAGCAGATGTCACAAAGTGCTTATACAGAAACCCAGCCTAAAATCCCCATAGAGCAAGCAATGCAGATGTAAAAGCATGGTGGTTAGGGAAAAACTCCCTAGAAACGCAGGAACCTAGGAAGAAACCTAGAGAGGAACAAGCTCTAAGGGGTGGCCAGTCCTTCTGGCTGTGCCGGTTGGAGATTATAAGAGTACATGGCCATTAAGTACAGATCGTTCTTCAAGATGTTCAAACGTTCATAGATGACCAGCAGGGTCAAATAATAATCAGTGGTTGTAGAGGGTGCAACAGGTCAGCACCTCAGGAGTAAATTTCAGTTGGCTTTTCATAGCTGAGCATTCAGAGGTCGCGACAGCAGGTGCGGTAGAGAGGGAGGGAGAGAGAGAGAGGGTCGAAAACAGCATGTCCAGTGAACAGGCCAGGGTTCCATAGCCACAGGCAAAACAGCAGAAACTGGTTGAGCAGCACGACCAGGTGGACTGGGGACAGGGACAGCCAAGAGTCTTCAGGCTAGGTAGTCCTGAGTCATGGTCCTAGGGCTCAGGTCCTCTGGGAGGGGAGAGAGGGAAAGATCCCAATTTCGTAAAGAAAAAATATGTTCACACCCCTAGCCCTAAGCGACATTTGTGAGCAAACACATTTTAGCTTCCCCCCTCTTGACAGTGGAGAGAACAAATTGAAGTTTTAGAGTTCGTTTTTCATGCATTCTGCTAGTGTTGCACGGTATACCGAAACTTCTGTACTTTTTCGATACTAGAACATAAAAACGGTTCGGTACTCACATTTGTATTACTTTCTATACTGATATGATGAGTTTATCTGGTATCAAGTAATTCAGGATGCACAAAAATATTTAACACTTAGATGGAGAGTTGATACAATATGTATTTAATAGATATGGTACCGGGTTCGTATAACAAACGGCACATGCTTTACCTCTTGTCATCCGAACTCCTCAACAAAGAAAACCTTTCAGTTTATATAGCCCTTCAATCATTTCTTCAACAACTTCTGGTAACCATCAGTTGGCACTCCCCACTCTGATGGTATCACCTTGTACCCAAGTCAGTATATTCCATCTATCAATCATTCTAAGATAAACACGAGTAAGCTCCCTCGACATACTAGAATCCTTAGCATTCAGACTCTAACATATTTAACTTTGTTCCTACAACACTGTGAAAAGACGTCATATCATATACTTCTGTCAAAATGTGTCTCACATATCAACTCTATCAGCGCAGCCGATGTCCCCTTATAGCGCAAGACGCACACTGTGCCTGCTCCACTTACTCATTGCTAGCCTGCACTGGGAGTCTGGGATGCATCATGTTAGCTCCCCACTCATGCAGCACAGAAGTTAACACAGTTGAATAATGTAACATGGCATGTAAAAATGTCGAAACTGTTATTACTGTTTACAAAACAATGTCCATACAGATGAGAACACTTACCAATGCAACATGATACCGCCGGTAGCTTCCAGCTTTGTAGTTTAACTTTCCTTGCTAGCTTACAGCTGAAGTGAACATCAATTCACTACCCTAGTACTTTGTTTGTGATAATACAGTGAGGGAAAAAAGTATTTGATCCCCTGCTGATTTTGTACGTTTGCCCACTGACAAAGACATGATCAGTCTATAATTTTAATGGTAGGTTTATTTGAACAGTGAGAGACAGAATAACAACAAAAGAATCCAGAAAAACGCATGTCAAAAATGTTATAAATTGATTTGCATTTTAATGAGGGAAATAAGTATTTGACCCCTCTGCAAAACATGACTTAGTACTTGGTGGCAAAACCCTTGTTGGCAATCACAGAGGTCAGACGTTTCTTGTAGTTGGCCACCAGGTTTGCACACATCTCAGGAGGGATTTGTCCCACTCCTCTTTGCAGATCTTCTCCAAGTCATTAAGGTTTCGAGGCTGACGTTTGGCAACTCAAACCTTCAGCTCCCTCCACAGATTTTCTATGGAATTAAGGTCTGGAGACTGGCTAGGCCACTCCAGGACCTTAATGTACTTCTTCTTGAGCCAATCCTTTGTTGCCTTGACCGTGTGTTTTGGGTCATTGTCATGCGGAATACCCATCCACGACCCATTTTCAATGCCCTGGCTGAGGGAAGGAGGTTCTCACCCAAGATTTGACGGTACATGGCCCCGTCCATCGCCCCTTTGATGCGGTGAAGTTGTCCTGTCCCCTTAGCAGAAAAACACTCCCAAAGCATAATGTTTACACCTCTATGTTTGACGGTGGGGGTGGTGTTCTTGGGGTCATAGGCAGCATTCCTCCTTCTCCAAACACGGCGAATTGAGTTGATGCCAAAGAGCTCGATTTTGGTCTCATCTGACCACAACACTTTCACCCAGTTCTCCTCTGAATCATTCAGATGTTCATTGGCAAACTTCAGACGGGCCTGTATATGTGCTTTCTTGAGCAGGGGGACCTTACAGGCGCTGCAGGATTTCATCCTTCACGGCGTAGTGTGTTACCAATTGTTTTCTTGGTGGCTATGGTCCCAGCTGCCTTGAGATCATTGACCAGATCCTCCCGTGTAGTTCTGGGCTGATTCCTCACCGTTCTCATGATCATTGCAACTCCACGAGGTGAGATCTTGCATGGAGCCCCAGGCCGAGGGAGATTGACAGTTATTTTGTGTTTCTTCCATTCGCGAATAATCGCACCAACTGTTGTCACCTTCTCACCAAGCTGCTTGGCGATGGTCTTGTAGCCCATTCCAGCCTTGTGTAGGTCTACAATCTTGTCCCTGACATCCTTGGAGAGCTCTTTGGTCTTGGCCATGGTGGAGAGTTTGGAATCTGATTGATTGATTGCTTCTGTGGACAGGTGTCTTTTATACAGGTAACAAGCTGAGATTAGGAGCAGTCCCTTTAACAGTGTGCTCCTAATCTCAGCTCGTTACCTGTATAAAAGACACCTGGGAGCCAGAAATCTTTCTGATTGAGAGGGGGTCAAATACTTATTTCCCCTTATTAAAATGCAAATCAATTTATAACATTTTTGACATGCATTTTTCTGGATTTTGTTGTTGTTATTCTGTTTAAATAAACCTACCATTAAAATTATAGACTGATAATTTCTTTGTCAGTGGGCAAACATACAAAATCAGCAGGGGATCAAATACTTTTTTCCCTCACTGTATGCAAACCATAATGCAAAATATGCTGATTTCACAGCTGATTGCAACCAAAAACTTTATTCATTCACTTAATCGGTCTCTCTGTCACATCGTTCCATCAGCCAAAGGTTATCTATTTCCTCAACGAACAGTCAGTATTTGTGAATAGGGCTCTGACAGGTCGCACCCCTCTTGCCTCCTGAATGACATTACTGGTTAAAGAGACAGCGCATACTTTTATAAAATAAGCTTTCTATGCTAATGTTGTTGATCAGTACAATAAAATAAGTCCCACATGAAAGAGAAACAGATTGTTTGTCATCTGTATCCCCGTGAAATCAGCCAAAACAAGCTCAATAACTCAATGCATGCACACACTCCTATTGGATATGCATTCATCTGTATGGTGGATAGGCTAGGCTACATCTTGATTTACCCAGTTTATCAATACAGATTTACCATTCAAATAAATTATTACTATTATGTTATGAAGTTAGATTGGTAAAAATAAAGTCCAATTGATTGTATAATTGATTCATCAATACATACATGGCTACATCGCAAACAGAGAGCGCAAGTGAAGAGGGAATTATGGCTCTAGGCAGAAGCTTTGCTTTGGCGTTTCTGATTTTATTCTACAATTCAAATATGGAGATTATCCCAAACTACTGTTACACCTACACCGAATGTCGTGGATGGAAATCTTCGCTTTCATAGTGTGAACTTCAGCCATGAACAACTTTACCGGCACCTGATATCACCTTTCCTATGGGAACAGCTGAGCCGCGAGGGGAATGTACACAGGAAACGCTGCAGCGCAGCTGAGACTGGTGTCAACCCCAACAAGCTGCTTGTTACTTTCAGTCTGCTACTCTGTGGCGATGTACACCCCTGTCCTGGCCCAAACACCTCAAAGCAAGCTAAACAACTATCCCCAAAATATTTATATTTTATTCAACTTTGTTCAATTGTATTCTTCATACTATAAAATAATTTAAAATAATGCCACGGAATTCTAAGCAAATCTTGTCTGCTAAATGTACTAGTGTAGCCCACAGCCATTTGGCATAGCCACATCAGGACCTAACATAAGGACAACTCAGAGTATGCTATTCTGTTCTTCTATCATGCTTCTTTAGACCTGTCTAAAATAAATAATGGATTTATTGTGAAGGTGTAGGCTATATTACATGGATTTATTCGACTTTCTAAAATGTAGATGTTTTAAAGGTCTGCATCAGTGGCTTGTAGGCTGTGTGTGGAAGCCAGGAGATGTTGAATGTGTTTATGTTAATTAACGGTCAATTACCGTGAGACCGACAGTTATTTGCTTGACAATCACCTGCTGACGAAATTTCATGACTGCCACAGCCCTAGCTCCGATGACACAAATTCGAATCAAATTGCGGTCAAGGAAATGGATCACTTCCGAGATCTTAGAACTCATGAGGAAAAGGGATCGCTACCTGGCCAAATTCAAAAGGACAAATCTACAACAAGATTATGATGCTTATATTAACTGTAGAAACCAGGCAAAATACAAAATGGATAACGCCAAATCCCAACATTACATAGACGCTGTTAATGACAACTTACATCAGCCTCGTAAACTGTGGAACATTTTTAAGAACATTGGCTCAAAAACTCCCCATAAGGTAAAATCCTGTAGTATTGACCTGGAAATTGATGATGTTTGATGCTATGACCAGGCAAAGGTTGCAAATTATTTTAACACATTTTTATCACTTTAGCCTCAAGAAGTTACCAACCTGCCCTGGACACTATGGCCAGTCTTTCATTAACAACTTTTACCATAGCAAACGTATCACAAATTATTTTTTGGAGCTGTGCATGGTAACAGAGGACAACGTTTCCAATCTACTATGCTTAATGAGCATAAACAAAGCAACTGGGCTGGATAACCTTCCTGCAAGATTAATAAATGATAGTGCTTGTGTCACTGCTAAAATGATAACGCATATTGTAAACCTTTCTATTAGTAGGGGTACATTTCCCAATGATCTCAAAACAGTCAGGGTGGTTCCGCTCCACAAGAAGAGCAGTAAAACAAATGTAGGAAACTACAGGCCTGTGTCGATCCTCAGCACCTTATCCAAAGTTGTTGAGAGATTCGTTTTTTAATCAACTTGAGGGATACCTGCTCAATCACAAACTTCTTTATGAACTCCAATCTGGCTTTAGAACAGCTCATTCCACTGATACTTGCCTTATCCACCTTTTTGACCACATCAAGCAGGAAAGTGAGAAGGCGAACTATACAGGTATGGTCATGTTAGACTTGCAGAAAGCCTTTGACACTGGACCATGATATTCTCCTGATGAAACTGAAATGCATGGGTCTAAATGATGTAGCAGTGAATTGGTATAGGTCTTTTCTGACCAACAGAACACAAGCGTGTCATGTTGGTGATGTTCTGTCAGAGGCCAAAGAAATATCCTGTGGAGTACTGCAGGGATACATTTTAGGGCCTCCCTTATTTCCTATATACATCAATGATATGCCAGATACAGTAAAGTGCAAACTCCTGCTTTATGCTGATGACTCAGCCCTACTGGTATCAGGGAAGGATACAGTTTACATAGAGGAGACCTTGAGTAAGGAATTTCATCATTGGTTGACTGACAACAAATTGTCGCTACATTTGGGAAAAACTGAGTAGATTTTGTTTGGAACAAAACGTAGATTGCTTAGGGCTGACAAGATAAAGGAAAACTGTGCAGGCAAGGAGATTGAATCTAAAACAAGTAACTTATCTTGGTGTATGCTTAGATCAGTTCCTTTCTGGAGACCTGATTGCTGCTAAAATTATTTCTAAAATGGCGAACAAATTGAAATGTTTATATCGTAACACTAGATATTTTAACATCAAAGTAAAAAAAAACTCCTTGTCTCAACCTTGATATAGTGTCATTTTAATTATGCCTGCTCTTCTTGGTATAGTGGGCTATCAAAACATCTGAAAAAGAGAATGCAGGCCATGCAAACTAATGTTATCAGGTATACAGTGCATTCGTAAAGTATTCAGACGCCTTGACTTTTTCCACATTTTGTTAAGTTACAGCCTTATTCTAAAATGGAGTAAATTACATTGCTATGAGACTCAAAATTGAGCTCAGGTGCATCCTGTTTCCATTGATCATCCTTGAGATGTTTCTACAACTTGATTGGAGTCCACCTGTGGTCAATTCAATTGATTGGACATGATTTGGAAAGGCACACACCTGTCTATATAAGGTCCCACAGTTGACAGTGCATGTCAGAGCAAAAACCAAGCCATGAGGTCAAAGGAATTGTCCGTTGAGCTCCGAGACAGGATTGTGTCGAGGCACAGATCTGGGGAAGGGTACCAAACAATGTCTGCAGCATTGAAGGTCCCCAAGAACACAGAGGCCTCCATCATTCTTAAATGGAAGAAGTTTGGAACCAACAAGACGCCTGGCCAAACTGAGCAATTGGGGGAGAAGGGCCTTGTTCAGGGAGGTGACCATGAACCCAATGGTCACTCTGACAGAGCTCCAGAGTTCCTCTGTGGAGATGGGAGAACCTTCCAGAAGGACAACCATCTCTGCAGCACTCCACCAATCAGGCCTTTATGGTAGAGTGGCCAGACGGAAGCCACTCCTCAGTAAAAGGCACATGACAGCCCGCTTGGAGTTTGCCAAAAGGCACCTAAAGACTCTCAGACCATAAGAAACTAGATTTTCTGGTCTGATGAAACCAAGATTGAACTCTTTGGCCTGAATGCCAAGAGTCACGTCTGGAGGAAACCTGGCACCATCCCTACGGGGAAGCATGAGTACAGGACATCACAAGGCTTCTTCTGACTGTTCTAGCTGTCGTAGTCCATGTGGTGTCAAACGACATCAGGAGGGCTAGCTCGGAACATCTGAAAATGTATTTTGAAGAACTGATTTTAGCATTAAAAGACTCCAAAATACAGCCAATCAATTCAGGTCCAGTACATTCGTTTTGCCGCGGGTGTGAAAGATTCAGCAGGCTACTGGCATTACACATCTGGCTAAAAGATTACTGTAGCTCTGTTGGAATCACTTTTATAGATAACTTTGACACCTTCTGGTTGAGAGAATGCCAAGCGTGTGCAAAGCTGTCATCAAGGCAAAGGGTGGCTATTTGAAGAATCTCAAATATAAAATATATTTTGATTCGTTTAACACTTTTTTTGGTTACTACATGTTATTTCATAGTTGTGATGTCTTCACTATTATTCTACAATGTAGAAAATAGTAAAAATAAAGAAAAACCCTTGAATGAGTAGGTGTTCCTAGGGGCGTTGGCAGACACAATGTAAGTAACTTAATTATGTCCCCCTAATTGGCCTGAAAACCTCTGTAGGATCAACAGCTATTGTATGCTAGTAGGAAGACCACTGTGTGCCGCTCACCCTGCACTATCAGCTACAATATAAATAACATGAGCTAGTCTACTTCTGATAAGCTTCCCAGTAAAGCATTAAAAACAATCAAGCAACCCAGAAAAGTGCTAAAAATAGCCCATATTAACATATGCAGCCTGAGAAACAAGGTTCATGAAGTCAATAACTTGCCTGTAACAGATGACATTCATATTCTGACTATCTCTGAAACTCACTTAGAAAATACCTTTGATACAGTGGTAGCGATACATGGTTATAACATCTACCGAAAAGACAGAAATGCCAACGGGGCGGTGTTGCGGTCTATATTCAGAACCACATTCCTGTAAAGCTTAGAGACGATCTCATGTTAAATACTGTTGAAGTAATATGGCTACAGGTTCATCTGCCTCACCTCAAGCCCATTCTTGTGGGAAGCTGCTATAGACCACAAAGTGCTAACAGTCAGTATCTGGATAATATGTGTGAAATGCTTGATAATGTATGTGATATCAACAGAGAAGTATATTTTCTGGGTGATTTAAATATTGACTGGCTCTCATCAAGCTGCCCACTCAAGAAAAAACGTCAATTGTAACCAGTGCCTACAACCTGGTTCAGGTTATCAGTCAACCTACCAGGGTAGTTAAAACAGCACAGGAATGAAATCTTCAACGTGTATTGATCACATCTTTACTAATGCTTGCTTTAAAGCAGTATCCAAATCCATAGGATGTAGTGATCACAATATAGTAGCCATATCTAGGGAAACCAAAGTTCCAAAGGCTGGGCCTAATATAGTGTATAAGAGCTCATACAATAAGTTTAGTAGTGATTCATATGTTGATGATGTAAATAATATTTGCTGGTCTGTGGTGTGTAATGAGGAGCAACCAGATGCTGCACTTGACACATTTATGAAATTGCTTATTCCAGTTACTAATAAGCCCATTAAGAAAATGACTGTAAAAACGGTTAAATCCCCTTGGCTTGATGAGGAATTGGATAAATGTAATGGTTGAGATGGATGAGGTAAAAGGTATGGAAAATAAGTCTGGCAGCCAAACTGATTGGCAAACGTACTGCAAATGTAAGAAATCATGTGACTAAACTAAATAAAAAAATTAAAATAAACAATGGTATGAAACAAAGATAAATTATATAACGAATGATAGTAATAAGCTTTGGAGCACCTTAAATTACATTTTGGGAAAAAAGGCAAACTCGGCTCCATCATTCATTGAATCAGATGGCTCATTCATCACAAAACTCACTGAAATTGCCAACTACTTTAATGACTTTTTCATTGGCAAGATAAGCAAACTTAGGTATGACATGCCAGCAACAAATGCTGACACTACACATTCAAGTATATCTGACCAAATTATGAAATACAAGGTTTGTACTTTTGAATTATGTAAAGTCAGTGTGGAAGAGGTGAAAAAAGTATTGTTGTCTATCAACAATGACAAGCCACCGGGGTCTGACAATCTGGATGGAAAATTACTGAGGATAATAGCGGACGATATTGCCTCTCCTATTTGCCACATCTTCAATTTAAGCTACTAGAAAGTGTGTGCCCTCAGGCCTTTAGGGAAGCAAAAGTCGTTCTGCTACCCAATAATACACTGCTAAAAAAAATAAAGGGAACACTTAAACAACACAATGTACAGTGGGGAAAAAAAGTATTTAGTCAGCCACCAATTGTGCAAGTTCTCCCACTTAAAAAGATGAGAGAGGCCTGTAATTTTCATCATAGGTACACGTCAACTATGACAGACAAATTGAGGGAAAAAAATCCAGAAAATCACATTGTAGGATTTTTAATGAATTTATTTGCAAATTATGGTGGAAAATAAGTATTTGGTCACCTACAAACAAGTAAGATTTCTGGCTCTCACAGACCTGTAACTTCTTCTTTAAGAGGCTCCTCTGTCCTCCACTCGTTATCTGTATTAATGGCACCTGTTTGAACTTGTTATCAGTATAAAAGACACCTGTCCACAACCTCAAACAGTCACACTCCAAACTCCACTATGGCCAAGACCAAAGAGCTGTCAAAGGACACCAGAAACAAAATTGTAGACCTGCACCAGGCTGGGAAGACTGAATCTGCAATAGGTAAGCAGGTTGGTTTGAAGAAATCAACTGTGGGAGCAGTTATTAGGAAATGGAAGACATACAAGACCACTGATAATCTCCCTCGATCTGGGGCTCCACGCAAGATCTCACCCCGTGGGGTCAAAATGATCACAAGAACGATGAGCAAAAATCCCAGAACCACACGGGGGGACCTACTGAATGACCTGCAGAGAGCTGGGACCAAAGTAACAAAGCCTACCATCAGTAACACACTACGCCGCCAGGGACTCAAATCCTGCAGTGCCAGACGTGTCCCCCTGCTTAAGCCAGTACATGTCCAGGCCCGTCTGAAGTTTGCTAGAGTGCATTTGGATGATCCAGAAGAGGATTGGGAGAATGTCATATGGTCAGATGAAACCAAAATATAACTTTTTGGTAAAAACTCAACTCGTTGTGTTTGGAGGACAAAGAATGCTGAGTTGCATCCAAAGAACACCATACCTACTGTGAAGCATGGGGGTGGAAAAATCATGCTTTGGGGCTGTTTTTCTGCAAAGGGACCAGGACGACTGATCCGTGTAAAGGAAAGAATGAATGGGGCCATGTATCGTGAGATTTTGAGTGAAAACCTCCTTCCATCAGCAAGGGCATTGAAGATGAAACGTGGCTGGGTCTTTCAGCATGACAATGATCCCAAACATACCACCCGGGCAACGAAGGAGTGGCTTCGTAAGAAGCATTTCAAGGTCCTGGAGTGGCCTAGCCAGTCTCCAGATCTCAACCCCATAGAAAATCTTTGGAGGGAGTTGAAAGTCCGTGTTGCCCAGCGACAGCCCCAAAACATCACTGCTCTAGAGGAGATCTGCATAGAGGAATGGGCCAAAATACCAGCAACAGTGTGTGAAAACCTTGTGAAGACTTACAGAAAACGTTTGACCTGTGTCATTGCCAACAAAGGGTATATAACAAAGTATTGAGAAACTTTTGTTATTGACCAAATACTTATTTTCCACCATAATTTGCAAATAAATTCATAAAAAATCCTACAATGTGATTTTCAGGATTTTCTTTCCTCATTTTGTCTGTCATAGTTGACGTGTACCTATGATGAAAATTACAGGCCTCTCTCATCTTTTTAAGTGGGAGAACTTGCACAATTGGTGGCTGACTAAATACTTTTTTTCCCCCACTGTACATTTCATGCAATTCTACTCAATTTGCCATGGGGCGGAGAGAAAAATGTGCAGTTTTACATCGAATTTCCTGCAATTCTACACATTTTGCCTACAGTGGATTTTGCCCTGACTTATGCCATGTTAATATGATATCTGATTGTGAAAACAAAATCAATGAGGGCCCCCCGGTCGGTAATTCGACCATGATTACTATAAGTTTAGATAGATGGCTAGACTAACTTACCAATCTAAAAAGAAATGTACGACATGGGCTAATTAAGTGACTGTCAGTGACTGACATAAAAAGAGAAACTGCTGATGCACAACCAAATTTTTAAATTGCACCTTGTGTATTCTTCTATTCTAACGCTCAACAGTAAGTTGAGACCCCGACTGAGTTCCCCATCCCTGCGCAAAGTGTGCCTAACAACAGGACTGAGATGTCAATTTGCTGATTATAGGTTTACACTATATATACAAAAGTATGTGGACACCCGATCAAAATATCTGAAGGAAGTTTGTTCTGAAGTGTCTGTCCTATATCTGAGAGATACAGTATGTTGATCACTTGTCCACTGTCTTTGGTGCAATGTTACTTTTATAAACAGTCTTTATAAACACCTGGTATATTCCAATACACTTTGGCATATCAAATGCTGTGGTTGTTTGACAATGGTATTTCCCTCCACACCCCAGGAATCCAAAAAGCACCTGGCTGGCCTGGGCTCCCTGGGACTGGGCAACCTCATCACAGAGATCACTGCTAGTGAGGAAGATGATCCTGACGAGGACAGAGACACAGGTGGCACAGACGCAGAGGGTAAGAGGAAGGGCATGGAGTAAGGCTGTGGGTGGGGTAGTTCCTAGCCCTACAGAGCTCACTGTCATGTACAGTGCCTTCAGAAAGTAATCATACCCCTTGACTTATTCCACATTCTGTTGTGTTACAGCCTGAATTCAAAAAGGATTACATTGATTTTTCTCTCTCTCACCATCTACACACAATACCCCATAATGACAAAGTGAAAACCTGTTTTTAGAAATGTTGCTAATTTATTGAAAATTAAATGCATAAATATCTAATTTACATAAGTATTTACACCCCTGAGTCAATACTTTGTAGAACCAACTTTGGCAGCAATTACAACTGTGAGCCTTTCTGTGTAAGTCTCTCTTAAGCGCTTTCCACACCTGGATTGTGCAACATTTGCCCATTTATTATTTCAAGAATTCTTCAAGCTCTGTCATTGGTTGTTGATCATTGCTAGATAAACATTTTCAGATCTTGCCATAGATTTTTAAGTACTTTTAAGTCAAAACTGTACCTCGGCCACTCACTGTCTTCTTTGTAAGCAACTGCAGTGTAGATTTGGCCTTCTGTTTTAGGTTATTGTCCTGCTGAAAGGTGAATTAATCTCCCAGTGTCTGGTGGAAAGCAGACTGAACCAGGTTTTCCTCTAGGATTCCGTTCCATTTCTATTTTATCCAATCCTTAACGATAACAAGCATACCCATAACATGATGCAGCCACCACTATGCTTGGAAATATGGAGAGTGGTACTCAGTAATGTGTTGTGTTGGATTTGCCTCGAACATAACTTTTTGTCCTGAATACAGTGTTAATTGCTTTGCCACATTTTTTGCAGTATTACTTTAGTTCCTTGTTGTACAGGCTTCCTTCTTTTCACTCTGTCAATTAGGTTAGTATTATGGAGTAACTACAATGTTGTTGATCCATCCTTAGTTTTCTCCTATCACAGCCATTCAAATCTGTAACTGTTTTAAAGTCACCATTGGCCTCATGGTGAAATCCCTGAGTGGTTTCCATCCTCTCCGGCAACTGAGTTAGGAAGTACGCCTGTATCTTTGTAGTGACTGGGTGTATTGATACACCATCAAAAGTGTAATTAATAACTTCACCATGCCCAAATGGGATATTCAATGTCATTCAAAAATCATGTTAAACACTATTATTGCACACAGAGTGAGTCCATGCAACCTATTATATTACTTGTTAAGCACATTTCTTACTCCTGAACCTTAGGCTTGGCATAACAAAGGATTTGAATACTTATTGACTTTCATTTTTACACAACAAAATGTGGAAAAAGTCTAGGAGTCTGAATATTTTCTGAAGGCACTGTGTACAGGATTACAGGTAATAACAGTAAGTACAGTTATTTTAACAGTAACCTTCTGTCTTAGGGCATTACATTGGAGAAGCGTTCAAGTTAGGTACGCAGCAAATTGCTATCTCTTTTAGCAGCATGTGTGCCGTGTTGGAAGGTATCCATAATCGGTAAACGGTTCTGATTGAAACGTCATCGCTTGCATCGCCAAGCAGGTCCAGGAAATAATAAAATCAAAGTGTTAGATGCTACCAACCTCCTTCCATAATCAAAACCAAACAAGGATGTCAATGCTTGTGCGCACATGCTCCATTCTACTTCCTGTCTGTGGCAGCATGGTGCCCATATTGCGAGGCTGATTAGCTAGGACAAGCAGCTGTGAAACACAGACAGGTGTGCCCGCAAAGTGAGAGCACAACATGGAATCCATGTTTGGTTTTGATTTGGAAGAGGGAGGTGGCGTCTAGAAATAGGATTTCATTATTTCTTGGGCACTGCTCGGCAATGCAAACGACAACCTCCTAATCAGAACCGTCTACCGATTACGGATCTACATGTGAAAAGTGTCGCCAAACGGGCTCAGGCACGGGGTGGCAAATAACTTGCAAGGTGGGTATATGTTGCAAGACCAGACCGGAGTTCCACTTAGGTCAAAACTGGGCTAGGGTAGTTCCGTGGCTGGGAACTGTCATGTAACTGGCTCAACATGAACAGTCAATATGCTCCTTAGTTGTGTTTGTAAGTTGTATGTCTGTAAATGCTGTGATAAATGAGTGACGGTTTCATGTCCTGTTTCTTATGCAGGCTGGGTGAAGAACGATGCAGATGCAGTTGATTATTCTGACATCAACGAGGTGGCTGAAGATGAGACTAAGAAGTATCGTCAGGCCATGGGCAGCCTGCAGCCTACCAGGAGGACAGGTGCAGTAATACCCATGCAACTATTCACATACACTGCATATACAAAACATTAAGAACACCTGCTCTTACGTATGTATATACTATACACAGACCTCTAGGAGTGCTTGTATCCTAGTTTACCAGAACAGATCAATTAAGCTTATTTCATTTCCACCCTCGTCATCAGAGACTTTGCACAGCCGGTAACTGGACACTCTCTCTCTCTCTCTGTCTCTCTGTCTCAGATGATGAGGATGACTATGATGCAGATTGTGAGGATATTGATGCCAAGCTTATGCCCCCTCCACCTCCTCCAAGTCTCCCCACGCCTGGTGGCAAGAAAGACGACTCCTCTCCCACGGCTGCAAGTGGTAAGGATCGGATAAGGAAGGGCCAAAGGGTGGCGGTCAACTGTAATTTATTTTGTCTTTGATCAATCCAGTGCCGGTGAAAAGATACTTTGTACTTCTCCTGTACAAGTATAATTCTTCATAATCTGTTAAAAAGTAAACATGGATATTGATGTATTTAATGTAAAAAATACAGGCTAGTAAGTTAACACTCATCAAAGGGGCTCTAACCCCAGTGTATGCTATTGTGTTTGTCCACAGTCGGGGATGAAGGAGACGGGATCATCTTGCCCTCCATCATCGCTCCTTCCTCTCTGGTAGACAAAGTGGACTTCAGCAGTTCCTCAGACTCTGAGTCGGAGACAGACCGGCCCTCTACAGGCCCTGGGTCTGGGGGTCCTCCAGCCTGCCTCAGCCTGCCCCTGGCTGGCATCATGCAGAAGGATGCTGCCAAAGCCCTGCCTGGCGTCACACAGCTCTTCCCAGAGTTCAGGCCTGGAAGGGTGAGCTGTCCTTTTTGGTAACACTATATAGTACACCACATAACAGAGAGTTGTGATTGGATGATTAATACCTTTCAAAATGAATACCTATCCACTCCTCTGAACCCCTCCAGGTGCTGCGGTTCCTTCGACTGTTTGGCCCTGGGAAGAACATGCCGTCGGTGTGGCGGAGCGCACGGAGGAAGAGGAAGAGGAAGCACCGCGACCCTCAGCCAGGGACACCCCCACCAGAGGGCGCTGAGCCCATGGAGCAGCAGGGACCAGAGAAGAAGTCTGGCTGGGATTATGAGTACGCCCCACCTCCACCCCCAGAACAGTGCCTGTCTGACGACGAGGTCAGTGTGCAACAACCATGGTCTTAGTCAAAGATGTGTAGAACTGTGAAAACTTGTTTGAAATCCCTGTGAAACTGTGTGGTTATTTACCGGTACAGTTTTTCACAGCTAATTTATGAGAGCTTACTAGGTTAAGTAATATGATTCAGTGTCAATATAATTATTTATGGGATCTTTCTCCTTAGAAAAGGAAATGGACAAAAGTGATTACTCTAAAAGATAATCTTCAATAATTAATTCCTGGTCCCTCTTTGCTCCCCCCAGATCACCATGATGGCCCCAATAGAGTCCAAGTTCTCCCAGACCTCTGGAGACGGGGACAAGGTGGCAGAGTCCAGGCCCAAGGTGGCAGAGTGGCGCTACGGTCCGGCCCAGCTCTGGTACGACATGATGGGGGTCCCTGACGATGGCAGTGGCTTCTACTACGGCTTCAAACTGAAGGAGAAGGAGGACGATGAGCAGGAGAAACGGGAGAGGCCAGAACCACCACCACCTTTACAACTTCCCAAAGAGGTTAGCAACCCATACCCATACCCATAGGATTAGATCATGGGGTTCCTTAAAGGAGCATTCAGCAGTTGAAACAATAACAAAGCGCCCTCCCACCACTGTTTTGGTAAAAAGCTGAGGGATGGGGCTGGAGAAATGTAACCACTCTTGATAGTTTTAACCATGTGAGGCTATACAGTGTTTGTTTACAAGCACATTACTCTGTTTACAAACATTGGAGTAAAACAATCGTATATGTTGGGTTCTGGTGGAGTACGACTGTTGAACTAAGCTAATGAGGCATTTAGAAGTTATATTCTTCAAGAATCAATTGGTGCATATCATTCATTTATAAGTCCAAATATGGATGTAGCAACTGCAGATTGCCCCTTTTAAGAATCAATCACCCATTTTCTATCTACAACTCTAAGTTAGAAGAGAGCAGATTTTGCTGCGAAGAGACAGAATCATTACATCATTTGTTTTGGTGCTTTCCATATGTAGCTTGTTTTTGGTCGCAGGTTCAGGAATGGCTGATGAATTGCAACAATTGCCTGGAGCTAACTCTACAAATAGCAGTGCTGGGTGATTTTAAAAAGTCATAGTCAATCGATCAATAATGTAATAATACTCTAAGCAAATATATTTATCTTTCATTTACAATCTGTAGAAACTATGAGAATTTTTGTGAAACATCACAGTACAGTTGAAAAGTATATGGCAAATAGTTATCAAAACTGGATGGTGTTCAGAGATGGAGTGGAGCTGAAGGATGGGACTAAAAATAACAATAACTAATGTAAAATATATAAACCAGGCCTGCTATTCATAGCAGACTTTGAAAAGGCATTTGAAGTACGACTGGGGTTTATATATAAATGCCTGGTGCATTTCAATTTTGGAGAATCTCTTATAAAATGGGTTAAAATCATGTATAGTAACCCTAGGTGTAAAATAGTAAATAATGGCTATTTCTCTGAACGTTTTAAACTGTCAAGAGGAGTGAAACAAGGTTGTCCACTCTCGGCATATCTATTTATTATGGCCATCGAAATATTAGCTATTAAAATCAGATCCAACAATAATATCAAGGGATTAGAAATCCAGGGTTTAAAAACAAAGGTGTCATTGTACACTGATGATTCATGTTTACTTTTAAATCCACAACTTACATTTTAAATTTTTACATTTTAGTCATTTAGCAGACGCTCTTATCCAGAGCGACTTACAGGAGCAATTAGGGTTAAGTGCCTTGCTTAAGGGCACATCGACAGATTTTTCACCTAGTCGGCTCGGGGATTAGAACCAGCAACCTTTCGGTTACTGGCACAACGCTCTTACCCACTAAGCTACCTCCCTCCACAGCCTCATAGAGGATCTAGATACATTTTCTAACCTCTCTGGATTACAACCAAATTATGATAAATGTACTATATTACATATTGGATCACTAAAAAATAAAATAAAATTACATGACCATGTAGTTTACCAATAAAATGGTCTGATGGTGATGTGGATATGCTCGGAATACATATCCCAAATAAAATAAATGATCTCACTCCAATACATTTTAATAGAAAGTTAGCAAAAATAGATAAGATCTTGCTAACATGGAAAGGTAAATACCTGTCAATTTGTGGAACAATCACCCTGATGAACTCTTTAGTATTATCCCAATTTACCTATTTGCTTATGGTCTTGCCTACGCCTAGCGAACAGTTTTTAAAATTATATGAGAAAAAAAGATTCAATTTTATTTGGAACGGCAAGCCAGACAAAATTAAACAGGCCTATTTATATAATATATACATTTATATATATTTATATAATATGAATTCGGAGGACAGAAATTATTAAATATTAAAGCATTAGACCTATCACTAAAAGCTTCAGTCATACAAATGTTATACTTAAATCCGAACTGGTTCTCTAGCAAATTAGTAAGATTGTCTCACCCTATGTTCAAGAATGGCCTTTTTCCCTTTATTCAGATTACAACCTCTCACTTTCAGTTATTTGAAAAGGAAATCATCTCCCAAATATCACTATTTCTAAAACAAGCCATAGAAAGCTGGTTGCAATTTCAATTTAATCCTCCAGAAACGACAGAACAAATAATGCAACAAATATTGTGGTTAAACTCAAATATACAAATTGATTAAAAAGCATTATTTTTTGAAAAAATGTTTACAAAAGGTATAATCTTCGTAAATGATATCATAGGTAGGAAAACAAAATTACAACCAAATAATTGCAGCATTACCGCAAAAATGGAAGGGGGAAAAGTAAGGAACTTGTCTGTCGGCCTTGCATTAAAGAACATAATTGGTTAAAGAAAATTGTGATACATAAAAAATGTATACCAGTTTCATTTAAGGACCAAAGGATTGACAGCCATCCCATATAGATTGCAAAATAGTTGGGAAGAGATTTTTGACGTACTGATTCCATGGCATAGTGTTTATGAACTGATACGCAAAATGACCCCGATTTCAAAACTTAGAATTTTTCTATTAAAATTATTATATAAAAATGTTGCTATATGGGGGATACGATCTTCCCAGCTCTGCAGATTTTGCTGCGAAGAGACATAATCATTAGATCATTTGTTTTGGTTCTGTCCATTTGTAGCTTGTTTTTGGTCCAGGAATGGCTAAAGGATTGCAATATTTATCTGGAGCTAACCCTGCAGATAGCACTACTGGGTGATCTGAAAAGTCATAGTCAATCGATCAATAATATAATAATACTTTTAGCAAAAATGTTTACTTTCAATTTACAATCTGTAGAAACAATGAGAATAGAAGGGTTCAGAACTTTTGTAAAACATCACAGTACAGTTGAAAAATATATGGCAAATAGAAATCCAATATGGATGGTGTTAAGCGGTAGATGGGTGGTGTTGAATGGAGTTGAAGGATGGGACTAATAACAACAACTAATAACAACAAGATAACTAATGTAAAGCATACTGTGTCCATAATAAGTATATAGGTTGAGAGCTTTTGTGAAAGAGCACAGTTAGAAAGATATACAGTGGGGAAAAAAAGTATTTAGTCAGCCACCAATTGTGCAAGTTCTCCCACTTAAAAAGATGAGAGAGGCCTGTAATTTTCATCATAGGTACACGTCAACTATGACAGACAAAATGAAAATCCAGAAAATCACATTGTAGGATTTTTAATGAATTTATTTGCAAATTATGGTGGAAAATAAGTATTTGGTCAATAACAAAAGTTTCTCAATACTTTGTTATATACCCTTTGTTGGCAATGACACAGGTCAAACGTTTTCTGTAAGTCTTCACAAGGTTTTCACACACTGTTGCTGGTATTTTGGCCCATTCCTCCATGCAGATCTCCTCTAGAGCAGTGATGTTTTGGGGCTGTCGCTGGGCAACACGGACTTTCAACTCCCTCCAAAGATTTTCTATGGGGTTGAGATCTGGAGACTGGCTAGGCCACTCCAGGACCTTGAAATGCTTCTTACGAAGCCACTCCTTCGTTGCCCGGGCGGTGTGTTTGGGATCATTGTCATGTTGAAAGACCCAGCCACGTTTCATCTTCAATGCCCTTGCTGATGGAAGGAGGTTTTCACTCAAAATCTCACGATACATGGCCCCATTCATTCTTTCCTTTACACGGATCAGTCGTCCTGGTGCCTTTGCAGAAAAACAGCCCCAAAGCATGATTTTTCCACCCCCATGCTTCACAGTAGGTATGGTGTTCTTTGGATGCAACTCAGCATTCTTTGAGTTTTTACCAAAAAGTTATATTTTGGTTTCATCTGACCATATGACATTCTCCCAATCCTCTTCTGGATCATCCAAATGCACTCTAGCAAACTTCAGACGGGCTTGGACATGTACTGGCTTAAGCAGGGGGACACGTCTGGCACTGCAGGATTTGAGTGCCTGGCGGCGTAGTGTGTTACTGATGGTAGGCATTGTTACTTTGGTCCCAGCTCTCTGCAGGTCATTCACGAGGTCCCCCCGTGTGGTTCTGGGATTTTTGCTCACCGTTCTTGTGATCATTTTGACCCCATGGGGTAAGATCTTGCGTGGAGCCCCAGATCGACGGAGATTATCAGTGGTCTTGTATGTCTTCCATTTCCTAATAATTGCTCCCACAGTTGATTTCTTCAAACCAAGCTGCTTACCTATTGCAGATTCAGTCTTCCCAGCCTGGTGCAGGTCTACAATTTTGTTTCTGGTGTCCTTTGACAGCTCTTTGGTCTTGGCCATAGTGGAGTTTGGAGTGTGACTGTTTGAGGTTGTGGACAGGTGTCTTTTATACTGATAACAAGTTCAAACAGGTGCCATTAATACAGGTAACGAGTGGAGGACAGAGGAGCCTCTTAAAGAAGAAGTTACAGGCCTCTCTCATCTTTTTAAGTGGGAGAACTTGCACAATTGGTGGCTGACTAAATACTTTTCTTCCCCATTGTATGTATATATATACAGTGGGGAGAACAAGTATTTGATACACTGCCGATTTTGCAGGTTTTCCTACTTACAAAGCATGTAGAGGTCTGTAATTTTTATCATAGGTACACTTCAGCTGTGAGAGACCAGAAAATCACATTGTATGATTTTTAAGTAATTAATTTGCATTTTATTGCATGACATAAGTATTTGATCACCTACCAACCAGTAAGAATTCCGGCTCTCACAGACCTGTTAGTTTTTCTTTAAGAAGCCCTCCTGTTCTCCACTCATTACCTGTATTAACTGCACCTGTTTGAACTCGTTACCTGTATAAAAGACACCTGTCCACACACTCAATCAAACAGACTCCAACCTCTCCACAATGGCCAAGACCAGAGAGCTGTGTAAGGACATCAGGGATAAAATTGTAGACCTGCACAAGGCTGGGATGGGCTACAGGACAATAGGCAAGCAGCTTGGTGAGAAGGCAACAACTGTTGGCGCAATTATTAGAAAATGGAAGAAGTTCAAGATGACGGTCAATCACCCTCGGTCTGGGGCTCCATGCAAGATCTCACCTCGTGGGGCATCAATGATCATGAGGAAGGTGAGGGATCAGCCTAGAACTACACGGCAGGACCTGGTCAATGACCTGAAGAGAGCTGGGACCACAGTCTCAAAGAAAACCATTAGTAACACACTACGCCTTCATGGATTAAAATCCTGCAGCGCACGCAAGGTCCCCCTGCTCAAGCCAGCGCATGTCCAGGCCCATCTGAAGTTTGCCAATGACCATCTGGATGATCCAGAGGAGGAATGGGAGAAGGTCATGTGGTCTGATGAGACAAAAATAGAGCTTTTTGGTCTAAACTCCACTCGCCGTGTTTGGAGGAAGAAGAAAGATGAGTACAACCCCAAGAACACCATCCCAACCGTGAAGCATGGAGGTGGAAACATCATTCTTTGGGGATGCTTTTCTGCAAAGGGGACAGGACGACTGCACCGTACTGAGGGGAGGATGGATGGGGCCATGTATCGCGAGATCTTGGCCAACAACCTCCTTCCCTCAGTAAGAGCATTGAAGATGGGTCGTGGCTGGGTCTTCCAGCATGACAACGACCCGAAACACACAGCCAGGGCAACTAAGGAGTGGCTCCGTAAGAAGCATCTCAAGGTCCTGGAGTGGCCTAGCCAGTCTCCAGACCTGAATCCAATAGAACATCTTTGGAGGGAGCTGAAAGTCCGTATTGCCCAGCGACAGCCCTAAACCTGAAGGATCTGGAGAAGGTCTGTATGGAGGAGTGGGCCAAAATCCCTGCTGCAGTGTGTGCAAACCTGGTCAAGACCTACAGGAAACGTATGATCTCTGTAATTGCAAACAAAGGTTTCTGTACCAAATATTAAGTTCTGCTTTTCTGATGTATCAAATACTTATGTCATGCAATAAAATGCAAATTAATTACTTAAAAATCATACAATGTGATTTTCTGGATTTTTGTTTTAGATTCCGTCTCTCACAGTTGAAGTGTACCTATGATAAATATTACAGACCTCTACATGCTTTGTAAGTAGGAAAACCTGCAAAATCGGCAGTGCATCAAATACTTGTTGTGGGGAGAACAATATATGGGGGATTGGAAATGATGCAGACAATTACATTGATGGAAGCTGCAATATTAAAGCTGATCCCTAAATTTTTTTATAAATAATAAAAATGATTTAGAAGAGAACAGACAACATGTTTTAAAGACTTATTATGTTCTTTGTGTGTGTTTCTGTGTCTTTTTCTGTCTAGGAGGGCAGTGGTGACGAAAAGGACGAACAGGCCCTGGAGAACGAGCTCTTTCTGATGGTCACCCAGCTTCAGTGGGAGGACGACATCATCTGGAATGGAGAGGATGTGAAACACAAGGGCACTAAGACCCAGCGGGCCAGTCTGGCAGGGTGGCTGCCTTCCAGCATGACCCGTAACGCCAATGCCTACAACGCACAGCAGGGTAAGAGACCCACCTGCTCCAGTAACAATTAACACAGACTGACCTGCATAATGGCGATTCCTACCTCATTGAAATCCTATCACCAAAGCATAAACCCCAAATGTCCAGGGGATTTAGGACAAAAGTGGCAAATATAAACTGTTATAATTGTTGTGTATTTGTCTGCTTTGGGTTACCTAGGTATTCATGATGTCTATCTACACTCTACAGGTCTGAGTAGGAGTAACTCTCAGCTGGTGCCCCCCACTCCTCCACCCATGCCCAAAGCCCCCTCCATCGGCTCTGGCTCCAAGAGGGACAAACACCACCACGACCATCATGGTACTATGAGGCTATTTTACCTGGCATCTGTTGTAGAGTGTAATTGACTTTTAGAATGATGAATAATGTGATATTACAACATATTCCTACTTATCTCCGTTAATTGACATTTTAAAAGTACCACTAAAGCAGGGTTCTCCAACAGGTCGATCTCGAGCTACCAGTAGCTCGCAGCCCACCTATGAGTAGCTCGCCAAACAATTCTGATAGTACATGCAATTTTCACGTGTTCCACCGCAAACTGTCATAAACAAATCTCACAAAGTATCAGACACCGCAAGCTCCCAGCAACTATCTAATCAACGTGACATTGATATTATCCCAAGGCCTGAACTCGTGGTTAGCCTTTATTGGCTTAAAAAGACAAACCTAACACAATATCTGCTAATTAATTTCCAGCAATATTGTCCCTGTCTGTGTGTGTGGTACGCACGTTTGTCTATCACTCCGTGTGTAGCCAGTTGATGTGTTAACCGTCTTATGGGTTGACAGAAATACTTTCCCCAAAACCTTCTCAATTAAATGTTAACTGCAAAGTAGGCTTACCTGGAAGAAGTATATTATCATGAGTAAGTATATACAGTGCATTCAGATCCCTTGACTTTTTCCACATTTTGTCACGTTACAGCCTTATTCTAAAATTGATTAAATTCATTTTTTCCCTCATCAATCTACACAGAATATCCCATAATGACAAAGCGAAAACAGATTTTTAGAAATGTATGCAAATGTATTAAAAATAAAAAACTGAAATACCTTATTTACATAAGTATTCAGACCCTTTGCTATGAGACTCGAAATTGAGCTCAGATGCATCCTGTTTTCATTGATCATCCTTAAGATGTTTCTACAACTTGATTGGAGTCACCTGTGGTAAATTCAATTGATTGGACATGATTTGGAAAGGCACACACCTGTTTAAATAAGGTCCCACATTTGACAGTGCATGTCAGAGCAAAAACTAAGCCATGAGGTCGAAGGAATTGTCCGTAGAGCTCCGAGACAGGATTGTGTCGAGGGAAGGTTTCTGGGAAAGGGTTCCAAAATTATTCTGCAGCATTGAAGGTCTCCAAGAACAGTGGCCTCCATCATTCTTAAATGGAAGAAGTTTGAGTGGCCAGAGGGAAGCCACTCCTCAGTAAAAGGCACATGACAGCCCGCTTTGAGTTTGCCAAAAGGCACTTAAAGGACTCTCAGACCATGAGAAACAAGATTCTCTGGTCTGATGAAACCAAGACTGAACTCTTTGGCCTGAATGCCAAGCGTCACGTCTGGAGGAAACCTGGCACCATCCCTACGGTGAAGCATGGTGGTGGCAGTATCATGCTGTGGGGATGTTTTTCTGCGGCAGGGACTGGGAGACTAGTCAGGGTTGAGGGAAAGATGAACGGAGCAAAGTATAGAGCGATCCTTGATGAAAACCTGATCCAGGGCGCTCAGGACCTCAGACTGGGGCGAAGGTTTACCTTCCATCAGGACAACGACCCTTAGCACATAGCCAAGACAACGCAAGAGTGGCTTCAGGACAAGCCTCTGAATGTCCTTGAGTGGCCCAGCCAGAGCCCGGACTTGAACCCGATCTAACATCTCTGTAGAGACCTAAAAATAGCTGTGCAGCGACGCTCCCCATCCAACCTGACAGAGCTTGAGAGGATCTGCCGAGAAGAATGGGAGAAGCCCCCCAAATACAAGCGTGCCAAGCTTGTAGCGTCATACCCAAGAAGACTCAATGCTGTAATCGCTGCCAAAGGTGCATCAACAAAGTACTGAGTAAAGGGTCTGAAAACTTATGTAAATGTGATATTTCAGTTTTTATTTTATTTTAGAAATGTGCATACATTTCTGAAAACCTCTTCTTGCTTTGTCATTATGGGGTATTATGTGTAGATTGATGAGGGGGGAAAAAACAATTTAATCCATTTTAGAATAAGGCTGTAACATAACAAAATGTGGAAAAAGTAAAGGGGTTTGAATACTTTCCGAATGCACTGTAATTTGTATATATACTGAAAAAATATATAAACGCAACATGTAAAGTGTTGGACCCATGAGCTGAAATAAAAGATCCCAGAAATGTTCCATTCGCACAAAAAGCTTATTTCTCTAAAATGTTGTGCACAAATTTGTTTACATCCCTGTGAGTGATACTTTATTATTTGCCAAGATAATCTATCCACCTGACAGGTGTTGCATTTCAAGAAGCGGATTAAACAGCATGATCATTAATTACACAGATGCACCTTGTGCTGGGGACAATAAAAGGCCACTAAGATGTGCAGTTGTGTCACACAACACAATGCCACAGATGTCTGAAGTTTTGAGGGAGAGTGCAATTGGCATACTGACTGCAGGAATGTCCACCAGATCTGTTGCCAGAGAATGTAATGTTAATTTCTCTACCATAAGCCGCCTCCAACGTCGTTTTAGAGAATTTGGCAGTACGTCCAACCGGCCTCACAACCGCAGACCACGTGTATGGCATTATTTGGGCGAGCAGTTTGCTGATGTCAACATTGTGAACAGAGTGCCCCATGGTGCCGGTGGGGTTATGGTATGGGCAGGCATAAGCTATGGACAACGAACACAATTGCATTTTATCGATTGCAATTTGAACGCACAGAGATACCGTCATGCGATCCTGAGGCCTATTGTCATGCCATTCATCCTCCACCATCACCTCATGTTTCAGCATGATAATGCATGGCTCCATGTCGCAAGGATCTGTACACAATTCCTGGAAGCTGAAAATGTCCCTGTTCTTCCATGGCCTGCATACTCACCAGACATGTCACCCATTGAGCATGTTTGGGATGCTCTGGACCGACATGTACGACAGCGTGTTCCAGTTCCCGCCAATATCCAGCATCTTCGCACAGCCATTTGAAGAGGAGTGAGACAACAAAATCTTTGAAATTGTTGCATGTTGCGTTTTATATTTTCGTTCAGTATATTATTTCTTAGTTGCAAACTTTGCCATAAAATGAGCAGCAGCAATAGGCTACAGAACCATCGCTAGACTGGCACATTACATGGCACATTCCTCACTCGCTAGATGTGGAATTAAAGGGCCAGATGTACAATTAAAGGGGAATTACACACCAAAAACAATAATTCTTCAAGACCTAAAGAAAAAGGTATTTTGATGTGATTTAAACATTGATATGGACTCAGAACATTCAATTCAATTGTTTCTCTTTTAACAATTGTAATTTTGAGAGTGAAAAACAAAACGATTCTAAAACCAGGAGCAATCTAACTGAGAACATCATTTGGGAAAATATAAAACACATTTTGTAGGGGCCCCTTTAGTTTTTTATGAACCATTATTTAACCAGGGGAAGAGTTGCAGGGGAGAGGAGAAGATAATAATGTGCCTATTTGAAAGCTAGAAAACAATGAGTAGCTTGTGACAAGTAGCTCTCATGCTAGAAAAGGTTGGAGACCACTGCACTAAAGAGAGAGTAAATCTATCACTGCTGTTTTCCTATTGCTTTCCACAGCCTCTCATGAAGACGATGCCCCCTGGTTCTCCATCTTCCCCATTGACAATGAGGAACTGGTGTATGGGCGCTGGGAGGACAACATCATCTGGGATGACCAGGCCATGGATCGGATGCTCTCACCCCCTGTCCTCACCCTAGACCCCAACGATGAGAACATAATTTTAGGTACTGCCCCTTTCTTAGTGAACTGTGTGTACACTGTTTTTCAGTCAGTTTCAACAAGTTATGAAATATCTTGATGGTCTCTGTAACCTATTGAATGCTTTGATCTATCCACTAATCTCTAAACTTGGCCTCTTGCAGAAATCCCAGATGAGAAGGAGTCTGAGCATATGTCCCACTCCCCGTCTAAGGAGAACAAGAAGGAGTCAGCACTGAAGAAGAGTCGCATCCTGTTGGGGAAGACTGGGGTCATAAAGGATGAGCCACAACAGGTACTACAGGACTGGACCAGGGAACATAACATAGATCTGCCATTCAACAGGGACTGCAGTCCCTGAACTAACCTGTTGTAACTCCATCTCGGTTTTGTCTGCTGCCTACAGAACATGTCCCAGCCTGAGGTGAAGGACCCATGGAACCTGTCCAATGATGAGTTCTATTACCCTAAGCAGCAAGGCCTGAGGGGCACCTTCGGTGGCAACATCATTCAGGTGGGCACTAGATTCTCTCCTGTGAGCTCTGTTCCTATACAGGTTGATTAGCAGTTAAAGAGGATAATGTTAAAGATGCACTATGCAGACATTGCTCTGCCATTTCCTTGTTGCTAAAATTCTAATAGTTTGTGACAAAACAAGCAGTCAATGTGTAGAGAATCATTGTACCATCTAAACCGCTGTGAAATATATTTTCCATAACCAAAAATTCTGTTTGAAGCTGGTGTACAAAACCGAAAGTAAAAGACGCAAAAACTAAACTTAGGAACGGGAAGCATAGAAATATCCCACATAGAACAGATCTACCGCTTTTACATTTACATTTACATTTTAGTCATTTAGCAGACGCTCTTATCCAGAGCGACTTACATCAGCAATTAGGGTTAAGTGCCTTGCTTAAGGGCACATCGACAGATTTTTCACCTAGTCGGCTCGGGGATTAGAACCAGCGACCTTTCGGTTACTGGCACAACGCTCTTACCCACTAAGCTACCTGCCGCCCTAGCTTTAAATGAGAATGAGAAATCTATAACTCACATTTCTATGTGAATTTGGTCGAGTCGCCCAAAAAGGTACATATTGTAGCTTTAACCCCCTAAGGTTGATGTCCACGCCCCTGCGGAAATCTAATTAGCATAATAATAAAAATATTTGCATTGGATGCGTCTCAATCCTATTGCGCTTATGTCGCACTTCCGCATCTGCGGTGAAAGGTAACAGCGCTAGAGCGGTGTTTATCAGACCATGAGACGTCACAAACGGTTTGGCCTACACAAGACTCATCTGAAGGTCCCCCAGTACCAGTTGAAAAAATGTATGGAAGTATATATGGAGACTGTTTAGTGCCAAAACTAAGGGGTTAAGTACATGTACAAAAGAGAGAGATATACAGTATCTCTCAGATATAGAACAGACACTTCAGAACAAACTTTTTAGATGTTGTTCCATTTTAGTGTTGTTCCATGTAGTGAATCTGTTATTCTGTGCGGTTGTATGGGCTAATAGCAGTAAGGCCGAATAATTTGTTCTATTTTTTTAATATACTTCAAGGGGTGTTACATTTCAAAATCAAATAGCAAAATGATCCTTGGTATGACCTTCTTAAAATAAGTACATATAGCTTAAATTATAGACTGATCATGTCTTTGTCAGTGGGCAAACGTACAAAATCAGCAGGGGATCAAATACTTTTTTCCCTCACTGTATCTGTTGTTGCATGTAGTGAATCTGTTATTCAATGTGTTTGAATGGGCTAATAGCAGTAAGGCCCCAACATTTTTTTATACTTCCATACAAATTTCCACTGGTCTAATGTCCAATGCTCGTGTTTCTTGGCCCAAGCAGGTGTCTTCTTCTTATTGGTGTCCTTTAATAGTGGTTTCTTTGCAGCAATTCGACCATGAAGGCCTGATTCACACAGTCCCCTCTGAACAGTTGATGTTGAGATGTGTCTGTGACTTGAACTCAGTGAAGCATTTATTTGGTCTGCAATTTCTGAGGCTGGTAACTCTAATGAACTTATCCTCTGCAGCAGAGGTAACTCTGGGTCTTCCATTCCTGTGGCGGTCCTCATGAGAGCCAGTTTCATCATAGTGCTTGATGGTTTTTGCAACTGCACTTGAAGAAACTTTCAAAGTTCTTGAAATGTTCCGAATTGACTGACCTTCATGTCTTAAAGTAATGATGGACTGTCGTTTCTCTTTGCTTATTTGAGCTGTTCTTGCCATAATATGGACTTGGTCTTTTACCAAATAAAGCTATCTTCTGTATCCCCCCCCTACCTTGTCACAACACAACTGATTGGCTCAAACGCATTAAGAAGGAAAGAAATTCCACAAATTAACTTTTAAGAAGGCACACCTGTTAATTGAAATGCATTCCAGGTGACTACCTAAGGAAGCTGTTTGAGAGAATGCCAAGAGTGTACAAAGCTGTCATCAAGGCAAAGGGTGGCTATTTAAACTATTAAATATATTTTGATTTGATTAACACTTTTTTGGTTACTACATGATTCCATATGTGTTATTTCATAGTTTTGATATCTTCACTAAATTCTACAAAGTAAAAAATAGTACTAATAAAGAAAAACCCTTGAATGAGTGTCCAAACTTTTGACTGGTAGTGTATGTAACATTTCCTTGTCTATCCTTCTCTCCAGCACTCCATCCCTGCAGTGGAGCTGAGGCAGCCGTTCTTCCCTACTCACATGGGACCCATGAAGCTGCGTGGGTTCCACCGGCCCTCTCTGAAGAAGTACTCATTCGGGACATTGTCCCAGCCAGGACCCCATGCAGCACAGCCCCTACTCAAACAGATCAAGAAGAAGGCCAAGGTGAGACCGCAGCACTCACCTCATTCACCTCCATCTTTCTCTCCGTCTTGACACAGGTCGTCAAGAATGCGTCTGTCTTTCTGTCTGTGTTGATAACCTTGTTTGTGTGATTTGTGTTAAATATCCCTTTCTGTGCCCGTAGATGCGAGAGCAGGAGCGCCAGGCTTCCGGTGGAGGTGACATGTTCTTCATGCGGACAGCTCAGGATCTGACGGGGAAAGACGGAGACCTGATTCTGGCAGAGTACAGCGAGGAATACCCTCCGCTCATCATGCAAGTCGGCATGGCAACCAAGATCAAGAACTACTACAAGAGAGTGAGTTACTGCAGTATTCTTTCAATGACCAGTTCCCTTGTATCAACTTTGTTTAGCATTTACTAAAAGCTGAACAATCTCAGTGGTTCTTTTCCTTCCTCTATTGATATGAGTTGTGTTTTGTGAACATGCATTTTTAAATCTAATAAACTTGAAACATGGCTGTTTTCCCTCAGAAACCAGGGAAGGACCCTGGAGCTCCAGACTGTAAGTACGGAGAGACGGTGTACTGCCACACCTCACCTTTCCTGGGCTCCCTGCACCCCGGACAGCTGCTGCCGGTCAGTACCACAGTCATTACAGTCAGTCGCATGACAATTCATTGAGGTTTGAAAAATAATTTACTGTGAATGTGAATAGCCTGATGCATAGAAAGAGAACATTTAGAGACCTAATTGCAAATCTGTGTCTGTCTTTCTTTTAGGCTTTTGAGAACAACCTTTTCCGTGCCCCCATCTACCTCCACAAGATGCCAGAGACAGATTTCCTGGTGCTGCGTACACGGCAGGGCTACTTCATTAGAGAGCTGGTGGACATCTTTGTGGTCGGCCAGCAGTGTCCCCTCTATGAGGTCCCTGGACCCAACTCCAAACGAGCCAACACCCATATCAGAGACTTCCTGCAGGTATACCTTACGATACACACACACACGCATTATGACATCTGCAAGTCCACACACACATTGTCAAATGAGTTGTTCCACAAAATAAGTCCCTTTAGGTAAACAAACAAACAATAGGTTTATTTTACCAAATGTTAACATTATGTCATGACGAGCACATGTTCAACTTAATAAAAAACATGTTTTCCCATCTCAAGAGGTTAAATAAAAACAATACTATAGTAAGTGCCTATTAAGTGCCAAATAAAGTAACGGGGTTGACCGTAACAGGGTTGACGATTTCATCTTAAATCAGCCATAAATGTTGTGACAGGGGGAATGGAATCTTGTTGTTTGCAACAGGGAGGGACAAAATAATGCAACATTTCTATCTAATGGTAACAGGGTTGACGTGTTATGCTCGACCCACTCAGTTTTCTACCACAAAACACCAGAAAATGGAGTAGAAACAGCTTACCTGCTTTAAACTATGATTTGACTATTAAATGTTCAATGTTTATTTTGAACAAAATATTTAAAAATGAATAGTTTCACCATATTAAATTAGAGTTCAGTTCACATAACAGTGTTGACCTGAAAATGAGGGCCAGATTTTCTTTTAACCTTAAAATGTATCGCTAATAACATTAAATAAATAATAATCTGAAATGACTTTGTGAAAGCAAAAACATAACTAGGACTTTACAATGATGGTGAAATGTTGGGGTTAAGTGGGTTAAAATGTTCCTAGTCACAGAGGGTGCTCAGAGGGACGTCAAAAAGCTGAATTTTGGCACTTTAGCACAGAGGGTGCACAGAGGGACTTCAAAATGCTGAATTTTGGATTTTCCATGCTGTATTTTGAATTTTCCATGCTGTTTATATTAAAGGGCACTTCATTTAATATAACAGGCTTTTAAAATCCAATATTGGTGCACAATTTCAACTTCAAATATCAAAGGGACGCAAAAGGAACTCATTTCATGGAACGTCCCACATACTAGAGAAACCACACTTACAGAATGCATGCTTGCCTACACTCATGTCTCCTCCGCTCTTCTGTGCAGGTGTTTATCTATCGGTTGTTCTGGAAGAGTAAAGATCGTCCTAGGAGAATCCGCATGGAGGACATAAAGAAAGCTTTCCCCTCACATTCAGAAAGCAGCATCCGCAAACGCCTCAAACTCTGTGCTGACTTTAAGCGTACAGGTAGAAACAGCAAACCCTGCCATGAGCCAATACAACCGTATAGCCTCATGTTTGTCAATAGTACAGAATGACACACTGTCCTTCATTGTTTGCCCTCACAAAGATGAATAAGTAATGCAGAAATGTCAATATGCCTCGTGAACGTTGTTACTCACAACTGTCCATCAATCCTGATTTCATGTTAACGTTTCTACTCCCGTGTGATCTCAGGGAAGTGTTGAGGTGTAAGAGAGAGTGTTTAGCTGTGTGAGCTCAGAGATGGTGTGCCTTACTTTGACAGACAGGCGCCAGGAAAGAGAGAGGTCAGCATATTATGGCTATGGAGTTTACTGTGGAGGTAAGGTGTGGTCTGAGGAAAGCATCAATAAGGACCCATAGGTTTGCAGGGTCCTTTGCTAATATCTGCTGTTCTGCTCCTGCAACACCTCCGCTTTTAAGCCTAAAAGATGCTTCAGTTGAATGAAATGACGGTACATTTGATGCAGCAGGGAAGCTTTCTAGTCAAAAGTATCCAAAGGTTATAAGGTCTTTGGAGAGGGGGAATTGGCCATGCAAAATGCATCCATGAATTTTACAAAGCTGTAAGTTGGGCAGTAAAGGTGGACTAAAGAGAACGTGGGTAATACTTGTAATATGATTGAAGCTCATTTGCCCTGTCCCTGTCCCCAGGGATGGACTCTAACTGGTGGGTGCTGAAGCCTGACTTCAGGCTGCCTACTGAGGAGGAGATCAGGGCCATGGTGTCTCCAGAGCAGTGCTGTGCCTACTACAGCATGCTGGTGGCAGAGCAGAGACTGAAGGTAAGACTGACAGGCTCTTTGTATAGGTACCAGCTGTGATACCAATTCTCTTTACGGCGCTGTGTGAACTATACCATAACTTCTCTCTCTCCTCCAGGATGCTGGATATGGTGAAAAGTCCTTCTTCGCCCCAGAGGAAGAAAATGAGGAAGACTTCCAGATGAAGATTGATGATGAGGTTCAGCTCTACTGCTTCCTTTTCATGAAACATGGATTTTGATGCTCCATTGATGTTGGAAAAAATGATGATCCATGATTTCACCAGTATTCTTTGTGGTCCACCTTAGGTCCGCACAGCCCCTTGGAACACGACGCGAGCCTTCATCGCTGCCATGAAGGGGAAGTGTCTGCTGGAGGTCATGGGGGTGGCCGACCCCACAGGCTGTGGTGAGGGATTCTCTTACGTCAAAGTGCCCAACAAGCCCACTCAACAAAAGGTACTTCCCCTCGCTCTTACTCCCATTGCTCTGAAACACTTCTGCCAGATCAGGGGCCCCTAATTCCATTAATGCGTTCACAGCCTTTCTGACAAAAATATTTTCTGTTCTAACCATTCAACGAACCATTCAACGGTTGTTTGGTGATTATTACTAAAGCTAAAGGTTATTTTGTTATTTGTCATGTTTAGGCCCAGGACGACCGGGAGCCACAACCCGCTAAGAAGACTGTGACAGGGACAGACGCTGATCTGAGAAGACTATCACTAAAAAACGCCAAGCAGCTGCTGCGCAAGTTTGGTGTTCCAGAGGAAGAGGTAATCATGTAGTAATAACACAGTAATAACATAATAATAATAATAATTTGGGAGTTGCTCATATTTTGTTGGTTAAGGGCTTGTAAGTAAGCATTTCACGGTAAGGTCTACACCTGTTGTATTCGGTGCATGTGACAAATAAGATTTGATATGATATTTGTCCTGTTACACACAAGTGTGTAATGGAAATCCGTTTTTTTGCATATCCCAACTCCCCCTGAGACACTCGCAGGGGTTGTGGTCACGGCCAGGGTCACCATTGTACAGTGCCCCTGGAGCAATTAGTTAAGTGCCTTGCTCAAGGGCACAGCAACAGATTTCAAACCAGCAACCTAACTTCGAGGCTACCTGCCGCCATATTATATGAATGTATTAATTCCCTAATTTCATCCACCAACCTAAGTATGAAGGCTAGATCAATCTCTTAAACCTGTGTTTCTGTGTGTGTTTCAGATAAAGAAGCTGTCTCGTTGGGAGGTGATTGATGTGGTGAGGACCATGTCCACAGAGCAGGCGCGCTCTGGCGAGGGGCCCATGAGCAAGTTTGCCCGCGGGTCCCGCTTCTCTGTAGCCGAACACCAGGAACGCTACAAGGAGGAGTGCCAGAGGATATTTGACCTGCAGAACAAGTGAGGCCCTCCCCTTTTCCAAATAACCATAATTCACCACCCATGTCCTATAGGGATGCTGTAGTTGTACAGTATCTGATGTTCTACCTTCTCGGCCTCCCCCCCCCCCCCCCCAGAGTATTGGATTCTACCGAGGTCCTGTCCACAGATACAGACAGCAGCTCAGCAGAAGACAGTGACTTTGAGGAGATGGGGAAGAACATTGAAAACATGCTGCAGAACAAGAAAACCAGCTCCCAGCTGTCCAGAGAGAGGGAGGAGCAGGAGAGGAAGGAGCTGCAGAGGATGCTGATGGGAGAGGAGAGCGACCGCGACCACAAGGGACGCAAAGCACGCAAGGGCTTCTGTAAGTGGTGTGTTTGTGCATATGTGTTTCAGGAGTGTGTATGTCAGGGTTTATGCTAGGAAAATGTGGCGCCGGACAATGTGACCAGGAAGATTTAAATTTACCGGCAATTTGAGAATTTTACTGGACCCATATGCAATGGGTGCATAACTCATTAGGGCGTCCACCCACAGTGCTCAGAGTGACTGAAATCACATTTAGATTATGGTAATGAATCTTAACAGAACATTGCAACTCATGTAATGAAGCAGCCAATAAACCGTCATTTTCAGACATTCGCGGGAAAACACTATTCTAAACAGCGCACCTGGGAAAACACCATTCTTAACAGCGCACCTGGGAAAACACCATTCTTAACAGCGCACCTGGGAAAACACCATTCTTCACAGCGCACCTGATAGCGGTTCCATATGTGACAGAGATGAAAATCTCTGTTAGAAACTTAAAAAGAGGGGTTGCTAATATGACTAGGATTGTGCCTTTGGCTTCTGGACAATGAAAGAAAGTTGATATGAAAACCAATAGAACAGGAGAGAAATGACATAGAGGTGGGTCCAATAGGGAAGTAAATGGAAATACATTTCCCAAAATTATATAGTTACTCCTGTCTATACGGAAATAAATAAAATACTTCAAAATACTTCACAAGAAAGCATGACTTAGCCACAGAGGAATCGACGATCATTAGCTTCTTAAGTTTTTTTTGCTGTGGATTGTTTCAAATCACAAGCTTGTAGGCCTGTGCCTATTTGGGCAGCGCCGGTGGCAATAGGCCTAACTGATTATTGAGTTGCGGCTGTCAGTTTAAAACATCTAAAATATGTGTGAAGATAATGTGTTTTGAGTATAATTTCAAATGTTTAGACAAGAAGAAGGGAGGGGTGTGTGAGGCGAAGGTAGAGGCGAGTCTCTCCAGAATGGCTCAGCTGTCTCCTGCCAATTCTTCCGCATTCATTGTTTCATTGTGTGAATTGTTTGCCCTTTGATTATTTTATTTTTTTAATCAATTCCCCATTACATATGTCACCAGCAGTAAAATTACCAATAATCCCCATCATTTGGTTACATACATTTCTCTTAATGCATGTATTAATTACAGCCATTTACCGTTTTCATTCTTGGAGTGGACATGTTGTTTGCAGAGTTCACACCTGCTACACGTGAGTAACAAGTTTTGGTTAATTTCATGGAGTCCTCCATGTGAGCAATGAACATGTGTCAGGTTTCTCTGTCCTGATAATGTTGAGGGAGAGCGCGCCTGAGCGCACACAGAAGTACCTGGCCTGCTGTGCAGAAATGTAGGAAAGTGTTGTTGTTTTTTTTTACATCCATTGCAAATGATAATACACAGAGTGTACAAAACATTAAGAACACCTTCCTAATATTGAGTTGCACCCCTTTTTGCCCTCAGAACAGCCTCAATTCGTCAGGGCATGGACTCTACAAGGTGTCGATAGCGTTCCACATTGTTATTGGCCCATTTTGACGCCAATGCTTCCCACGGTTGTCAAGTTGGCTGGATGTCCTTTGGGGGGTGGACCATTCTTGATACACACAATTTGTTGAGCATGAAAAACCCAGCAGCGTTGCAGTTCTTGACACACTCAAACCGGTGCGCCTGGCATCTACTACCATACCTGTGGAGGCTCCTCAGAGGAGGAAGGGGAAGAGTGAATTTCATAAAAATATCATTTTTAGATAAAACTATATTAAATATATTCACGTCACCAAATACAGTTGAAGTCGGAAGTTTACATACACCTTAGCCAAATACATTTAAACTCAGTTTTTCACAATTGCTGACATTTAATCCTAGTAAAAATTCCCTGTCTTAGGTCAATTAGGATCAGCACTTTATTTTAAGAATGTGAAATGTCAGAATAATAGTAGAGAGAATGATTTATTTCAGCTTTTATTTCTTTCATCACATTCCCAGTGGGTCAGAAGTTTACATACACTCAATTAGTATTTGGTAGCATTGCCTTTAAATTGTTTAACTTGGGTCAAATGTTTCGGGTAGCCTTCCACAAGCTTCCCACAATAAGTTGGGTGAATTTTGGTTCATTCCTCCTGACAGAGCTGTCCATTTGGAAGACCCATTTGCGACCAAGCTTTAACTTCCTGACTGATGTCTTGAGATGTTGCTTCAATATATCCACATAATTTTCCTTCCTCATGATACCATCTATTTTGTGAAGTGCACCAGTCCCAACTGCAGCAAAGCACCCCCACAGCATGATGCTGCCACCCCTATGCTTCATGGTTGCGATGGTGTTCTTTGGCTTGCAAGACCCCCCTTTTTCCTCCAAACATAACGATGGTCATTATGGCCAAACAGTTATATTTTTGTTTCATTAGACCAGAGGACATTTCTCCAAAAAGTACGATCTTTGTCCCCATGTGCAGTTGCAAACCGTAGTCTGGCTTTTTTATGGCGGTTTTGGAGCAGTGGCTTCTTCCTTGCTGAGCAGCCTTTCAGGTTATACAGGTCGATATAGGACTCGTTTTACTGTGGATATAGATACTTTTGTACCTGTTTCCTCCAGCATCTTCACAAGGTCCTTTGCTGTTGTTCTGGGATTTATTTGCACTTTTCCCACCAAAGTAGGTTCATCTCTAGGAGACAGAACGCGTCTCCTTCCTGAGCGGTATGACGGCTGCTTGGTCCCATGGTGTTTGTACTTGCGTACTATTGTTTGTACAGATGAACGTGGTACCTTCAGGCGTTTGGAAATTGCTCCCAAGGATGAACCAGACTTGTGGAGGTCTACAATATTTTTTCTGAGGTCTTGGCTGATTTCTTTTGATTCTCCCATGATGTCAAGCAAAGAGGTATTGCGTTTGAAGGTAGGCCGTGAAATACATCCACAGGTACACCTCCAATTGACTCAAATTATGTCAATTAGCCTATCAGAAGCTTCTACAGCCATGACATCATTTTCTGGAATTTTCCAAACTGTTTAAAGGCACAGTCAACTTAGTGTATGTAAACTTCTGACCCACTGGAATTGTGATACAGTGAATTATAAGTGAAATAATCTGTCTGTAAACAATTGTTGGAAAAATTACTTGTGTCATGCACAAAGTAGATGTACTAACCGACTTGCCAAAACTATAGTTTGTTAACAAGAAATGTGTGGAGTGGTTGAAAAACAAGTTTTAATGACTCCAACCTAAGTGTATATAAACTTCCGACTTCAACTGTAACTGATTTAAAACACATTGTTTTGCATTGAAGGTCTACAGTAGCCTCAACAGAAGTCTGTAGGGTAGCACCATGGTGTAGCCGGAGGACAGCTAGTTTCCGTCCTCTGGGCCCTCTCCTCTTCTCTCTATACACCAATTCACTCGGCTCCATCATATCCTCACATGGTCTCTCCTATCATTGCTATGCAGATGACACTCAACTACTTTTCTCCTTCCCCCCCTTCTGACACCCAGGTGGCGACACGCATCTCTGCGTGCCTGGCAGATATCTCAACTTGGATGTCTGCCCACCACCTCAATCTCAACCTCGACATGACGGAACTGCTCTTCTTCCCGGGGAAGGCCTGCCCGCTCAAAGACCTCTTCATCACGGTTGACAGTGTCGCCCTCGAAGAGGGCAAAGAACCTTTGCGTGACCCTGGACAACTCCCTGTCGTTCTCTGCAAACATCAAAGCAGTGACCAGCTCCTGCAGGTTCATGCTCTACAACATCTGTAGAGTACGACCCTACCGCACACAGGAAGCGCCGCAGGTCCTAATCCAGGCACTTGTCCTCTCCCATCTGGACTCAAGGTTTTCAACCTTTCCAAGTTCTATGTCACCCCGCTCCTCCACACACTCCACTGGCTTCCAGTCGAAGCTCGCATCCACTACAAGACCATGGTGCTTACCTGTGGAACAGTAAGAGGAACTGCCCCTTCCTACATTCAGGCGATGCTCAAACCCAACACCCCAACCTAAGCGCTCCGTTCTGCCACCTCAGGTCTCTTGGCCCTCCCACCCCTACGGGAGGGCAGCTCCCGCTCAGCCCAGTCCAAGCTCTTCTCTGTCCTGGCACCCCAATGGTGGAACCAGCTTCCCCCTGAAGCTAGAACAGCAGAGTCCCTGCCCATCTTCCAAAAACATCTGAAACCCTACCTTCAAACAGTATCTTAAATAATCCTCCTCCTCACCTTTAAATGTAAATGTAAATACAAAACCTAGGAGGCTCGTGGTTCTCACCCCCTTCCATAGACTTACACAGTAATTATGACAGGTCGGAGGACGTCCTCCGGAAGTTATCAGAGCTCTTGCAGCATGAACTGACTTGTTGTCCATCCAGTCAAAGGATCAGAGAATGGATCTAGTACTGAAAGTATAAGCTATAGCTAGATAGCACTGCAGTGCATTACATGTGGTGAGTAGTTGACTTAAAGAGAGAGAAAGACAATAGTTGAACAGTTTTTAACAAATTAATTTATTGAAAAATGAAGGAGAAGCAAGAGAGAGGGAGAGCGAGAGCTAGCTATATTTCTATTTTTTTCACTTAGCTAGCGAATGCTGCTAAATAGTTTAGCCTACTCAAACACCCGGCTCAAACAGAGAGGGATGCTATGTTAGCTAGCTGGCTATGGCTATCCAACACTGGAAGTCTTCCAAGTCAAGGTAAGCTTTTGGTTTTATTAATTTATTCCCACCGGGGCCCGCTGGTATAACTGCTAAACTGTTTGCTGACTTTACACTGTACTGCATGATTGTAGCGGGTTTACTAACGCGTTAGTCCTAATAGCTATGTTGACTTGACGTTAGCTAATATGGTGACAACGATGTAGGCTGTGTGTAGCTGTGAGCGGTTATGATATGAAGGTTTGGCCTGGAAAGGTTTTTTTGCCTGGTCACAGACAGCTGATGTGTTGTTCGCTGGAGTCCACAAGCGAAGGGAAAAGGTGAGAGGAGGAGAGTGTGTAGATGTGAGAAGGAATTATCCAATGATCAAAGGGATCATGCTGTTTGTATGTGGCTGCTAATAAAGTGAACTGCCGATTCTGTTGAAAAACATTTCTTAAGGAAGCAAACGAAACAAAACGGGGATAATCATACCTGAATTTGTCCAATAGAAACTCTCCAATACACTTTTGGTGTAATGATTACACCCTAGATCAGCTAGATGCAGGCAAGGTTGTGTAAGGCGGTATTGATTGTGTCAATATCTATCACCTTGATTACTCAAATTTTTTCGACCTTTGCAGCTACGTTGTAAACTTCCATTCATAGGCTAGGTTGTAGCAACCTCATGATGGGTATAGGGAAGATTTGAGTATCATGTAGTAGCCTAAACCTATCGCTGTTACATTGAACTGGCTGAATGGAATATGAATGTCTGTCATCCAATATGCTATAATAGAAATAAGACCATGCTCATAAAAAAAGAAATATCATCCTCCCTCATCTTAAACGGCACTGACCGCCACTGTACCATACCCCATTCAAAGGCACTTAAATATTTTGTCTTGCCCATTCACCCTCTGAATGGCACACATACACAATCAAGGCTTAAAAATCCTTCTTTAACCTGTCTCCTCCCCTTCATCTACACTGATTTGAAGTGGATTTAACAAGTGACATCAATAAGGGATCATAGCTTTCACCTGGATTCCTGGTCAGTCTATGTCATGGAAAGAGCAAATGTCCTTAATGTTTTGTACACTCAGTGTATATTAAAACTATATAGTTCCTCACAGTAAGCTATTTAAGACATACCTCATAATATGAAATAAAGCATTCCAGTTTCGAACAATTAAGTATGTTTTCAAAATGCATACTCTCTCCAGCTCACATTGTAAAGTGGTGGGTGACGCGCTGATAGACTGTTTCCTGCACTTGAATGGTGAATGGGAGGCGCGCTTCAATTACCAGTTGAGAAATAAAAATAGTAGCTCTCTTTAATCGTGCACCAAAACGGTTTTTAACACGCAATTGCGTTTAGAACTGTTGCACAATGAATGGTTTTATAAAATCAGGTTTTACTCCAGCAGTAAGTGAGGAGCTGCAGGAGAAATCCCCCTCAAAATAGTCTCTGTATGCTGTGATAGTTGTTGGATAAATAAGATACATGATGACAAACGAAAATACACACAGGCCAATTTAATTCCACTAAATTATGCAAATTCACTTATAGACCCCATACGCATGACGGTCAAATGTTTTTCCATCAATTAATAAAAAGCATTCTTTTGCAATGCGATTTTTTTAATTTATCGGCTTTTCATTTTTGGGGGGTGCCAAAAGCCGGCAACTGCTGGCTAACGGAAACCCTGGTGTGTTTGTGTAACTTATCTCTCTCTCTGTGTGTCCCTGCAGCCAGTGCCTTGTCCTCGGGCTCCCATAAAGATGACGACACGTCCTCAGTCACCAGCCTGAACTCGTCCGCTACGGGACGGCGGCTCAAAATCTACCGCACCTTCAGGGACGAGGACGGCAAGGAGTATGTCCGCTGTGAGACAGTCCGCAAACCCTCCGTCATAGACGCCTACACCAGGATCAGAACCACCAAGGATGATGAGTTCATGTGAGTCCGTCCGTCTGTGTAGTGTGTGTGTGTGTGTGTGTGTGTGTGTGTGTGTGTGTGTGTGCGCCCTGTGTGTATGTGTGTGCGCATGCGGTCTGTGTGTCTGCGCCGTGTGTGTGTGTGTCCAACCTGTCACTAAGTCTCTGTCTGCCTGTCTCTGTCTGCCTCTACAGAAGAAAGTTTGCTGTGTTTGACGAGCAACACAGAGAGGAGATGAGGAAGGAGCGGAGGAGGATCCAGGAACAGCTGAGGAGGCTGAAGAGGAACCAGGAGAAGGACAGGTTCAAGGGCCCCCCGGAGAAGAAGCCGAAGAAGGTCAAGGAGAGGCCAGACCTCAAGGTAAAAGTAAGCTTGCCAGCCCATAATGATTCAACTCCAAGACTATCCTCCCCGCTTTTCCATAACCTGCTGTCTGTTTTCCTGCTGATCTGCGCTGTTTCTAAAATAGGATAATTCGATTCAAGATAAACCTTCCTCACTGTTTTCACACTTTTCTTAATATATATTATATTGCTTATAATAAGCATGATAATGTAGTGTTTGTATGTGATGTGGCACTTATTGTGCCATGTGATGCAGTGAGCTGCAGTTTCCATTCCTATACAGCGTGTTTGTCCGATTGTTAACTACATCTCTTTTTCTTCCTCCCCCTTGCCCTAGCTGAAGTGCGGAGCATGCGGTGCCATCGGGCACATGCGAACCAACAAGTTCTGCCCGCTATACTATCAGACCAACGCCCCGCCCTCCAACCCGGTTGCCATGACAGAGGAGCAGGAGGAGGAGCTGGAGAAGACTGTCATCCACAACGACAACGAGGAACTCATCAAGGTGGAGGGAACCAAGATCGTCCTGGGCAAGCAGCTTATCGAGAGGTACCACATAGACAGACAGACTAGACATTCAGGAGAAAAGGAGACTTAAACGTAAATATTTCCATGTTACTAGAGTGACAGAAGTCTTTTTACTCTTATATTGAGTTGGTAATGCCAGCTTCAAACCACCAAAAGATATTGCACAGCTAATTGAGCTTCTGTAGATCTGTCCATTATGTGCTGTACGTCTGTCTAAATAACCACGTTTCAATCCAACCACTTTATGCAGATTAATTACCTGACGCAACTGGGCTGATGGAAACAGGAAATGCCAGTACAATTTTATAAATGCTGACAAACTATTTGTTCGTTCGACATGGTGGGATATTTTTGTGTCTATAAAATTAATTAGCAAGAAATATTTATATAATAACCATCATATCGAAGTAAACTTGGAGTCAGGCGGTGGATGATATGTTGTGTGGTCCTCCCACTACGACTCGGGAAACCATGCAGTTTATTAGGCTACAGATGAAATAAGTTATGATGAACCTCACAAGGCGGTGAATGTGCAAGGTGATGAGCTTGATGCTCCTTTCCAATAAATATTGAGGGTCTTATTCTGGTGACATGATAATCAATGCTTGGCTGTCGTTTGACAAATACAAATAATATCGTTCTTATCCATAATAATCTCATCATGTAGACTAACCTACCCACACTGTATCTGCCAGCTGTTGGCTAGAGCGCACATGCCAAGACCAGAGTAGGCACATTTGCTATAGAACGCAACAGTTTTTGAGAGAAAACCATCAGTAGAGTTGAAAATGCGACGGAAACCCATTTAACTTGTATTTTTTATTCGGTACATGGGAATTTAACCGCAAAAGGTATTTTTATGTGCGCTACGTCATCACGCACAGCCTTTTATCTGCAAAAAGTAAGTTTGATGGAAACGCATCTCTGGTGGGAAAATGCGCATATTGGTTTATGAAGATTTTAGAATATTCGCATGGAAATCTGTCGCAAATTGGACGGAAACCTAGCTAAAGTTTGTGATATATCGCGTTGTGCTGCTGTGTAAAGGACCACGTTGTCTCCTCTTCCAGTGCTGATGAGGTGCGTAGGAAATCCCTGGTGCTGAAGTTCCCCAAACAGCATCTTCCCCTCAAGAAGAAGAGACGTGTGGGGACCACTGTACACTGTGACTACCTCAATGTGAGCCTGACAGTTGTTGCATATGACTATTCTGTTCAAGCAGGCTCTAGAAAATCTTTAACACTGTGATTGTTGTTTTGTTGTAACTTGTCGTCCTCTCACAGAGGCCCCACAAATCCATCCACCGCCGACGTACTGACCCCATGGTCACCCTTTCCTCAGTCCTGGAGAGCGTCATCAACGACATGCGGGATCACCCTAATGTAAGATACGCACATACATTCACACAATTCACTGCTTACAGACAGACAGACTGACTGCCTACAGGCTTTCCTCTCTCTCCTTCCTTCTCTCCTCCCTCCCTCTACTTCTCTTCTAGACCCCCTCCCTGCCTCAATTCCTCTGACCTCATGTTATAGGCTTTCTCTCCTCTCCCTATCTCTCTCTCTCTATCGCCTATCTCTCCTCTTATCTCTCTCCTCTCCTCTTCTCCTTCTCTCTCCCCTCTCTATCTCTCCTTTCTCTCTTCGATCTCTCTCCCCTCTTTCTCTCCTCTCCTCTCCTCCCCCCTCTCCTCTCTCTCTCTCTCTCTACTTCTCTCGCGTCTCTCTCTCTCTCTCCTCTCCGCTCTAGCTCTCTCTCTCTCAGCCTCTCCCCTCTCTTTCCCCCTTCTCCTCTCTCTCTCTCTTCTCTCTCTTCTCCCCTCTCTCTCTCTCTCTCTCCCCCCTCTCTCTCTCTCCCCTCTCTTTCTCTCTCACACACAAACACACTCACACACACAATTGTAATGTCTTTACCTCTTGTTACAGACATACCCCTTCCACACACCGGTCAATGCCAAGGTGGTGAAGGACTACTATAAGGTCATCCCTCGTCCCATGGATCTACAGACGCTACGGGAGAATGTGCGCAAGCGTGTGTACCCCTCCCGGGAGGAGTTCAGAGAGAACGTGGAGCTCATCGTCAAGAACAGCGCCACATACAATGGTACAACTTTAAAATACTTGAAGCCTTAGAGAATGACTGTAATATTTGACTCTGTCCGACCATTATATAAATCTTATTGAGACTGTAATTGTTGTTGTGTATTCAGGTGCCAAGCATCCAATAACCCAGGTGGCGCAGACTATGCTGGACCTTTGTGATGAGAAACTGAAAGAGGTACGTGTGAACGCTGATGGATTCCTGGATGGGTGCCATTTTGGACACCGCCCAATGTCTGCTGCTGTGTTTGCAGAAGGAGTGTGAAAATGTTCAGCAACTCTTGGAAGACAATGGAAGTGGCCTTCAGTACTTGTTTATTATTGAACCGATAAATTCCTTTGTCTTGTGCAGAAGGAAGACCGGCTGGTGAGACTGGAGAAAGCCATCAATCCCCTGCTGGACGATGACGACCAGGTGGCCTTCTCCTTCATCTTGGACAACATCGTCACTCAGAAGATGATGGCCGTGCCTGACGTGAGTGGAGCTCCACACAATCATCAGGGTTTCTACTTTCTTTCGGACGCTTCGGATGTCACTGAGAGAATATCTGCTATTAGTATTTTCTCTGTGACTAAGTCATTTTACTGAGCAGTCTTTTCTTTGCCCTAAACAAATGCCTAACGTTTAGAGCGTTGGGCCAGAAACCCAAAGGTTGCTGGTTTGAATACCCGAGCCGACAAGGTGACGAATATGTAGATGTGCCCTTGAGCAAGGCACTTAACCTTAATTTGCTTTATGGGTGCCGTACTTCTATGGCTGACCCTTTAAAAACACATTTCACTGCACCTATCCGGTGTATGTGACAATAAAATAAATAAATAAAATGTATTAAAATATTGACAATTGTGGCAATACTTCAATCAAGCACTCAGTGATGATGTTCTAACTGTCCTTACTCTGCCTGTATCCCCTCTTCAGTCTTGGCCGTTCCACCATCCAGTCAACAAGAAGTTTGTTCCAGATTACTACAAAGTGATAGTCCAACCCATGGACCTGGAGAATGTCCGCAAGGTGAGTTAGTTAGCGGAAGTAGACTTCGGTGTGAGCTTTGAGGAAAACCTGAACTCTATCTTGTACAAACCCTCTCCCCCTCTCACCCCGTAGTCCAATCCTTTTGTTCCTTTGCTGGTTTCCTTAAGTAATATACACACTGGACTGTCACACCAACAATAACAGCCAGGGCCAGTCCTAGTAAAGATGAGGAAAACCACAACAAAGACTCATTTTGGATCCTCCCATGCCAAGATGGATCTAACCTACACTACCAGTCAAAAGTTTTAGAACACCTACTCATTCAAGGCCTTTTCTTTATTTTTACAATTTTCTACATTATAGAATAATAGTGAAGACATCAAAACTATGAAATAACACATGTGGAATCATGTAGTAACCAAAGAAGTGTTAAACAAATCCAAATCAATTTTATATTTGAGGTTCTTCAAATAGCCACCCTTTGCCTTGATGACAGCTTTGCACACTCTTGGCATTCTCTCAACCAGCTTCATGAGGTAGTCACCTGGAATGCGTTTCAATTAACAGTTGTGCCTTCTTAAAAGTTAATTTGTGGAATTTCTTTCCTTAATGCGTTTGAGCCAATAAGTTGTGTTGTGACAAGGTAGGGTTGATATACAGAAGTAAGCCCTATTTGGGAATAGCATCTCTGTTCTGAAGCTGTTCTGAGGTCAAAAGGGGGGGGTGCAACTCAATATTAGGAAGGTGTTCTTAATGTTTTGTACACTCAGTGTATATGTAATATACAGAATATATTACAGAATGCAGTAGATGGTAATATAGTGTAATATAATCATTTATGTTATTTAAAAGTCTCTCTGTGTGATGTGGTCCAACAGAACATATCCAAACACAAGTACCAGAACCGGGATGTGTTCCTGTTTGACGTCAGCCTGGTCCACACCAACAGTGTCAAGTACAACGGTCCAGACAGTCCTTACACCAAGACGGCCCTGGAGATAGTCAACGTGTGCAAGCAGACCCTGGCAGAGGTGTGTGTATGAAACAGCAGGACAGGGACATAATGAAAGTCTCTATACTTTATGACTTCATTATGTTTCCTCCAACCGCGATCATTTGACTGTTGCTTGATATATCCCCAGTATGATGAGCACCTGACCCAGCTGGAGAAGGACATCTCCACAGCTAAAGAGGCTGCTCTGGATGCAGCAGACCTGGATAGCCTGGACCCCATGACTCCTGGAACCTACACACCACAGGTAGCAATGTTCCTGTCCCATGTGTGGCCCAGAAACAAGCCAGATGCCACCAATGGGCCCTTAAATCCCCATCACCCCCAGTCACCAAATAAAGTACCTAAACTCAACCCTCACATGCTCCAGAGTTGGGGAATGTAACTCCTCTCCAAGGACCTACTTTTTAACCTCTGTCTGCTGTAGTCTCTCCCTCCATATTACATAGCCTCTTCACATTCTAGTCTTTCTCTGCCTTGTAGTTCCTCTTTAGCACTGTTGTATGTGTCTGCAATTTAGTAGTTGTTTCTATAGCCTCTGTATATCTTAGTCTCTATACTATCCTTCCTACCCTGTGGTTATCTCTTCTCCTCCCTCTTTCCTGTGTGTTTGTGTGTGTGTGTGTGTGTGTGTGTGTGTGTGGTGGGCAGCCTGCCAATGTGTTTGACAGCAGTGCCTCTGTGAGCCTGCACAGAGAGACCAGACTGTTCTCTGAGGTTAAGGCATCTCTAATGGCTGTTCCAGAGAAGAGGGGGTTAGGGAAGGTACGGAGAGAGATCCTCCAGGAGTGTAACGGGCGTCTGTCTCATCCAGGGATCACCTCTCCTTTAACCACCCTCTCGCCTCCCATCCCCCCGTTCCTTCTTGCACATTCACCTGGTCGTCCCCTTCTAGTTCTTCCCTTTCCATTCCCACAATGTGGATCCTGACTGGTGCATGCTCATCCTAACGTAGAGCCATTCCAAGATCCCTTTCTGCATTTTATTCCTAAGACAAAGATGCTTCCTCCCCATAACTCATTTGGTTCATTTGTCTGCCTGTTTCACTTGTGTGTTACTTTTGCTCCTAATTGTGACTGCTTGTAATACTAGCGTTCTGTTTGCCCTGACAATTATCTCTTTTCAGCCATCATCTCTATTGCTTCACAAGTCATCACTCTGTCTTTCCCCAGAAGTATCCCTCCTGTCTCCGTCAGTGTTGCTTAACTTCTCTGTGTGTCTCTAGGGTCGTCATAGAAGACTAGGAGAGGAGGAGTCGGACGTGGACATCGAGGGCTTCGAGGAGGAGTATGACGGCAAGCCCAAGACACCAACTCCTGTAAGACTCAGATCATGGAGTCATCATGGGGTTTAGAGTGGATGGATTTGGAGACTGTTTGTAGTTCAGTCAAACTAGTCATTTTAATGATAATGACCTGTTCCCCAGGCTGAGGATGGTGAGGGAGACCTGGAGTATGAGGAGGATGAAGAGGAGATGCTGTTGCCGCCGCCCCGCAGACGACTGCAGGGCCACGAGGATGATGATTATGATGAGGATGACGGCTCCAGTCGGCCAACCCAGGCCAGTGTGCTGTACCAGGACCTGCTCATGTCAGACGGAGAGGATGACGCCAGCGAAGAGGAGGGAGACAACCCGTTCTCCTGTGAGTCACACTGGGGTGGAGGTTATCATAGGATGGAGTGAGATTATGAATAGAGATTCAATTAACATTAAGTTCATCAAGGTTAATTAAAACCTACATCCTATGATTTGGGGATATCTGTAGGACACTACAGACAGTATGTGATATCTGAGGTTCTAATGGTGTGTCCTGTCCCGCCCCAGCGATCCACCTGTCGGAGAGTGGCAGTGACTCAGACAGAGAGGTGGAGGTGCGTCCCCCGCCCCCTCCCAGACCCCACCAAGAGACGGCCCGCATGGGCCTGGAGCAGGACGACAGCATGATGTCATACGGGGAAGAGGTGCCGGATGAGACCCACCTGGAGGACAGTAATGTCAGGTACAGCATAGAGCCAGCAACCACCATGGCCGACACATTATGTACATGGTGGATTTACATCGTTGTTTGGATCTTGGGCCCTATTAACCCATACTTTACCCCTCCCTCTCTTTATCTCCCCCTTTCCCATAGTTATGGGAGCTATGAGGAGCCGGAGGGTCAGACCCAGACCCAGACCTCCAGCATGGGCAATGGAGAGGGATATGGCATGAGTGAGGAAGAGGAGGAAGATGAGGAAGAGGCAGCTCGGAGGAGAGGTCCCAGTGTGCTGTCCCAGGTGCAGCTGAGTGAGGATGAGGACAGCGAAGAGTTCAGGTCCATTGGGGGTGACAGTGACATGGACTCAGACAACTAGAGAAGTGTTCCACCGCACACACACACACACACTTAAAGACGCAAATGCGCTCTACAATCATTATAACAGACAGATCCACATCCATACATGTGAGCTCAGGCTCACTGAATGAATACACCTTAAACTTGCAGGCTGAATTACATGCATGTACTGTCATAACTTTATCTCATGTCAGTCAATCCCCCAATGATAGTTCAGACTGTTTGCTGTCCAGTCATTACCACACCTATGAAGTCTCTATGATAAACTCCTCTGTGAGATCAATATTGTACAAAATGTTCAATCAAACTGAAGTGAGCTTGTTTATCTATAATGGCAGGATTAAATTGGAGTTGATGCTTTAAATCAATGTTTTCTACTGGTTATGCTCTTTTCAGTGTACCGACACATGTATATATTTTTTTACAATTATGTACCTTGAATAAAGTTGTATTTTATGGTTGTGCAGAACTTTGGCCAAAATGTAGATATTTGAATAGTCAGCTTTGACAATTGTTTGTTTTCAGTGCCAGGTCTCATCTCAACCTTTTGTCTTGAGACACTGGGTTAAGTGATCGAAAAATACTGTTATTCCCCATTAACTTTTATGATTGCATCCTGGATTTTCAGGCATTTTAGATGTTTCCAGCACTGTTATTAGGAAACTCTCAAACTTCCAAGGAGATCCTAAATAAAAACCAGATATGATGCCATCATCTTTCCATTGTTTGTTTTTGGGGATAAATGTTAGCGGTATCTGATATAACCACGTTGAAGTTGTCCTTTTGTGTTATGCTGTCTTGCTTATCGAAAGTAAGAGGCACTGTTCAATACCAGTCTGCAGTAACACATTAACAAGAATATGTCATTTTATTACAGAAGTCTATAGAGTGTTCTATCATCAAGGTGCTTCCTCTTTCCCTGCTTTTTTTATCCTGCCATACCTTACAGGCTTTCCCTCGTTCATATCTTAGTCAGGACAGTGATCATACAAGCTGAACATGAACTCTGCTCCACCGTAAACTCATGATTATTGTAGGGAGTCACGTATATAACGTGTCAAGTATAAAATAGTACAGTACGTGTGTGAAGATCCCGTGTAGCTCAGTTGGTAGAGCATGGCGCTTGCAACGCCAGGGTTGTGGGTTCGTTTTCCACTGGGGGCCAGGAAGAAAAATGTATGCACTCACTAATCGCTCTGGATAAGAGCGTCTGCTAAATGACTAAACTGTAAAATGTAAGATGAAGGGCTATAGTGTGCTGTGTTTAATATTTCTGCTCCCTGTCACAGTTATTGGACAAACGACACCAGATCGTGAGAAGCAATTATTTTCTGTTGAAATCTGTAAAGAAAGCCTTTTTTTTAGTATGAGTAGGATATGTATTACTGTATCATTGACTCAGATGACATCTCTAAAATGAACATGTAAATATACTGTAGGTTGTCCTGCTGCTTTTTGAGTTTTCTGGGGGGGAGTAGGTTAGGCCCTCTGTTTGAAGATAGTGCTTTTTATCAAATTGTGTCTTCATTTTCTCATGATTTTGCTGGGCCAAATCACTGGATCATGTTTCAGTTACATGTTTTATTTTTACATCCAGAAAGTTGTGGAACAGTAGATGACTTTGGAGTGTGCACGGGAACTGCATATGAATGCAATGCTGAGAAAAGCAAATGCTACTGTAAGGACAAGAAACCTTTCTGTGTGTATGTTTCAGCACTTCCCACACTTGACTCTATAGCTTTATCCTCAATATTTGTTTCTTTTGGAATTCAGATATTTTCAATTCTTATATAAATATTTTAGTAACCTCTGCCCTGTGTAGCTCAGTTGGTAGAGCATGACGTTTGCAAAGCCAGGGTTGTGGGTTCGTTTCCCACGGGGGGCCAGTATGAAAAATGTATGCACTCACTAACTGTAAGTCGCTCTGGATAAGAACGTCTGCTAAATGACTAAAATGTAAACGTAAATGCTATGCTGTTCTTTTCAGATGTAACAACTATATAGACAAGTAGTACATAGGGGAGAAGTTTGACTTTGAGTGGACCATATTAAAACGCATTAAGGAAAGAAATTCCACAAATTAACTTTTAAGAAGGCACACCTGTTAATTGAAATGCATTCCAGGTGACTACCTCATGAAGCTGGTTGAGAGAATGCCAAGAGTGTGCAAAGCTGTCATCAAGGCAAAGGGTGGCTATTTGAAGAACCTCAAATATAAAATAGATTTGGATTTGTTTAACTTTTTTGGTTACTACATGATTCCATATGTGTTATTTCATAGTTTTGATGTCTTCACTATTATTCTACAATGTAGAAATTTGTTTTTTTTTTTTAATTGAGAAAAAGCATTGAATGAGTAGGTGTTCTAAAACTTTTGACTGGTAGTGTAGGTTAGATCCATCTTGGCATGGGAGGATCCAAAAGGAGTCTTTGTTGTGGTTTTCCTCATCTTTACTAGGACTGGCCCTGGCTGTTATTGTTGGTGTGACAGTCCAGTGTGTATATTACTTAAGGAAACCAGCAAAGGAACAAAAGGATTGGACTACGGGGTGAGAGGGGGAGAGGGTTTGTACAAGATAGAGTTCAGAGGCTCAATATTTCCATGTGTTTTGCACAGTGTTGGGCATTAACTAAATAGATTAATATTTGTCCACAGTCTTGTTTCAGGATTGAAATGACTACTCATCATGTCTTTATAATGTCATTTACACTTTTTTCAGTTACACAAACAATGCAATGTCACCGACAACATATGATGAAAATAACCAAGATGACTTGTTCTCCAACACAGTGTTTGCCTCAGACATGCTGGTGAGTAGCTTGAGTTCCTTTACTCTTCAAGGTATTAGATCAACCTAAGACCAAATGGTATTTCCAATGGTGATGTCACATCCAGAGATCCTGCTAAGTTAGGGATTCCTTATCTCCCAGTAGTGATACAGTTTGTGAATCATTCACCTTAGATAAAGTCAACTTGTCTTATTTCTGAAGAATTGGCCAAAGCCCCACAGTCTCCAGCCCACCCATGGCCAACTTACAGAACCGCCCTTACAGGTTAGCTGTCTGAACACAATTCAACATGCCACTGGTTTTCACTTTCATTATGGGGGCCCTTATTATAGTGTCTGCAATGTTATAATGTGCTTTGACTGTAAGTCGCTTTGGATAAAAGCGTCTGCTAAATGGCATATTATTATTATTATTATTATTTATTGAAATGTTGATCTCTACTCTCTTAGCCCCCAACCAAACGGCATGCTGCCCACTTTAGATAGATCGTCTTTGACCAACCCTACAAGCCCTACAGGCAAACCCTTGTAAAACTGTCAAATAGAATGTATCCAAAATTCATGCTAAGAAAATAATGTAGGAATTATTATTTTTGAAGCTTGTTTTGCTAAATAAACCCCAAAAATCTGGAATTATTATGTGTTCCTCTTTTCACAATAAAAAATATTATTGTTTACTAAAGTATTCTCTATATTCTCTAAGCCCTTCACCAAACAGTATGCGGCCCTCTTCAGATAGATCATCTTTGGCCATCCCTCCAAGCCAGCCATACAAGTAAGAACCTTGGTGTTGTTTGTTTTCGGTCTGATACTTTGTTCAATGGCAGTGATGTCATACCCGTTCTGTGCGTATAACCATGTTCTGGGTGGTGGACTAAAAATGGAAACAAAATTAGAGATGACAACAAGACAACGCCCCCTCAACAGATTATGAGTAGTCACCCAGTGATTTGAGGAGCAAGAGTCATGATGACTCTTATCCATATCCATATCCATTATGGTATTTTCTCTGTCATTGATGAAAGGGAAAATACCATGAGTATGCTACCCACTTTAGATAGATCATCTTTATCCAACCCTGAAAGCCAGCCATACAAGTAAGCCTCTGTCTTTTGATTTGTGTGTTTTCAATCTGATACAGTTCTTTGTTCCATGACAAGTTATGATTGTGTGCCCTACATTATTATGATTGTTTTGATATGGTTTGTCTGCTCCAGGAAGTTGACTAGTTTTCTGGTTTCAGCTATGCTACAGGTATGACCCAGCCCCTGGGTAACCCCTATCCCAAGTCTCCATCGCCAAGGAACCCGTATGAAGAGAGAGCGCCACCTCCAGACCGTTATGATGACCAGCACATGAGACCAACACAGCCCCCACCAGGACACAACGGCATGATGGTGAGGGTTTGATTACTCCTACTGAACAGTATGATGAATTCAACTGATCAACTGGACAAGCAAACTGCAGGGCGAAACTGTGGCTAAAACATTTGGTTTTAATCTTAGCCTAAAGGTCCATATTAGTTAGACCAGGCTGATATAGAAAAGCAGCATTTTGACATGAGATCATTGCACTGTGTTTTGACATGAGATCTGTTTGTATCTTCCAGAGAGAAGGCATGTCTGGGTATCCTGCACCAAGTTCACCTGCTCCACTCTACTCAGCACCGGAGTACAACCCCAGTTCCCAGTTTCCCCGAGCCCAGAAAGGGAGACTCTACTGAGGACAAACAGGGGTGACCCTGGCCTGAACTAGGAAGAAAGTGGAGCGCCACCAATTTCACTATCACAATTTAAAAAGTTCAACTCGTATATAATTTAAAGTGAGTGAAAAATGTAAACATTCAAGGACTTTGTCAACTTAAATTTAACGTCCAAAAAATGTATTGTGGCTGGCTGCTAGGTTTTATGAGTAATCCCCATTGATTGATTATGACATTTGCTTATATTGTTTGCTGTTTTTAGGTTCATTGTTTGATCATTTTGTTACTAATAAAGGCTATTATTCCTAGATTCAATCCGTAGCGTGGTTCCGCACTATAGCGCAATTTAAATTTAAAGGCAATGTTCCCATGTTCGCAGAGAATGCATTCACTGTAAACGCTGCATATGTCGGCTCAATCGGAAATTGCAATTGCTATAATGCGTATCTCCACACTACGGATTTAATCTAGGCCTAAGTAATAGGGTTGGGGTCAATTCCAATTTAATTTGAAATTCCAATTCAATTCTTGAATTCACTCATGAAGTGGAGAATTTAAGTTGAATTCAATTCAAATTTCAACAATCTTCAAGTTTTGGAATTGGAATTAAACTCTTTGAATTGTTTGTAAAAAATGTAGTCTTTGGAATTTAATTTAATTGGAATTCAATATTTGTATATATTTCCGAGTTAGTATCACTGCAGGATTTGTTTTAAATCATTTAAACTTGTATTTATATATTTAAATCAAATCAAATTGTATTTGTCACATGCGCCGAATACAACTGGTGTATACCTTACAGTGAAATGCTTACTTACAAGCCCTTAACCAACAATGCAGTTTTAAGAAAAATAAGTGTTATGTAAAAAATAGATAAGTAAAAAAATTTAAATAAATTAAAGAGCAGCAGTAAAATAACAGTAGCGAGGCTATATACAGGTGGTACCGGTACAGAGTCGATGTGCAGGGTCACAGGTTAGTCGAGGTAATTGAGGTAATATGTACATGTGGGTAGAGGTAAAGTGACTGCATAGATAATAAACAAAGAGTAGCAGCAGCGTAAAAAGAGGAAGGGGGCAACAACAATGCAAATAGTCCGGATAGTCATTTGATTAGCTGTTCAGGAGTCTTATGGCTTGGGGGTAGAAGCTGTTAAGAAGCCTTTTGGACCTATACTTGGCGCTCCGGTACCGCTTGCCGTGCGGTAGCAGGGGGAACAGTCTATGACTAGGGTGGCTGGTCTTTGGCAATTTTTAGGGCCTTCCTCTGACCGCCTGGTATAGAGGTCCTGGATGGCAGGAAGCTTGGCCCCATTGATGTACTGGGCCGTACGCACTACCCTCTGTAGTGCCTCGCGGTCGGAGGCAGAGCAGTTGCCATACCAGGCGGTGATGCAACCAGTCCGGATGCTCTTGATGGTGCAGCTGTATAACTTTTTGAGCATCTGAGGACCCATGCCAAATCTTTTCAGTCTCCTGAGGGGGAATAGGTGTTGTCATGCCCTCTTCACGACTGTCTTGGTGTGTTTGGACCATGATAGTTTGTTGGTGATGTGGACACCAAGGAACTTTAAGCTCTCGACCCGCTCCACTACAGCCCCATTGATGTGAATGGGGCCGTGCTCGGTCCTCCTTTTCCTGTAGTCCACAATCATCTCCTTTGTCTTGATCACGTTGAGGGAGAGGTTGTTGTCCTGGCACCACACGGCCAGCTCTCTGACCTCCTCCCTACAGGCTGTCTCATCATTGTCGGTGATCAGGACTACCACTGTTTTGTCGTTGGCAAACTTAATGATGGTGTTGGAGTCATGCTTGGCCATGATCCCTGAGGGGCCCCTGTGTTGAGGATCAGCGTGGCAGATGTGTTGTTACCTACTCTTACCACCTGGGGGGGGCCCGTCAGGAAGTCCAGGATCCAGTTGCAGAGGGAGGTGTTTAGTCCCAGGGTCCTTAGCTTAGTGATGAGCTTTGAGGGCACTATGGTGCTGAACGCTGAGCTGTAGTCAATGAATAGCATTCTCACGTAGGTGTTCCTTTTGTCCAGGTGAGAAAGGGCAGTGTGGAGTGCAATAGAGATTGCATCATCTGTGGATCTGTTGGGGTGGTATGCAAATTGGAGTGGGTCTAGGGTTTCTGGGATAATGGTGTTGATGTGAGCCATGACCAGCCTTTCAAAGCACTTCATGGCTACAGATGTGAGTGCTACGGGTCGGTCGTCATTTAGGCAGGTTACCTTAGTGTTCTTGGGCACAGGGACTATGGTGGTCTGCTTGAAACATGTTGGTATTACAGACTCAGTCAGGGACAGGTTGAAAATGTCAGTGAATACACTTGCCAGTTGGTCAGCGCATGCTCGGAGTACACGTCCTGGTAATCCGTCTGGCCCTGCGGCCTTGTGAATGTTGACCTGTTTAAAGGTCTTACTCACATCGGCTACGGAGAGCGTGATCACACAGTCGTCCGGAACATTATAGCTATGCTGTCTGACAGTGACATAATCAGCCTGAAAGCCTGAAGGAATTACATTTGAATTTGGATTTGTGGAATTGTTGTGGATCGAACATTGGAATTGAGAGGAATTGAATAGTCTCTAAATTCAAAGACTGACCTGGAATTTGAATTGAATTAAATGGAATTTACAGGGAGAGGGAATTTTATTAGAATGTAATTTGTGGAATTAACCCCAACACTGATAAGTAATAACCTTTTAAGGCTATTCTGATTTGTTACCATTTTTTGGTCATGAGGGTTATCTGCCAGTGGTTCCCAAACTGTGGGTCGGTAACAGGGGAGAACAACTGCCCCCTCTCATTGAAGCCACGGAAGTTCAAGGCTGACCGCGGTACTGCAGGCATTGTTAGCAGAAAACAGGATCCCCCCATTATAGTAAATCGTAAATCGCACACAGAAGAAGTTATAAGGATAATTTAGTTGCTAATGACAGCCTGCAGTACCCCGGTCGGCCTTCAACTTGTGTTACTCAAGGAGAGGTTGCAGCACTGAGCTAGCCTGCAATGTCACTTCCTGGAGTACCTCACACTGTGCATGATAGGTCTCCATGAGACGCCTAAAATCCGGAAATGAGTTACCTCTGGTTCGTTCTGATGTGGAAAATGAATGGGGAAAGAATAGGATTTTGAAATAAACATTGAAAATAAGGTCTGAGGTTTACACAGATTAGGAGATTTTATACGTTTTGTTATTCCAAAACCCTCCAAAAACACCATTTATTTCCACATAGGCTTTGTCCAACAAACCATGGCGGAGTTAGTACCTACAAAAATACAATTTTGTAGGCACTAACTAAATGGAAAAACGCTTTGTATAAACTTAAACGACTAAAACCAAATCGAAAGTATGTAGAAAAGATAATGGAGCTATAAATCTTTTAATAATGCCCTATAATCTGTAAAATCTGAGAATTTACAATCAACTAATTAAAAGCTAGATAATCAGGCACCCATTGATTTTATGTTTGAGAATAAGAACATGGCATTAGCCATGTCAAAATGTGTAGAATTGCCAGAAATTAGCTTAACTGAAAATTCTCTGCTCCTTGGAAAAATGTATAGAATTGCAACCTTTTATTTCAGCTCCATGGTAAAATGTGTAGAATTGCTGGAAATTAGCTTTTAAACTGCACAATCTTCTCTCTGCTGCCAAGATGATATTCTTTGTTTGTTTTTTCACCGCTCAACCCTTATGGTGGGTTGCGAAGCAAAAAAGTTTGGGAACCCCTGATTTATACAATTGGACTTACCATGGTAATAGTCATGCAAAATCAATTAAAGATAGTCTTTCAAAAAGAACATTTATTTTCTACAAGTCAGATATTAATAATTTTAAATCAATAAACAAAATACAATCTTGATTTCACCTCTAGGTCAATCATGGGATGACTTGGTGTCGCCCTTATTGTAAGATGCAAAGCACTGTCATCTTAACACAAATGGTACATTCTTTGTTACTGAATGATGGCAAAAAGAGTGAATGAAAGTAATAGGTTGAGGTGAACAATTGATCAGGAGATGTTTTTATTTACTAAAGAAGCTCCTAACATTTCAGTTGACAGACATGAGATTAGATAACACTGATTTGGATCTGATACATGAGATATTCCTGATAGTAAACATGTTATTGGCTTTGAGCAAGATGAAAAATTAAAACCCCTGATTGTTTGACAAGCGATTATTTCAAAGCACAATGGACAAATACGAGTAAAAAGCTGGGTCGTCCACATCCTTTCCATGCTTTTGAATACAGAGAAAACTGATGCAGATGACTGTTTACATTTGAAATAATAACTGGGTCTTTAAATGCATGTTTTTCACAATTTATTGCTAGCAGTAGCATTACAAAAAATCATACAAGACTTGTCAGAGAACGGTTACCCCAAGGTCAAAAGTGAGAATACAGTCAACCGTCAAACACTGCATTAGTTAAAATCAAATTAAAGCATTATCTTACCACTGATACTGCATACACCAAGTGGTGTGCTATTCAAACAATCCAGGCATCAGATAAGCATACTACTGAGAAAATATGTGCTTTCAGTAATGTTCTGATTCAGGATTTACCTGACTTGAGGTTTGTTTGAATATCACCCCAGGTTTGAGTACTAATGGTGATGGGAGGACAAGTTAATAAATTACTAATGCAGTTGTAAGAAAATGTGACAATTGTCATCCTTTATCACATTGAAACCATTTTATTTCCCTGCTCTATAGTGAGTGAGAATAGGATTGTTCTGAATAGTGGAAAGGGTGTGTGAAGAAGCACTCTACATTAAAACATCCTTGTGATGACGCGCAATGTGCTGGCTCTTTTCAGAGGGCCTACGGAAGCCTTTAGTGCAGTAGTCACAGCGGTGGGGATAGTCCTTAGTGTGGATGGATATGACGTGCCGTTTGAAACCTGAAGCGTCCGAGGAGCTGTACTCACAGTACTGGCACTGGTACACTTTACGCCCACTGTGGGTCTTCATGTGCTTCTTCAGTTCCAGCTGATGCCTGAAGCCCCGTCGGCAGCGCTTGCACTTGAAGGGCAAGTCTTTGGTGTGGACGGACAGGATGTGGCGACTGAGTATGAAGGGGTCTGGGGTCTTGAAGTCACAGTGGCGGCATTGGTGCAGCCTGGCACCTTTGTGAGTCTCTGTGTGTTTTTTCAGCTCCGAGGGCCGGTGGAAGCCCTTCTCACACACGTCACACTTGTGAGGGAAGTCCTTTGTGTGCACGGAGATGATGTGGCGCTTCAGGTCGCTGGAGTTGGTGCTCTTGTGCTCGCAGTGCGGACACTTGTGCGTCTTGTGGCCCTGGAAGATCTCCATGTGCTTCTCCAGCTCCCGCTCGTCAGGGAAGGCCTGGGGACAGTGGCCACACTTGAAGGGCAGCTCCGCTCCGTGCTTGCTCTTTATGTGGGTCTTCAGGTTAGACTGGTCGGCACAGCGGAACTCACAGTGCTGGCAGTGGTAGGGCTTCTCACCCGTGTGGGTCCTCATGTGCTTTTTGAGCTCAGAGGGGTGGCGGAAACCTTTAGCACACTCCACACACACATGGGCAAAGCTCTTGCTGTGGACAGCCAGCATGTGGCGGTTGAGCAGGCCCTGCTCGGCTGTCTCATAGTCACAGTACTTACAGTGGTGCAGCTTGGGCTCCTGGTCACGTAGGATGAGCTTATTGGAGCTGAGGGGGCTCTCCACACAGTAACGCCGCGTGACCTCAGTGAACTCTGGGACCCGGTCACTCTTCACTATGAGCTTGTGGCCCTCCAGGTGGTTGTGGAAGTTGACCTTCTTGTTGGTGGTGAAATCGCAGTCTGTGCACTGGTATTTCTTCTTGAAGATGTGGTCCGGGTGGTTCTTCATGTGGATCTTCAGGAAGCCTCGCGATCTGAACTTCTTCCCGCAGATGTGGCAGGGGTACACAGTCAGAGGCTGGCCATCTGGACCAATGATCACAGCTGAGGAAAAGTGTGGAAGCAAAAAATAACAAGAATTGTTAGGCATACATCTAAAAAATAAAAGTATAATCTTACAATATTATGCAAGCTTTTAGAAAATGCTTCAATGAACATAGAAGCCCATACCTGTCTGACACTGACGTGTCTCTCCCTTTTTCTTTTTATTGATCTTCTGTTTGAGAGCTCTACTTGTACTCAGGCTGTCACTGATCTTCAGGTAATGTGTCCCTGTGTTGTTCTTGTTCTCCAGCCTGGAGTCCAGACTGTTACCTAGAGAAGATTATTTTGAGCCTATGTCCATACAACATCCACCAACTCAACACACTTAAAAATCGTGACGTGAACAAAATCTAAATGTATAATACTATCTTACGCCATACTGAATGAATGTCTCTGAAAAACATGTGTCTATGGAGAAAAGGAGTAGGCTTTACCATAAGCTGCAGCCCAGGCTACGGTGCCAAAGTTCTTATTGTGGCTGGGGTCGTCCAGTGAGTCCTGGATGGCAGGGGCATCCTCCTCTCCCACTATCACCTCCATGTACACCTCATCTGCCATCTCAGTGCAGTCTGCTCACAGACAAGGAAAACTCAGTCACTTCATTTAACACTACCACCATCTATTGGGACAAAAAGAATAAGGCAGCCATATCGTTTAATATGTTGTGCTGTATAAGGGATTGGAGGAAAGGCTGCTAATTCAGGTGACTCACTGATCTCTGAATCCTCCTGGGACGGGTCTTTCACTGCCATGTAGACCATCTTCTCTCGAGACAGCTTGCCAATGCCCCCAGTCTCCAGCATTGCATGACTGTTGTGTAAGTCACTTTCAGCTACAATCTCTGTGCCACCTGCACTCACAGTAAATGTATGAAGTCAGGGAAACTGAACAGAGGTGTAACTTTCAGAAAGCCAAATAATAGCAATGTAAGAGTCCTTACCTATGTCAACATCATCATCAGCCTCTGCCTTGAAGATGTAGACTTTGATGCACTCAGAGTCGTAATCGCCCTCTTTGGAGCCATCCTCCTCAGGCATCACCTCAGAACCCATCTTCAGGGGCGTGTCCTCCATGTCCAACTTCTCCCCACCATCGTCCACTGCACAAACAATAGCACAGTCATCATTATACATTATCAGATTCATCCTATTATTAGAGTCAAAAGTTGTGTTGGAGCAGTCTAGTAGTACCAAGAAAAGAAGACGTATGTGTCTTACAGGAGATCATCAGGTAGTCCTCGGAGACACACCCTCCAGCCTCGTCGTCCTGCTCCTGGATGGTGACTGCAGATTCTTCTATCTCCTCCTGCTCCTCTATATACGTCTCTGAGTTGCAGTTCGAGACCATGACCTCCTCAGTGACAATCTCAAACACCTGGTCAGGTACCCTGTCAGATTCCTCTACGAGATCTGATGTCAGTACATGGTGATGGTGGTCAGAATCCAGCACTTCCTCAATGGCCACCTCGGCCCCCAGGACCGACTCAGTCATGATTATGCCGTCAGGCTCGTCGCTGCAGCAGATGTCTGGCCCCTCTACAACCTCTGACCCTAGGTCATGCTCAAACGTGATGCCCTCCTCGTCAGTCACCACGTCTGACACCAGCACCGCCTCTGGCACAGACACCACAATGTGGTCACCGTCAATGTGGGCCATGCCACCCATACCTGCCACTGGGGAAGTCAGGAAGAACTGTTACTCTTATCAGTTTGAGCACACACAGACAAAAATCAAATAAACAAAAGGCCATGGAGTATTAGTTCTCTGCATTGATAGAGTGGACATACCAAAATCCTGCATTATCATTGTGTGTGGCATCTTTGAGTCCTGCATCTGAAAGTTCAAGACCCCTCCACCGTGGTCCATTCTCTTTTTCTCTTGTCTGCTACAAACACAAATTAGGAAGATTTTTTTTTGTTTTCTTACTAGCTCTGACTTTGCTGGTAGCTACTTTGAGGAAAAATGTACTTACTATGACTGTGATATGTGGTTGTCCAACCTAGCTATCTTAAGATGAATGCACTAACTGTAAGTCGCTCTGGATAACAGCGTCTGCTAAATGACGTAAATGTAATGTAAATGATTAAGTTGATCTAATTTTATCAGATAAAGTAGGACCTCAATGCATAACTCATTACAAATGTGTCAACACATTGATTCAATTAAATAATCAGACTGATCTTCATCAATGCTGAATAAACATTAACATTGAATACTGCATTGTTGGGTTTGGAGCTTGCAAGAAAGGCATTTCACTGTACTTGTCCATGTGACATTAAAACTTTAACAAAATGTTAATGACAGTATTTCAGCACTAACATTTGATTCTGAGCTCTCAAACCATCAGGGAAGTGTTATGCTTTTTTAATCAGCCAGGGAGGAGAAACACCTGAAATAGAGAAAAGAAAAACACATAACAGATCCATCAGCTTCAATGATTTTATCTATCCTGAAATATAATTGTTGTAATGGAAATAAAACAGACAGCTATAATGCTTTATTACTTATAAGAATATGCCTTTATAATGTCTTAGTATCAGGAGACATTATGGTTTGGGGTCGGCTGGTAGCCTAGCGTTTAGGCCAGTAACCGAAAGGTCGCTGGTTAGAATCCCCGAGCCAACTTGGTGAAAAATCTGTCAATATGCCCTTGAGCAAGGTACTTAACCCTAATTGCTCCTGTAAGTCGCTCTGGAAAACAGTGTCTGCTAAATTACTAAATGTAAAAATTAGAGGGTAAACTATTGGATAAATGCAGAAGTAATGTGGTTGATGATGCATTGATAAATCTAATGGGAAGCAAAAAGCTAACAGGTGATACTCCTTGGTTTGGATAAATTGAGTAGTGTTATAAATGGTGTGACAAGTAAAGGGACACTTCTGGCACCAAAAAAAAAACATGCCTCCAGGACTAATTTGTACTCTGGGTGACAGTAATGAATCAATGCCACTTTGTAACCACTCTAGCATAGATATTTCACCTTGTTCTATCTGTGGCTGTGGTTACAGTGACAGATACGGGAAAGTGTCCAATGTGGCTGGCTAGACATTCACACGCACTGTTTTCGCCCAGTGCAGTAGTTGGTTGACCGTAGAGCGCGCGCAGACGCATTAAATATGGCGGCTTCTGTTTACATTATGGACACAGAACCCCGACAACAAAGGCGCTTGAGTGCGCACGGTGAATCTAGCAAAAATAATGGATATGCATGAATGCGATGCTAAATGATAAACATGAATCTATGCTAAATATTTAATGAAATCCAAGCTATGCGCTTGTTTCAAGACTCCAACAACAAGCGTGCAAGACTGACGCTCTGCGACATCCTGACCGCAATGCATATTTTCTGCTCTCATTGTTGGGCTAAATTAGCGAGCTAACTAGCTAGCAATAGCATTCCCAGCAATTGCAATCGATATCATTAGTAAAATAAACGCAGTAAACCCACCATACTTTAGAAAGTGTGCAATGGAAGATGGCACAAATGAATATCGTCTTGCAAAAGTCACAATATATTTCCGAGCTAGCTAGCTATGTCGTTAGTTAGCACAGCTAGTTAGCTATCGACGGCTAGCTAGCCACCATTGTTGTTGTTTTTTCGACTGGGGTGGAGGCCCATAGGCCTTCGTGACAAGGCCCCATCGTCATATTGCATTACATGTAATATATACTTACCAAACCAAGTCACTACTGTCTTTTTTAAATTCCACTTTTCGGGCTCGAACAGTATTTCCGCAGTCTTATTATGAAATTAGGTAATATTTCTCAGGGTGCGAATGCAAGGCCTGTAAAACATTCTAGATCCTGAAGGCTGTTTTTCAGGCCTGGACCAATCACGTAGCTCGCTGTTAGCTCGGAAGGGTGGGGGCGGTGGGGAAGTAGGGGACAAACTGCACTCTGTCTTCAACAGTTTATTCCAAAACTGCTGTCCCGTTTCTTACAATTTAACATACCTAATAATATAATAATTGTAAGGAATAGAAACATTCAATTAATATTTGTCTGCATGTACTAACTAACAGGTGGAGCAGTAGTGAATACCACAACTGATCACTTTGCAACAAATTGCCAGATCTAACTGAAGTTGGAGCTCCTATAAAAAAAAAAAACGAAATAGGGCTCAATACTGTAACTGTCCTCAAAGTGTTAAATTATGATAGTTTAAACTGAAACATGTTGTGGTATAACTTGTAGTATGCAGAATTCGATGGTGTTTACAACCGAGGCCTGTGTGATACTCTGCAGTGACAATTAATGTAATAATGATAACTGTATCAGTTCTAAGTATGTGGATTTGTGTGTCAATTCCCAAATTTGAATCAAATTAAGATTAATTTAATTGGCGATCGTTTGGAATTTAGCATTGAGCAGCACCTTGCATTTACAGCTGAGAAAGGATGGATAAGGTGTCCAATTCCAGTGGAAGGGATTGTGAAGCCACACAAAATAAACCAGTACTGCATGATTGGCAGAAGAAACCGATAACTAAATACACAGAAACCAAACCTACTGTTTAATGTGCTTTAATACATTAAGTGGAGTTATTTTGAGTGAGAGTATGTTACAGATTACTGAGGAATTACAGAGAAACGTTGAGTACACCTTTTTACCTATGGGCATTGGCAGGCTGCCCCAGTCTGCCCCAAGCCAGGGTAGTGGACCTCTCAGGGGAGGTATAGACACGACCATGACTTGACAGGTACCCTCCAACTGAAAAGTCCTTACTGGGACAGGGGATCCTCAAACCAGAGGGGCTGAAGGACTGGACTCTCGGCAGCCCTCTAATAGACGAGGCCTGAAATGATTCTCTCAGGGACTGCCGTGCTGCTCCAGTAGCAGGGTCACTGGAGCTCAAGATTTTGGCAGAAACAGATGAAGATCGGCCACCACTCCTAAGCTTGACTGAAGACTCACCTAGGAGGCAATCACAAGTTTGGAAATGTTATGGACTAAACATGTCTGTCTGAAATAAAGCCAAGTAAAAAAATTAAAAAGGCAGCTCCAAGTGTTCAATTGGGTTGAGATCTGAACCCGTATCCACAAAGCATCTCAGAAAAGTTCCTAGGAATCCTGTTAAAACCTGTTTTAAGACAAAGTAAGTTTTAGGATGATGGTAGCCCTTTCCTGCAGTCAATGACCAAAGGTGCCCTCTTTGGCCTCATGGGTGGAATGTATATATTTTTCATAATTTCATCATTAATAAAGATTATTTCCAAAAACCAGATGAAAATCCGGTGTTTCTATGTCAAACAGTTTTGTTATATTTCAGTCTTCTGTGATCTATATAAAGTGTAATATTGGGATGCAAACTCCACATTGAATACATTTTAACTATATCTGACATGGTACAGGTGTCTTCTTTTTTTAAACCCATAACCATGTGTGTGAGGTGTATACTTTTGTTTCAAAATAGATGTGTTTAAGACTACCAAAGAATCGCTCTGTGTGAACCTGATTTAGCCACTGCAGTAAAAGGTTAGACACTGCTTAGACAAACTCTGAGCCAGGAGTAAAACCAACTCATAAAAGTTTATCTCAGCTGGTAATCAAGACAGTTTGAGGTACCGCAAAGGAAAGCTAGTGATGGCGCTCATTGACATGTTGCAAATTATAACTAATCGCGATGAGGCATCGCTAGCTGTGAACTCTATAGCACGCTTCACACAACCACTGTGAATGTGACTGTACAGTGCATTTGGAAAGTATTCAGACCCGTTTTATTTTTCCACATTTTGTTACGTAACAGCCTTATTCCAAAATGGATTAAATTGTCCCCCCCCCCCTCATAACTGCTACACAATACCCCATAATGACAAAGCAAAAAAAAGGTTTTTTGAATTTTTTGCAAATGAACTTAAAACAAAAAACTGAAATATCACATTTACATAAGTATTCAGACCCTTTACTCAGTACTTTGTTGAAACACCTTAGGCAACGATTACAGCCTCGATTACTCCTGCAATGTCTTGGCTGTGTGCTAAGAGTCATTGTCCTGTAAGAAAGTGAACCTTCGCCCCCAGACTGAGTTCCTGAGCGCTCTGGAGCAGGTTTTCATCAAGGATTTCTCTGTACTTTGCTCCATTCATCTTTCTCTCAATCCTCACTAGTCTCCCAGTCCCTGCAGCTGAAAAACATCCGCACAGCATGATGCTGCCACCACCATGCTTCACCGTAGGGATGGTGCCAGGTTTCCTCCAGACTCTTGGCATTCAGGCTAAAGAGTTCAATATTGGTTTCATCAGACCAGATAATCTTGTTTCTCATGGTCTGAGAGTTCTTTAGGTGCCTTTTGGCAAACTCCAAACAGGCTGTCGTGCCTTTTACTGAGGAGTGGCTTCCGTCTGGCCACTCTACCATAAAGGCCTGATTGGTGGAGTGCTGCAGAGATGGTTGTCCTTCTGGAAGGTTCTCCCATCTCCACAGAGGAACTCTGGAGCTCTGTCAGAGTGACCATCTTGTTCTTGGTCACCTGCCTGACCAAGGCCCTTCTCCCCAGAATGCTCAGTTTGGCCAGGTGGCCAGCTCTAGGAAGAGTCTTGGTGGTTCCAAACTTCTTCCATTTAAGAATGATGGGGGCCACTGTGTTCTTGGGGACCTTCAATGCTGCAGACATTTTTTGGTACCCTTCCCCAGATCTGTGCCTCGACACAATCCTGTCTCAGAGCTCTACGGACAATTCCTTCGACTTCATGGCTTGGTTTTTGCTCTGACATGCACTGTCCACTGTGGGACCTTATATAGACAGGTGTGTGCCTTCCCAAATCATGTCCAATCAATTGAATTTACCACAGGTGGACTCCAATCAAGTTGTAGAAACAGCTCAAGGATGATCAATGGAAACAGGATGCACCTGAGCTCAAATTTGAGTCTCATCGCAAAGGATCTGAATACTTATGTAAATATGGTATGTTTTAAATTTTTAATACATTTACAAACATTTCTAAAAACCTATTTTCGCTTTGTCATTATGGGGTATTGTGTGTAGATTGATGAGGAAAAAAATAATTCAATCAATTTTAGAATAAGGCTGTAACGTAACAAAATGTGGAAAAAGTAAAGAGGCCTGAATACTTTATGGTAGAGTGGCCAGAGGGAAGCCACTCCTCAGTAAAAGGCACGTGACAGCCCGCTTTGAGTTTGCCAAAAGGCACTTAAAGGACTCTCAGACCATGAGAAACAAGATTCTCTGGTCTGATGAAACCAAGAATGAACTCTTTGGCCTGAATGCCAAGCGTCACGTCTGGAGGAAACCTGGCATCATCCCTACGGTGAAGCATGGTGGTGGCAGTATCATGCTGTGGGGATGTTTTTCAGCCGCAGGGACTGGGAGACTAGTCAGGATCGAGGGAAAGATGAACGGAGCAAAGTACAGAGAGATCCTTGATGAAAACCTGCTCCAGAGCACTCAGGACCTCAGACTGGAGCGAAGGTTCACCTTCCAACAGGACAACGACCCTAAGCACACAGCCAAGACAACGCAGGAGTGGCTTCGGGAAAGTCTCTGAATGTCCTTGAGTGGCACAGCCAGTGCCAGGACTTGAACCCGATCGAACATCTCTGGAGAGACCTGAAAATAGCTGTGCAGCGACGCTCCCCATCCAACCTGACACAGCTTGAGAGGATCTGTAGAGAAGAATGGGAGAACTCCCCAAATACAGGTGTGCCAAGCTTGTAGCATCATACCCAAGAAGACTAGAGGCTGTAATCGCTGCCAAAGGTGCTACAACAAAGTACTGAGTAAAGAGTCTACAAATATGGTCTTTTTTTTGCTTTCTTGAGTAAGGCAGCTCCAAAAAGCAGATGTTTCAGCCTAGCTCAGGGATTTCTGTGGTGGTGGGGCAGCCAGCGGAAAATACGGAGCGTAGGGGTTGGTAATGTTCTCTAGTTTCGCCGTGATTGGCTCAGTGTTCTGTCACTCATGGGGACACTACGTCAATGTAAAAGCTACAGGGAGAGCTTGAAAATTCAAGGTCATTGGCCACAGATAAAATGACGTCAAATCAAGTGATATCTACCGTAGCTTTGATTGGACTGATCATGTAAACATCATACTTTCAAAATCTTAGCTAGCAAGCTAGACAAGCAGTCATTATCATGAATCAAGTCAACAATCTACTGGCAAATCCTTTTCATATGAAGATAAATTATAGATAAAACTATCGATGCTTGTTGGCAATTGGACATAAACATTACACAACAAGTTGGAAATCGCAAATTCAACAATGAGTGGTTTGGAAAGCGATCACTAGCCTGCTTTTCATTGGAGTGGGTGGGTGGTCCAAGTCTGGGTTTAAGGGTATATTTTCCTAGCTTAAAAGGATAAACATTCAACACCATGGGCCAGAAAAGGTTGAATACATTGGCCATGCTGTCAATCCAGCATGACTTGTGCCACATTCAAAACAACTGGAAACTCTGAACTGGGAATTCTCAGACTTCAGTGAGTTGAAGACAACTGGGAACTCTGAAAAAAACGAGCTCGGACTGGGAAAATACGTTTTGAACGGTCATCCAACTCGGTATTCCAAGTTGGGAATTCGGGCCTCTTTCTAGAGCTCCGACCTGAAGATCACTGACATCATGATTCAACCTTGTTTTTGTCTGAGTTCCCAGTTGTCTTGAAAGCACCATAAAGCCAGACTTTGATGACAAAGTTTGATGACAAATTTTGCCCACAAGGACCACCGCGCAACCTTCCTGTTCAAGTGAGCACAGCACAACAAGGTGAGTCCAAACATGTATTGTATGCTGCTGCATAAATGATGTAATATGCCAGGGAGATATGTATACTGTAGCTAAGAAAGTAATCCTAAGTGTATGTTGTGTAGTAAGCTGTTAGTAGCCCATGTGCCTCACCCTAATAATTTGGTCCCTTTCCCCCTCATAACTTAGCCTACTGTTCTAACTTGGTGGTGCACATGTAGCCTATAGCCTGTTTCAGAGAAATGTAATCATCTAATATTGTAAGAGCTTTCATTGTCTGCTTATATGCCCCCTTTATTTATTCTATGGTTCTGACTTGGTGTACAGAGAGAATACTGTAAGAACGGCCCATGTTCTGAATTCTGTCGCTGTACATTTCTAAAGTGCTGAAAAAATAACGTCCGTCCTAGCTCGCTCATGAATCTCTCAATCGAAATTACGGATTGCCTCTTATCCGTTCGTCGTCCCCTTATGCCATAGTTTGTACATCTCAATTGTCAGTAGAAACCACATTTGTTTAAGCAAGTCAGCCTTATCAGCAGTTTTTTTAAAGGCAGTAAATGAGGCTGAATGAACTGTTTCGCTGCCAGACAAGGCTCCGTTGATAGCCAGGTGTAGCGGTGGTAAGGATTCACTCCATGATGCTAAAAAGAAAGCTCTGCTGTTGGGACAGCTTCATGTAGGCCCCACCAAGAGTTACATGCTAAAATCGCCACTGAATGTAGGTCTAGATTATTTATGCAGGGCTCTACACTGACCTTTTTTTACAAGGAGCACATGTGCACCTAAGTTGAAAAATGTAGGCCCACACAAAGTAATGTAGGAGAACATTGAAAAATATTTGAGATATTAAATCTAGAATATTGGTGCTCCTAAATAAAAATGTAAGGTCGCACAATAAAATATTTAGCCACATATGCGAGCAAAATGGTCACACTGTAGAGCCCTGATTTATTGGTTCATCATATAGAAATATCAAAACATTATTTCAACAACTCCAAAGCAATTGCCTGTCTATGGCACAGGAACCACTGACTCACTGCCTTTTTCTATTTTCAAGACACCTGTTGGTACCTCTTAACTGGTTAGGACAGCTCATGAGGTATCCTAAATATAAAGTAAATGTATCTATTCTCAGGATTTACGACCAATTTTGTATTTCGAGACGCTTTGTGGATGCGGGCCCTGGTGAGTGAGTGAGAGAGAGACAGACACACACACACACACTTTAAACCCCCTGTGCTCCTTTGAGACCCCTCTTTCAAAGTCACTGAGATCTCTTCTTCTAGCCAAAATAATGGGCAACTGAGCATTTTTAGACATGACCCTAAGCATGATGGTGTGTTTTAATTGCTTAATTAACTCAGGAACCACACCTGTGCTTTGTATCCCTCATTTACTCAAGTGTTTCCTTTATTTTGGCAGTTACCTGTACAGTGGGGGAAAAAAGTATTTAGTCAGCCACCAATTGTGCAAGTTCTCCCACTTAAAAAGATGAGAGAGGCCTGTAATTTTCATCATAGGTACACGTCAACTATGACAGAAAAATTGAGAAAAAAATATCCAGAAAATCACATTGTAGGATTTTTAATGAATTTATTTGCAAATTATGGTGGAAAATAAGTATTTGGTCACCTACAAACAAGCAAGATTTCTGGCTCTCACAGACCTGTAACTTCTTCTTTAAGAGGCTCCTCTGTCCTCCACTTGTTACCTGTATTAATGGCACCTGTTTGAACTTGTTATCAGTATAAAAGACACCTGTCCACAACCTCAAACAGTCACACTCCAAACTCCATTATGGCCAAGACCAAAGAGCTGTCAAAGGACACCAGAAACAAAATTGTAGACCTGCACCAGGTTGGGAAGACTGAATCTGCAATAGGTAAGCAGCTTGGTTTGAAGAAATCAACTGTGGGAGCAATTATTAGGAAATGGAAGACATACAAGACCACTGATAATCTCCCTCGATCTGGGGCTCCACGCAAGATCTCACCCCGTGGGGTCAAAATGATCACAAGAACGGTGAGCAAAAATCCCAGAACCACACGGGGGGACCTAGTGAATTACCTGCAGAGAGCTGGGACCAAAGTAATAAAGCCTACCATCAGTAACACACTACGCCGCCAGGGACTCAAATCCTGCAGTGCCAGACGTGTCCCCCTGCTTAAGCCAGTACATGTCCAGGCCTGTCTGAAGTTTGCTAGAGTGCATTTGGATGATCCAGAAGAGGATTGGGAGAATGTCATATGGTCAGATGAAACCAAAATAGAACTTTTTGGTAAAAACTAAACTCGTCGTGTTTGGAGGACAAAGAATGCTGAGTTGCATCCAAAGAACACCATACCTACTGTGAAGCATGGGGGTGGAAACATCATGCTTTGGGGCTGTTTTTCTGCAAAGGGACCAGGACGACTGATCCGTGTAAAGGAAAGAATGAATGGGGCCATGTATCGTGAGATTTTGAGTGAAAACCTCCTTCCATCAGCAAGGGCATTGAAGATGAAACGTGGCTGGGTCTTTCAGCATGACAATGATCCTAAACACACCGCCCAGGCAACGAAGGAGTGGCTTCGTAAGAAGCATTTCAAGGTCCTGGAGTGGCCTAGCCAGTCTCCAGATCTCAACCCCATAGAAAATCTTTGGAGGGAGTTGAAAGTCTGTGTTGCCCAGCGACAGCCCCAAAACATCACTGCTCTAGAGGAGGTCTGCATGGAGGAATGGGCCAAAATACCAGCAACAGTGTGTGAAAACCTTGTGAAGACTTACAGAAAACGTTTGACCTGTGTCATTGCCAACAAAGGGTATATAACAAAGTATTGAGAAACTTTTGTTATTGACCAAATACTTATTTTCCACCATAATTTGCAAATAAATTCATTAAAAATCCTACAATGTGATTTTCTGGATTTAAATTATTTTTTTTGTCTGTCATAGTTGACGTGTACCTATGATGAAAATTACAGGCCTCTCATCTTTTTAAGTGGGAGAACTTGCACAATTGGTGGCTGACTAAAATACTTTTTTTCCCCACTGTATATGCTTGCTGAGATGCAACCTAAGATACATTGTGGCGGGCAAGGTTTAGTCATATCCAAGCCCTACTAAAATGCCAACCCACCTGGTGGAGACCTGGTTGAACCTGCCACAGGGAAGGTGAGGCGGGAGGTGGGGTGGTCTGTGAGGAGCTGGCCATTGGCCTCCAGGTTGCGGCTGGTCCTGACTGCCTGGAGAGAGCGGAGGCTGGTGCGAGGAGGAGTTGAATCCAGGTTGTACATGTTGCTTCTCAGCCCCTCTACAACAACATACTGGGTTAACTCCCACACACTTAGCAGATCATGATAAACTGGTAGTAGTAAAGAATATTCTATGTGACATCACACCACAAGTCAATATGTAAATTTGTGTGTCAAAAGGGATTTTCCATGTTGCCTGTTACAGGTGCTCTTTTTACCTCTGCTCTTTGCGAGCTTAAGCAGCTTAGATTGAGTGGTGGCCTGACTGGGAGGCCTTGGCAGCTGGCTGCTGTAACCAGGCTGGGCTATGGCACTGGGTGACTGGCCCAATGGGGAACGCCGGTAGTGGGGCAGCTGGCTGGGAGGAGGTGTGTATGCGACTGTGTCCTCCAGGCTATACTTGTCAAACTCCAGATCACTGTAGCTATAATTAGAAGGTGACAGCATGGATGCACCAGGACTCCTGAATGGTGTGGCGGCAGCAGGGATGGAGGCATAGTCCTGTCGTAAACCTTGGGACAAGGAAAACACTGTCAAACACCCTGTCCACAAGTAAAGTAATTATGCATAGTATGTACACTGAACAAAAATATAAACGCAACACGTAAAATGTTGGTCCCATGTTTCATGAGCTGAAATAAAAGATCCCAGAAATGTTCCATACGCACAAAAAGCTTATTTCTCTCAAATGTTATGCACAAATTTGTTTACATCCCTGTTAGTGAGCATTTCTCCTTTGCCAAGATAATCCATCCACCTGAAAGGTGTGGCATATCAAGAAGCTGATTAAACAGCATGATCATTACACAGGTGCACCTTGTGCTGGGGACAAAAGGCCACTAAGATGTGCAGTTTTGTCACACAACACAATGTCACAGATGCCTCAAGTTGAGGGAGCATGCAATCGGCATGCTGACTGCTTTAGAGAATTTGGCAGTACTTGCAACCAGCCTCACAACAGCAGACCACGTGTATGGCATTGTGTGGGCGAGCAGTTGGCTGATGTCAACATTGTGAACAGAGTGCCCCATGGTGGCAGTGGGGTTATGGTATGGACAGGCATAAGCTACGGACAAAAAACACAATTGCATTTAATTGATGCAAATCTGAATGCACAGAGATACCGTGACAAGATCCTGAGGCCCATTGTTGTGCCATTAATCTGCCGCCATTACCTCATGTTTCAGCATGATAATGCAATCAACTCTATGCGATGGAGATGTGTCACGCTGCATGAAACAAAAGGTGGTCACACCAGATACGGACTGGTTTTCTGATCCACGCCCCTACCTTTATTTGTTAAGGTATATGTGACCAACATATGTATATCTCTATTCCCAGTCATATGAAATCCATAGATTAGGGCCTAATTTATTTATTTCAATTGACTGATTTCCATATATGAACTGTACCTCAGTAAAATCGTTGAAATATTTGCATGTTGCGTATTTTTGTTCAGTATATGAATCAAAACTAGAGGGTTTCCACACTCACTCGCTTCCTGCATGCGAGCCATGATCTGGACATCAGTAAGGTCCTGCAGCCTGTAGCCCATGGTGATGGAGTCATCTGAGAAACTCGGCTCATTCTCGTCCATTGAGGGTGGTAAAATAGCATCATTGTCATCTGAAATACCAAGGCAATACAGACACTGAGTAAATACAACCAGGACAATCTGGAATTTTAGTTGGTGGGAGATACAGAGCATTCGGAAAGTATTCAGACCCCTTGACATTTTCCACATTTTGTTACGTTACAGCCTTATTCTAAAATTGATTAAATAATTTTTTTTCCTCATCAATCTATAATAATAATAATAATATGCCATTTAGCAGACGCTTTTATCCAAAGCGACTTACAGTCATGCGTGCATACATTTTTTTTTGTGTATGGGTGGTCCCGGGGATCGAACCCACTACCTTGGCGTTACAAGCGCCGTGCAAGCGCCGTGCTCTACCAGCTGAGCTACAGAGGACCAATCTACACACAATACCCTATAATGTCAAAGCGAAAACAGGTTTTTAGAAATGTTTGCACATTTATTAAAAATAAAAAACAGAAATACCTTATTTACATAAGTAATCACACACTTTGCTATGAGACTCGAAATTGAGCTCAGGTGCATCTTGTTTCCATTGATCATCCTTGAGATGTTTCTACAACTTGATTGGAGTCCACTTGTGGTAAATTAAATTGATTGGACATGATTTGGAAAGGCACACACCTGTCTATATAAGGTCCCACAGTGGACAGTGCATGTCAGAGCAAAAACCAAGCCATGAGGTCGAAGGAATTGTCCGTAGAGCTCCGAGACAGGATTGTGTCGAGGCACAGATCTGGGGAAGGGTACCAAAACATTTCTGCAGCATTGAAGGTCCCCAAGAACACAGTGGCCTCCATCATTAAATGGAGGAAGTTTGGAACCACCAAGACTCTTCCTAGAGCTGGCCGCCCGGCTAAGCTGAGCAATTGGGGGAGAAGGGCCTTGGTCAGGGAGGTGACCAAGAACCAGATGGTCACTCTGACAGAGCTCCAGAGTTCCACTGTGGAGATGGGAGAACCTTCCAGAAGGACAACCATCTCTGCAGCACTCCACCAATCAGGCCTTTATGGTAGAGTGGCCAGACAGAAGCCACTCCTCGGACCACGAGAAACAAGATGCTCTGGTCTGATGAAACCAGGATTGAACTCTTTGGCCTGAATGCCAAGCGTCACGTCTGGAGGAAACCTGGCACCATCCCTACGGTGAAGCATTATGTTTTTCAGCAGCAGCGACTGGGAGACTAGTCAGGATCGAGGGAAAGATGAACGGAGCAAAGTACAGAGAGATTCTTGATGAAAACCTGCTCCAGAGCTCTCAGGACCTCAGACTGGGGCGAAGGTTCACCTTCCAACAGGACAACGACCCTAAGCACACAGCCAAGACAACGCAGGAGTGGCTTCAAGACAAGTCTCTGAATGTACTTGAGTGGCCCAACCAGAGCCCGGACTTGAACCCGATCTAACATGTCTGGAGAGACCTGAAAATAGCTGTGCAGCGACGCTCCCCATCCAACCTGACAGAGCTTGAGTGGATCTGCAGAGAAGAATGGGAGAAACTCCCCAAATACAGGTGTGCCAAGCTTATAGCATCATTCCCAAGAAGACTCAAGGCTGTAATCACTGCCAAAGGTGCTTCAACAAAGTACTGAGTAAAGGGTCTGAATACTTATGTAAATGTAATTTCAGTTTTTCTATTATTTATAAATGTGCACAAATTTCTAAAAACCTGTTTTTGCTTTGTCATTATGGGGTATTGTGTGTAGACTGATGAGGAAAAATAACAATTGTATCTATTTTAAATAAGGCTATAACGTAACAAAATGTGGAAAAAGTCAAGAGGTCTGAATACTTTCCGAATGCACTGTATATCACTACATGTACAGGCACCCTGGGAGAGAACAGTTTAACAAATTGGGAATTGTTTTCTCCAGATCGCACCCTACCTGAGCTGTTAGGTTTGTTGGTTTGTTGACTTCTGTCAGTTGATCTGTGGTACCGAGGGGAAGGTGAGCCCATGCAGAGATAGCCAGTGTCAGGGAAGGCTACAGGATGTCTGTGAGAGCGACTGCTAAAGAAACTCCTCCATCTCGTCTCTACGGGAAAGAATAGGGAAATGAAATGAATAGCTACCTGTTCAAGATGATAAAGCATTATGGCCACTTTTAGTCTGTGTCCATTTGTGTGAGAGAGATTGTAATGTACTGTGCAGTACTTACTTTGGTCCAGGATATTAATTAGTGTGCGACATGCCACCTCTGTTTCAGGGCTGGGGTTGTCCAGGACCTGTCTGCACCACTTTAGAGGGGACTCATCGCTTCCCTCAGCAGATGCCCGTTTCTTGGGTGACTCATATAACCTAATAACGAATGAGAGTTTTATTGGATTCTGCTTAAGCACTCTGAATTATAATTAAGCAACTGAGGTATTAAAAAAGGTGGTTTGCAAAGGCATGGACAAAAATGTTGCCTAAAATATTGAAGTTGCAAATTCTTGACACTATACACAGTTTAGTTTTACCAACAAGTTGTGCAGGTACCTACCAGCTTACTTCATTCTCCACCTCACAGCCCTCCTCTAGGTCCAGGAGGTCCACCAGCTCCAGAGAAGACTGCTCTGCTCTCTTCTCTGTGTCCCTGTCCACCAGCTCCTCTGACCCCAAGCATCCCTGCCTGTGTGTCTCCTCCAATATGTTACTGTGGGGCAAGTGTGCATAACAGCCATCATAGACGTGTCCATCCTGCCCCACTAGTGTATCTCTGGGGCTTTCAAGAGGAGGTGGAGATATACCATCCCCACCGTTGACATCTGCTGGTTCAGGGTCCAGCAAATCACAGCAATTTTGACTTTCCTCCAGCGAAGAGGGACAGCTGATAAGCACACCAGAGAGAGCCTGGTTGTTGGTGTTGATATTTCTTCGCCTCTCACTTAGAGATTCATTTTGAATTTCCAGTCTCCGCACTAATTCATGTAACTTTCGCACTTCTACCAGCTCCAGTGCAGCAATGTCCTGCTCCATCCCGGTGTCCGGCCTCAACTGCTCTCCAATTCTGCAGTGTTCTTCACTTTTCACTGACTGAACAACAGCACTACATGGCTACACTGAAAAATAAAAAGCTACCGCTGAATTATACACTAAATTCAGAACGCAAATCAAACATTTCTCTCAAAGTGACATCAAGTAAACGCGATATTATCAATGTCCAAAGTAACTCTCAAAATGTAGAGCCACTGTATACTTCCACTACACTCTGTACTGACTCAGATTTGCAGCAGGAGAAACTCAACAGCTTGGATGGCTTTAAAGCACAGTGTCAGGGTCTTATGTGGATTAAAGAGTCGGACAAGCTGCCTCTGAGAAAGCCAAAGAACATCAGAGGATCAGACTTGGTTACACCTGCAGTCATAAGTGATGAGTAACGTTAATGACTTGCTAGCAATCACACAGAAGTCAGATCACACACGAGTCACTCATCAATCTTGTCCTCGGCCATAATAAACCCCTAAATTCCTAACGTTACTTGACCTGCCTGTAGCAGATCCGATTGTGTTGACCTCTAATAAAACCGCCCACTACTAGTCTAGACATTTTGAAATGACCAAGTCAAGGATATAAAATGGAGTTAACCATCTTGATTTATTCATATAGCTTGCTTATCTACTACATCTCAACATACCCTACAAGACTGAAAATACTAACTAGCGCACAAACTTAGCTACAGTAGCTAGCTACAGTAACGTCAATGTAAATAAAAAGTTAGCTAGCTAGCTATATATAAAGTTCTGGTTTAATTCATATCTAGCTAGCTAATGCTCGTATTCTAACAAAAATTGCTACACGTTATATATATACAATCGGATACATGGCTCCATTAGTACAAACAATGTGTTTTTGTTTGATAGCGATTATTTGATACTACCCACCACAAGAAAAGTCCCACAATCATGTTGTTGCCTGGCTGGCAGGCTGGCTGCTGTTGATAACGGTAACCAACGGCCGAAGAAGCTCCCCTCCCTCCCCTAGCGTTCCATTTATTTAAAACATTTTATTTCGCCTTTATTTAACCAGGTAGGCCAGTTGAGAACAAGTTCTCATTTACAACAGCGACCTCGTCAAGATAAAGCAAAGCAGTGCGATAAAAACAACAACAACACAGAGTTACATATGGGATCAACAAAATGTACAGTCAATAACACAATAGAAAATCTATATAGTGTGCAAATGTAGTAAGGTATGGAGGTAAGGCAATAAATAGGCCATAGTACAAAATAATTACAATTTAGTATTAACACTGGAGTGATAGATGTGCTGTAGATGATGTGCAAATAGAGATACTGGGGTGCAAATTAGCAAAATAAATAACAATATCGGGATGAGGTAGTTGGGTGGGCTAATTACAGGTGCAGATGTATTTATTCTGTTAGCAGCGCCAGGTAAGCTTAATACCTACTGCTGTGGACACCTTGCTTCACTCATTATTTGGTAGAAGGCATGCAGTGTTTTTGTGTGATGCATCTATTCCAAATAAAATTGTTTTATTATACATCAAGGGAATACAACTCATACATATGAACGTAACAGGAACTTTAGACTGAGCCCTCTGCTGACTGCCAAGTTCCCCACGTTACTTTGAATTGCATAGATAAACACAAAACAAATGTTAAACTATTCAAAGTTCCAGATATAATTTTATTGTTCCAAGTTCATAACCCAATACATTCATTTCTAGTCTCGATGTTGTGGAGAAGGCAGGAAAGCTCATGGAAACAATATTAAATCCTGCACATTTTCCACTTAAGGCAACAGGGATCTTCAAATCAATCAAGAGGTGTTAGAGTAGGTTCTGTTTTAAAGAGCGCTATAATCTCAGCTAAAATCAGACACATTTACACACATTGGTGTAAAACAGTAAAATCATACAGATTCGATTCTGGGGTATAATGGGCTTGGTGTGGATTGCTCTTACCGAGTATTGAAGCAGCTACAGCCGTGTTTGAGAGTTATAGGACTGACTGACAATACTTTATACTCGAAAAAAAAAAAGTATTGTTGAAGCAGGCCTTACACGTGGGCAGGCTTTGAGCTACACAAGCCATTGTTTTCGAAATAGAAGAGGACTGAACTGAAGGGCGAGTGCCCTTAGGATTCCCGAGTTTTAGCGTGGAAGTTAAAATAATTGAAACTTTCCAATACCTCTACGCAAAACCACATGGGCTAGTAAAGCTCAAATAATGTGTCCGCTACATTAGAGGCTCCATCCATGCATTACATGCCCTATTGCTTGATGAATAAAATATGGCAGATGTTCATGACATTGAATCACATTAATTAGGTAGAGGTAAATACCAAAATAAAAGGAAACGCTTGAGTAAATGAGGGATACAAAGCATATTGAAAGCAGCTGCGGTTTCTGAGTTAATTACGCAATTAAAACAGCCCATCATGCTTAGGGTCATGTATAAAAATGCCCGTTGCCCATTATTTTGGCTACCATGAGAAGAGATCTCAGTGACTTTGAAAGAGGGGTCTCCAAGGAGCATAAAGGGTGTGTCCGTCACTAGATCTCAACCCAAATTGAACACCTATGGGAGATCGTGGAGCAGCGCCTGAGACAGTGTTTTTCACCACCATCAATAAAACACACAATTATGGAATTTCTCGTGGAAGAATGGTGTCGCATTCCTCTAATAGAGTTCCAGGCACTAGTAGAATCTATGCCAAGGTACGTTGAAGCTGTTCTAGCGGCTCATGGTGCCCCAACGCCCGATTAAGACACTATGTTGGTGTTTCCTTTATTTTGGCAGTTACCTGTATGTGTGCACAGCAAGTAATGCGTTTATTACAATTACATAAAATCATGCAACTAAATATTAAAATCATGGTATCAACACGCCAAGGCATAGAATTAAGGACACTTGGAATTGTGAACTGCAAACGGGTCCTACAATATTGCGTAAAAAACAAAAGCTTATTTAGCATAAAAACAACTAAAGCCTATCTAAAGTGAGGATGTAAACGGTACACAATGCTTTGCTGTTGAACTGTGCAAAAGCAGAGTTATCAGTACAATGATCTCAAAATTAAAACATTATCTAGGAAATGCAAGTGGGTAGCCCAAATCTGCCTTGTATTGAAAAAATTGATCAGTAAGATAAAATAACAAGCTCATTAAACATAACTTGCCATATTGGAGTGAACATTTCTCTCAAAATGGCTGTCAGCAGCAATGTAAACTAAAGCTTCTCAATCTTGTAATAGACTATGCCTATATGAAACAACCTGGCATATTATTACGCCAATTAACTCAAATCTGGCATTTGGTCAAAGGTCAAACCAGTTGATAGCCAGTGCACTGTAACAGAATATTGGCAAGGAGCTTCTTTTAATTGACCCCACGGTATTTCCTAACTACTTCCATCCTTTCTCTTGACACAGGGATTAAATGGATGGGCTGAGATGATGGTGGTGCTCCAGACATCCCTCCTTTGGTACAGGTTTCCTGTGAAAGCAGGGTGGTGGTGCTGATGGGATGTTACAAGGGAACATGGCTGAATAGATACGACACTGACTCGCCGTTGTGTGTCCGGCGAATAGCCTCAGCTAGAATCATGGAGATGTCAATAACCTGAAGGGATGAGTGGGGGAGAAAAATGTATGAATCAAATTATCACCCATACTTATTTCCCCCACAGATAAAAACTTCAAACCATAAAGAAAGCAATTGGTTAACTAAATAACACCACCAGTAGCTCAGTGTTTCTGCTATAGTTATTTAGCTGTGGTGCTCACGGCAAAAAAAAGTAAAAAATTTTTTGGCCCAAGTCACACTTTGAAGATCCAGGATCAGTCCACATTTACTTCCTCTGCAAACAAAATGAGTAATTAATAGAAAATTCAGACAACCCCATAGTAGAATAGTTTATACATTGTCTGCATGTTCTTGTGTGTTCTATGCGAGATCAATATTCCTTGTGGCCCATTCAAGTTAGGAGTACCATAGGGAGGGAAACATGCATTCTGACAAGCAGTCAATGCACAACAATTCTTGCAATCGTGGGGAAAACAGCAGTTTTAATGGCCTTTGTTAAAAAGAGGGAGATCCTATCTTTCTATTCCTACTTATTTATTTCAACTCCTAAATATGAACATGCACCATTTTAAACCCTGCATTTTTAGCAGTGGCATGGTTAAGCATTTTACCACTCCACAATCTGCTGTTAGTGCATATGGGAGAGTGGGGCTAAATGGAACATGGGTCAATTGTAGGTTAACTTGGGGTAAACCGGCATCATAACTCAAAATAAGTCAGATTACATTTTTGGTTGCGTAGTGGCAACCGGGGGAGGGGGGGGTCCTTTTAAAAATTCACCAGAACTGAGCTTCAGTCCTTCATAAATATTATATAACCCCTTCTACAAATTCTTCAAGAGGAAACACTGCAGTAACTATACTCACAGATTTGGAAATGTTCAGCACAGTAAGGAGTTAGACAATGCAATAAACAGTAAGAATCAATCAAACAGAAATGTAAGTAGTCCAGGCAACATGCTGAGCCATTGAAATGAAAATTGTTGACAGCCTGCTGCTTAGGTAATCATTGGGCATTGTTTGGACAAAGTTTGAAAGGTTTTCATGGGGTGGAGGGAGGTTGGTATGTGTGCTCTGTAAAGGTGTCATGTGATCTGTTATTTGTGAAAGAAAAACATTTGTCAAAACAACAACTCAACTTATATATTTTTTTAAATAATGGAATGTTTTTGTTTCAATTCCCCAGATCTAAACTCTGCAACAAATCAGGTGCTGAGCCCCTGTGATGAGGTGGGGATTCTAACCTGTATTTTTGAACAGTGTTTCATCTTATCCTCCTGAGGGATGGTATTCGTGACTACCACAGCCTCAAAACAGGCATTGTTGATGCGGGTGATAGCAGGGCCTGAAAAGATCCCATGGGTCAGGATGGCATAGACCTTCGTGGCTCCAGCAGAGAGCAGCCTGAATATTCAGAAACAAAACATTTGGTTGAATCTCCACATTTTGTTTGTATACAACTTTGCTATCCATACATTTTCATTTTCAGAGACTTCCTTAAACAGATGTAACAGCTCCGGTCTGTATTTGCTGTACATTTAAAGATTGAATATTCAGTCTCTGCTCTGTAAAGATGTATGCAGCTTAAACACAGTAGCGACTCACTTATCTGCAGCGTGGCAGATGGTGCCGCAGGTGTCTGCCATGTCGTCAACCAAGATGGCCACTCTGTCCTTCACGTCCCCCACCAGGACCATGCGGTCCACCTCGTTAGCCTTCTTTCGCTCTTTGTGGATTAGGGCGAAGTCCACATTCAGCCTGTCTGCTATAGAGGTGACCCTGCAAAGGCAATCCACAGATTGGTGAGGTTATGGTACTACAGGTGATGTCAATCATTCCAAAGTTACATCTATAGGAGGAAGGGAATATATAGTAAGACACAGGTTTATGATTCTATGATTAATCCCAAATACAAACTCTGTAATGACAGTATCAAAATGACTTTCCTATTACAACGGAATTGTTGTAATCGGCTGAACGAGGTGAACGTGACGAATCCCTTGAAAATAATGAATTGAGCAACAATCATCCTTTCAACAATGCTAATATTCCTAACAACTCAAATCTGTCCTTTTGACCCTTTGTATTGATGAAGCATCTACAGGCCCATTGGCCTCCTCCAATCTACCTTTTGGCTCCTCCGGCATCAGGAGACACAATGGTGCAATTCTTCCACTCATTGATGTTCTCTTTGATCCATTTCAGCACAGCTGGCTCCGCGTATAGATTGTCCACGGGGATATCAAAGAACCCCTACAGAGGCATACAGCGAGCAAACCCATGATAAGATACAGGATCACTAGTCAGTGTCTTCAAGGCCTTACTTGCAACAGCCTTTTGGAGAAACTTTCATGTGGCTCACTATTGACAGTATGTTGTTAAGAAACAAAACCGATGCACGCACCTCTTCGGGGCAAGATGGGGTTGACATGTAAACTATATTTTGTCTCCAAATGTTTATTAAAAACAAATACATTTGCAAAATAAGCACCTATACAGTTTATGGTTACAAAATAAGTCTCAAATACATCGTAACAGTTATTTAGAAAATGTGTCATATAGACGTGGCATAAGTCAAAACAAGACATGGTATCAAGAACAAGATACTAGTGCGAAGAAATTAACCGAATGAGGGTTTTTTCGGTTATTAAACTAATTGACTAACATCGGTTCAATTACACTGAACAAAAATTATAAACATGTTAAGTGTTGTTCCCATGTTTCATGAGCTGAAATAAAAGATCCCAGAAATGTTCCATACGCGCATAAAGCTTATTTTTCTTCAATTCTGTGACCAAATTTGTTTACATCCCTGTTAGTGAGCATTTCTCCTTTGCCAAGATAATAAATCCACCTGACAAGTGTGGCATATCAAGAAGCTGATTAAACAGCATGATCATTACACAGGTGCACCTTGTGCTGGGGACAATAAAAGGCCACTAAAATGTGCAGTTGTGTCACAACACAATGCCACAGTTGTCTCAAGTTGAGGGAGCGTGCAATTGGCATGCTGACTGCAGGAATGTCCACCAGAGCGGTTGCCAGATAATTTCATGTTAATTTCTCTACCATAAGCCGCCTCTCCAATGTCGTTGGAGAATTTGGCAGTACATCCAACCGGCTTCACAACCGCAGACCACGTGTAACCACGCCAGCCCAGGACCTCCACATCCAACTTCTTCACCTGCGGATCATCTGAGACAATCCACCCGGACAGCTGATGAAACTGTGGGTTTGCACAACCAAATAATTTCTGCACAAACTGTCAGAAGCAGTCTCAGGGAAGCTCATCTGCATGCTCGTAGTCCTCACCAGGTCTTGACCTGACTGCAGTTCGGCATCGTAACTGACTTCAGAGGGCAAATGCTCACCTTTGATGGCCATCGGCACGCTGGAGAAGTGTGCTCTTCGCAGATGAATGCGGGTTTCAACTGTACTGGGCAGATGGCAGACAGCATGTGTAGCGTCGGTTTGCTGATGTCAACGTTGTGAGTGCCCAATGGTGGCGGTGGGGTGATGGTATGGGCAGGCATAAGCTATGGGCAACGAATAATTGCATTTTATTGATGGCAATTTGAATGCACAGAGATACCGTCACGAGATTCTGAGGCCCATTGTCGTGCCATTCATCCGCCGCCATCACCTCATGTTTCAGCATGATAATGCACAGCCCCATGTCGCAAGGATCTGTACACAATTCCTGGAAGCTGAAAATGTCCCAGTTCTTCCATGGCCTGCATACTCACCAGACATGTCACCCATTGAGCATGTTTGGAATCGTCTGGATCGACGTGTACGACAGCGTGTTCCAGTTCCCGCCAATATCCAGCAACTTCGCACAGCCATTGACGAGGAGTCTGACAACATTCACTGGCCACAATCAACAGCCTGATCAACTCTATGCGAAGGAGATGTGTCACACTGCATGAGGCAAATATGGTGGTCACACCAGATCCTGACTGATTTTCTGAGCCAAACCCCTACTTTTTTTTTTTTAAAGGTATCTGTGACCAACAGATGCATATCTGTATTCCCAGTCATGTGAAATCCATAGATTAGGGCCTAATTAATTTATTTTAATTGACTGATTTCCTCATATCAACTGTAACTAAGTAAAATCTTTGAAATTGTTGCATGTTACATTTATATTTTTGTTCAACGTACTTGAATCCCATTTAGTTCGGGCGGGTTTTGTGAGCCCAACGTGCCATTTATCTAGAAAGAAATCAAATCATTCATGAGAGAAATGAAGTCAAGAACTATATGGGACGCTGGGCTGAAGGGAGTTGTAGTTTTCATTAAGCAAATATTCAACCTAGTTCAGCGCCAAAACGTGGTAGTTAACTACAATGACCATAAGCCTGTTATTTTCCGGCTCGGACACAGATGGATACACTGACGCCTGCTACGTTAGGTTAGATACACCCAGACCACAACGACGAGGGGGATAGAGAGTTGGTGAAAGTATGCCTTATCTACTTTGAAGAACTAGTAAAATGATTATCAGACAGCTCTGCAGCATACTTAGGCCGGTTAGCCTAGCTAAATAGGATGACTAGAGACAGTATAGTATGGGGAGAACAGAGTATTAGATGGTTGTCTGTCTGGCTGCTACTGCCTGAGCAGAGATGATGACTTTAAGGAATTTAAAAATGATATGTGGACCTGACAAGACAATGGAATATTTTCAATGTTTTGGCAATTGAATGTTCACCATTTTTTACTTTTCCATTAAAAAGCTCTAATCATTTTAATGTCATTATTTCATAATGCATTTAACGTAAAAATAATAATATTGAAACAGAAAACCATGATTATTTTGTAATAATCGAAACAAAACCAAAACAGACTTCAAAAAGCACTTAACGCTCAGCACTACAAGATACAACTATCTGAAACCAGCCACCTAGGATTCCCCACATGGCAGCTTCTTGTAATTGTTGCTAGCCATCTGATCGTTCAGAATCATAACACAGCCTTCTACCCCTGCGATGCACGTGCATCATTTGTGACGTTGTCAGGCAACCCGTTTATAGTACGCAACACAAGTATCGTATAGCCTAATCAATCATTTGTACATCTTAGTTGTGTATCCTACACTAGTGACTGCAATATAGATGGAACGAGCCAAATAATGTGCCAGAAGGCTCACCTGTATCTGCGAGGCGTGCAGGTCCATGGTGATTATGTGATCGGCTCCTGACACTGACAACATGTTGGCCACCAGCTTTGCAGAGATGGGCGCCCGACTCTGTTCAGAAAAACATTGTTCATCTCTATAATCATACAATGCATGCAGAAGAAGGCCCATTGAGACAATGCAATTTAAAAAATAACAGAGGGAGACCCATCTCTTTTCTGAATTAGCTTTGTCAGTTATATTCTAAATCAACCAAATTGGTTTGCCCAATATGGCATTTTTGAGAAGCAGTCAAATATATGATGACATCAAAGCAAATGGACTGACTGACTATAGATGGTGTGAAGTGTGTTGGTGCTGTGAACAGAACAAACTATTTTAAAAGTTTCCCTCACCCCCACCTTGTCCTTCTTGTCTTGTCTTGCATATGGGAAACAGGGGATGACAGCCGTGACTCGTGAGGCAGAGGCAATCTTACAGGCATTGATCATGATGAGGAGCTCCATTAAGTTATCATTAATCTCACCACAACCACTCTGGACAATGTAGACATCCTCTCCTCTGACACTCTCCCCAATCTCCACGCTGCAGGATCAAGTCATACAGTGTCAGACAGTAGCTATACATGGTGACAGGACCATAACACGTAGAGAACATGAAGAGAAGACATTTACATTTTAGTCATTTAGCAGACGCTCTTATCCAGAGCGACTTACAGGAGCAATTAGGGTTAAGTGCCTTGCTCAAGGGCACATCGACAGTTCACCTAGTCGGCTCGGGGATTAGAACCAGCGACCTTTCGGTTACTGGCACAACGCTCTTACCCACTAAGCTACCTGCCGCCCCATTCTGTTAATGTACATAATCATGGCATCATGGGCTTCCAGGTCAATAGACTAAACAACACTCAATGAATGATCCATATATTCACACTAGGGCTGTACCCAACTAAAAAAAATGTTGTTTGTCGACCAAGAGTTGTCTGTTAGAAATTTTAAAAACATCTCTCTCTCTGTATTTGATCCCCTGCTGATTTTGTACGTTTGCCCACTGACAAAGAAATTCAGTCTATAATTTTAATGCTGAGAGACAGAATATCAACAAAATCCACAACAACGCATGTAAAAAATCTTATGAATTGATTTGCATTTTAATGAGGGAAATAAGTACTTGACCCCTCTGCAAAACATGACTTCGTACTTGGTGGCAAAACCCTTGTTGGCAATCAGAGGTCAGACGTTTATTGTAGTTGGCCACCAGGTTTGCACACATCTCAGGAGGGATTTTGTTCCACTCCTCTTTGCAGATCTTCTCCAAGTCATTAAGGTTTCGAGGCTGACGTTTGGCAACTCGAACCTTCAGCTCCCTCCACAGATTTTCTATGGGATTAAGGTCTGGAGACTGGCTAGGCCACTCCAGGACCTTAATGTGCTTATTCTTGGAGCCACTCCTTTGTTGCCTTGGCCGTGTGTTTTGGGTCATTGTCATGCTGGAATACCCATCCACGACCCATTCTCAATACCCTGGCTGAGGGAAGGAGGTTCTCACCCAAGATTTGACGGTACATGGTCCCGTCCATCGTCCCTTTGATGCGGTGAAGTTGTCCTGTCCCCTTAGCAGAAAAACACCCCCAAAGCATAATGTTTCCACCTCCATGTTTGACAGTGGGGATGGTGTTCTTGGGGTCATAGGCAGCATTCCTCCTCCTCCAAACACGGCGAATTGAGTTGATGCCAAAGAGCTCGATTTTGGTCTCATCTGACCACAACACTTTCACCCAGTTCTCCTCTGAATCATTCAGATGTTCATTGGCAAACTTCAGACGGGCATGTATATGTGCTTTCTTGAGCAGGGGGACCTTGCGGGCGCTGCAGGATTTCAGTCCTTCACGGCGTAGTGTGTTACCAATTGTTTTCTTGGTGACTATGGTCCCAGCTGCCTTGAGATCATTGACAAGATCCTCCCGTGTAGTTCTGGGCTGATTCCTCACCGTTCTCATGATCATTGCAACTCCACGAGGTGAGATCTTGCATGGAGCCCCAGGCCGAGGGAGATTGACAGTTATTTTGTGTTTCTTCCATTTGCGAATAATCGCACCAACTGTTGTCACCTTCTCACCAAGCTGCTTGGCGATGGTCTTGTAGCCCATTCCAGCCTTGTGTAGGTCTACAATCTTGTCCCTGACATCCTTGGAGAGCTCTTTGGTCTTGGCCATGGTGGAGAGTTTGGAATCTGATTGATTGATTGCTTCTGTGGACAGGTGTCTTTTATACAGGTAACAAGCTGAGATTAGGAGCACTCCCTTTAATCTTTCTGATTGAGAGGGGGTCAAATACTTATTTCCCCTCATTAAAATGCAAATCAATTTATACGATTTTTGACATGCGTTTTTCTGGATTTTTGTTGTTGTTATTCTGTCTCTCACTGTTCAAATAAACGTACCATTAAAATTATAGACTGATCATTTCTTTGTCAGTGGGCAAACATACAAAATCTCTCAAAAGTCCCCTGGAATGGCTGCTCAGTCGTTCACACGCAGACTCTGATAGCCACCTGTCTTGTGTATTGTAGCATTAAAATCTTAAATACTTCTTATCAAAGCTACTTCCTTATTTTCTGTCAGGTATCAAACATAACTAAATATCTATCGGCTGGAGTGGTGTAAAGCTCGCTGCCATTGGACTCTGGAGCAGTGGAAACGCGTTCTCTGGAGTGATGAATCACGCTTCACCATCTGGTAGTCCGATGGACGAATCTGGGTTTGGCGGATGCCAGGAGAACGCCACCTGCCCCAACTGTAAACTTTGGTGGAGGAGGAATAATGGTCTGGGACTGTTTTTCGTGGTTCCGGCTAGGCCCCTTAGTTCCAGTGAAGAGAAATCTTAACGCTACAGCATACAATTACATTCTAGACGATTCTGTGCTTCCAACTTTGTGGCAACAGTTTGGTGAAGGCCCTTTCCTGTTTTAGCATGACAATGCCCCCGTGCACAAAGCAAGGTCCATACATAAATGGTTTGTCGAGATCGGTGTGGAAGAACTTGACTGGCCTGCACAGATCCCTGACCTCAACCCCATCGAACACCTTTGGGATGAATTGGAATGCCGACTGCGAGCCAGGCCTTATCGCCCAACATCCATTCCCGACCCCACTAATGCTCGTGGCTGAATGGAAGCAAGTCCCGTAGCAATGTTCCAACATCTAGTTGAATGCTTTCCCAGAAGAGTGAAGGCTGTAATAGCAGCAAAGAGGGGACCAACTCCATATTAATGCCCATGATTTTGGAATGGGATGTTCGACGACCAGGTGTCCATATACTTTTGGTGATGTAGTGCATCTAGCGACAACCAGTCTGCCCATGCGATGCTGCTAACACAGTAGGCATTAAAAAAAACAGAACCCCTGGTCTGATAGCAACTGAACGCGATACACAACAGCCGGAATTGGCATTTAGCCACTAGCATGGTGGTGGAAAACAGTGTTTCATAAGGAGGGTACGCATATCCCCCCCGCCATTAAATTAAGTTGAAGATATTGAAGCCTATGCAGCCGAAATGGAGAATGTTTTAGGTACAAACCGGTCCACAAGGGATACGAATGTATTGCTGGCTGCATACAATGCATTAGGACGGTAAGATGACATGACACAATTAGGGCTGACCCCAAATAGTCAACTGGTCGATAGGCTGTTGGTCGACCAATATTATTTTGGGTTGAGCAGTAGCACACACACACAGTGCATTCGGAAAGTATTCAGACCCCTTGACTTTTTTCACATTTTGTTACAGCCTTATTCTAATGGATTAAATTGTTTGTCCCCCCCTCATCAATCTAACACAATGACAAAGCGAAAACAGGTTATACATTTTTGCAAATGTATTTATTAAAACAAAAAAAACAAATACCCTTTTTACATAAGTATTCAGACCCTTTGCGATGAGATTCGAAATTGAGCTCATTCAATTGATTGGACATGATTTGGAAAGGCACACACCTGTCTATACAAGGTTCCACAGTTGACAGTGCATGTCAGAGCAAAAACCAAGCCATGACGTCGAAGGAATTGTCCGTAGAGCCCCCGAGACAAGATCGTGTCGAGGGACAGATCTGGGGAAGGGTACCAAAAAATATCTGCAGCATTGAAGGTACCCAAGAACACAGTGGCCTCCGTCATTCTTAAATGGAAGAAGTTTGGAACCACCAAGACACTTCCTAGAGCTGGCCGCCCGGCCAAACTGAGCAATCGGGGGAGAAGGGCCGGTCAGGGAGGTGACCAAGAACCCAATGGTCACTGACAGAGCTCCTCTGTGGAGGAAGAGTGACAGTGAGCTTAAAGTATCAGACAAGCTCGATGCATATAGTTGATTTTTATTTTATTTTAAACACATAGGGTGTATCTATATATGGAAAAATACATTTTTAAAATGTCGACCAGACGGATTTCGGTCGACCTAAAAAAAAATGTTTGTCGGGGACAGCCCTAAACTCAATATCACCATCTGCCGGCCTTTGGACAAGGGTGCAATTGCGGCCTGCAATTCGGGGCGTTCCTGCATGTGAGCATTCCTGCATCTGCAGGAACCCCTCTTTATACTTTTATTGGTCCATTTTTTAACTAGGACTCCAGTACACAGGCGGAAGCGCTCCAGTACAGTAGGTGGCGGTAATGCACCATAACGTTGGATGCCAACTGCTGATATACCCCACAGAAGAGGTGGGGCGCCAACGCAGTTAGCTAGGACTCCGGTACACAGCAGGCGGGATAGGTAGCTAGCTAGCTTTGGTCCTGCCGTACATACCTACACGTACGCTACGGTCACAAGACGCAGGCCTCCTTATTGTCCCTGGAATTTCTAAGCAAACAGCTGGTGGCAGGACTTTCTCCTATAGAGCTCAATTTTTATGGAATGGTCCGCCTATCCATGTGAGAGACGCAGACTCTGTCTCGACCTTTAAGTCTTTACTGAAGACTCATCTCTTCAGTAGGTCCTATGATTGAGTGTAGTCTGGCCCAGGGGTGCGAAGGTGAACGGAAAGGCACTGGAGCACAAACCACCCTTGCTGTCTCTGCCTGGCCGGTTCCTGTCTCTCCATTGGGATTCTCTGCCTCTGACCCTATTATGGGGGCTGAGTCACTGGCTTACTGGTGCTTTCCATGCCGTCCATAGGAGGGGTGCATCACTTGAGTGGGTTGAGTCACAGACGTGATCTTCCTGTCCGGTTTGTCGCTCCCTCGGGCTCGTGCAGTGGAGGAGATCATCATGAGCTATACTCAGCCTTGTCTCAGGGTAGTAGGTTGGTGGTCTGTTGATATCAAATCAAATCAAATCAAATTTTATTGGTCACATGCGCCGAATACAACAGGTGCAGACATTACAGTGAAATGCTTACTTACAGCCCCCAACCAACAGTGCATCCATTTCAAACAAAAAAGTAAGAATAAAACAACAACAAAAAAGTGTTGAGAAAAAAAGAGCAGAAGCAAAAATAAAGTGACAGTAGGGAGGCTATATATACAATAGAATAAAGTGACAGTAGGGAGGCTATATATACAGGGGGGTACCGTTGCATAGTCAATGTGCGGGGGCACCGGCTAGTTGAGGTAGTTGAGGTAATATGTACATGTGGGTAGAGTTAAAGTGACTATGCATAAATACTTAACAGAGTAGCAGCAGCGTAAAAAGTATGGGGTGGGGGGGCAGTGCAAATAGTCCGGGTAGCCATGATTAGCTGTTCAGGAGTCTTATGGCTTGGGGGTAGAAGCTGTTGAGAAGTCTTTTGGACCTAGACTTGGCACTCCGGTACCGCTTGCCGTGCGGTAGCAGAGAGAACAGTCTATGACTAGGGTGACTGGAGTCTTTGACAATTTTGAGGGCCTTCCTCTGACACCGCCTGGTATAGAGGTCCTGGATGGCAGGGAGCTTTGCCCCTGTGATGTACTGGGCCGTACGCACTACCCTCTGTAGTGCCTTGCGGTCAGAGGCCAAGCAGTTGCCATACCAGGCGGTGATGCAACCAGTCAGGATGCTCTCGATGGTGCAGCTGTAGAATTTTTTGAGGATCTGAGGACCCATGCCAAATCTTTTTAGTCTCCTGAGGGGGAATAGGCTTTGTCGTGCCCTCTTCACGACTGTCTTGGTGTGTTTGGACCATGATAGTTCGTTGGTGATGTGGACACCAAGGAACTTGAAGCTCTCAACCTGTTCCACTACAGCCCCGTCGATGAGAATGGGGGCGTGCTCAGTCCTCTTTTTTTTCCTGTAGTCCACAGGACTACAGGAAAAATATCCCTCTGGTGGTGTGGGGGCTGTGCTTTGGCAAAGTGGGTGGGGTTATATCCTGCCTGGTTGGCCCTGTCCGGGGGTATCGTCGGACGGTGCCACAGTGTCTCCCAACCCCCCCTGTCTCAGCCTCCAGTATCTATGCTGAAATAGTCTATGTGCCGGGGGGCTAGGGTCAGTCTTATGTCTGGTGTTATTCTCCTGTCTTATCCGGTGTCCTGTGTGAATATAAGTATGCTCCCTCTAATTCTCCCTCTCTCTCCCTCCCATCCCAGAGGACCTGAGCCCTAGGACCATGCCTCAGGACTACCTGGCCTGATGAATCATTGCTGTCCCCAGTCCACCTGGTCGTGCTGCTGCTACAGTTTCCACTCAGGAACCCTGACCTGTTCACCAGACATGTTACCTTGTCCCAGACCTGCTGTTTTCAACTCTCTCTCTCTACTGCACCTGCTATTTCAACCTCTAAATGCCCGGCTATGAAAAGCCAAGTGACATTTACTCCTGATGTACTGACCTGTTGCAACCTCTACAACCACTGTGATTATTATTTGACCCTGCTGGTCATCTATGAACGTTTGAACATCTTGGAGAAAAATCTGGCCTTAATGGCCATGTACTGTTATAATCTCCACCCGGCACAGCCAGAAGGGGACTGTCCACCCCTCAGAGCCTGGTTCCCCTCTAGGTTTCTGCCTTTCTAGGGAGTTTTTACTAGCCACCATGCTTCTACATCTGCATTGCTTGCTGTTTGGGTTTTAGGCTGGGTTTCGGTATAGCACTTTGTGACATCTGCGGATGTAAAAAGGGCTTTATAAATAACATTTGATTGATTGACACCGGTAGACAGTGTCCTTCGCCCCCGCCTGTCTAGTACTGTTTTCCCGCAGTTCTGTTATCGACGGCAAGTGTTCGGCAAGCGGGAGCGAAGGTACATAGCAGGCGGGATATGTAGTTAGCACACGGGTAGACAGCGTACTTCACCCCCGCCTGTCTGGCACTGCTTTCCCGCAGTTATGTTAACGATAACGACGGCGAGGGCAGGTGTACAGCAGGCGTTAGTGAAGGACACTGGGTGATAGCTAGCAGGCTAGGACTCCGGTAAACAGCAGGCGGGATAGGTAGCTAGCTAACTATAACATCAGTAGACCATGTCTGTCGTCCCTGCCTGTCGGGCATTGCTTTCCCGCAGTTCTGTTAACAGCAGGTGTTCAGCAGGCGGGAGCAAAGGGAACTGTGTGCTAGCTAGCTACGAGGTATCTGGTACATAGTTACGGCAGACAGGGTCCTTCGCCCCCCAAAAAATATGCAGGAATGCCCATATGCAGGAACTCCCCTGGCCACAATCACACACAATTGTGCCTTTGTGCTAGGTCTCATGAGTCATAATTATGGCTAAACCACGCCGATTTCTGCAAACAATTATTAAAATTGGATTTTAAACCAAACTGCTAACCTTATGCCTAACCATTTTTTTACATTTTAGTCATTTAGCAGACACTCTTATCCAGAGCGACTTACAGGAGCAATTAGGGTTAAGTGCCTTGCTCAAGGGCACATCGACAGATTTTTCACCTAGTCGGCTCGGGGATTAGAACGAGCGACCTTTCGGTTACTGGCACAAAGCTCTTAACCACTAAGCTACCTGCCGCCCCTAACCCTGAACTTAAATTAAGACCCCCATTTTTGGTTTTGGCTGTGGTAACCAGTGACAACCTGCAAGTTGTTGTTGCTTCCCGCTTCACCATCATTGTTCCCACGGGGGGCCAGTATGAAAAATGTATGCACTCACTAATTGTAGGTCGCTCTGGATAAGAGCGTCTGCTAAATGACTAAAATATCAAATTGTTTTGCTCTAACATGCTGAGTGCTCATTGGCAGTAGTACTTGTCCAATCGCGTCGTAGCACTGCTCATACTACAAGATGCACGACAAACATTTCGGACATGTCAGAAACTTATCGGAACATCATCCGACAAGGGTCTGCAGAACGGAACAGCCACCACCGGCATCAGTTTGTCCTTCACCCTTTGAAACTACGCGAGTCCCGACGTACTGATCCTAGTCGAAGTTCATACATAGGATTTCACCCCGATCATGAAAATTAGTCTGGGACTGCAAAAACGTAGCGAAATCGTGTTGTGTATGCCCGGTATTACAATACAGTCCACATGGATTTTGGGAGTTGCCGTTCTAACGTTAAGCCTCCTGCCCTTACCCTGTCTCATTTTAAGGTCTACATAAAGTTGCCAACAAAGCTAGGTAATGCTAGTTAGCTAGCTATATTAGTAGTTGAACACGTTTGCGGTAAGCTAATTTAGTTAGCTAACTAGCAACAACAACGACCACACTCACTCGCGCTTTCAATCGGCCATGTGGGCTAACTTCAGCTAGCTAACGCGTTCCTGTACCTAGCTAACAACCAAAGCAACATTCCCAGGCAGAACATTCACACATTGGTAAAATAACGCTTACTAGCCAGTAGGTATTGTTTAAACACTTTTAACCTACCATGTCTCCTGGTTGCTGAATTTCTTGGTCACAACCTTCCCCAGCTCAAGTCCCAGTCGGTCGGCAATTTTTTGGCCAAGGTCCGGATGAGAGCTGCCACTGAATATCTTTATGTTAGGCATTTTGGAGGAATCCGAATTAAGTAACCAAACACCCTCACATAAATACACGGCTAACACGCAAACCAAGTTTAGCTTCTCTTTAGCTAACCCACCAACAGCAGACAAGACTCGAACTTGCGATGGTGACTCCTTTTTTCTGTGCTGTGGGTTGGTTGGGCTGCCACGCGAGAATGAGTGGGGTCGTTGTCGCACGTCTTCTTCGGTTTCTTTCTTCTTATTTAAAATGTTATTGTCGGATCGCAACCAACTGTACTGGAGTGTGAGGCCGAACTCCTTCCTCTTCTTCTTCGATGGGATTTACCGGCGGTTGGCATCCAATGTCAATGGTGCATTACCGCCACCAGCTGGACAGGATATTGAATGAAAATAAAAAATAAAACATTGCGTGAAAGGGGGGAAAATTACATCATACGAAATACCAAATTAGACACGTCAAATAACAAAACCCATCCCACTTCTTCAGTCACAGTCCACTCCAAAATACATAATTACACAGGCTCAGGGGCCTGTGATGGCGGAACATTCACCGACAGGATTTCTTGCACGGCCTCGGGTGTGAAATCACGAAGACCCATAAAAGGTACAGCTGCATTCACAATGATTCCAATGTTCTTAGACTTCTTCTCCGCTTGTGCTGTAGAGTTTATGACCACTGCAATAAATAATACAATGTCCACATTTTTAACGTGTAGCATTTCACTATCCCTCGGTTGATGAGAAACCTTCACTGCTCGTGGTGGCTCTACTACCATTGTTTCTTCCCCGCCACTCGTTCCTTCCAATCTTCTTACCGCCTCCAAATAGGAGACACGCTGGACGCTCCTTACCCTTAACACCTCATTCTCCTTCACCCTAACAGGGCACTCCAAGAATTCAGGCGCATGTTCACCTCCACAGTTGCAGCGTTTCACTTCATCTGGCATACGATACTCTTCCCTTCTGTACACACTTGACACGTGACCAAATCTTTTACATTTATGACACTGAAAGGGTTTGTGCACAAAAGCTCTTACAGGGTATCTCATGAATCCTAACTTTATATGAGAAGGGAGTGACTCTTTATCAAAGAACAATAGCATGGATGAAATTAATTTATTTTCTCCATCCACCATACAGGTCAGTCGACCTGCACCAACCACTCCATCTACAGTACCAGTCTAAAGTTTGGACACACCTACTCATTCAAGGGTTTTTCTTTATTTTTACTATTTTCTACATTGTAGAATAAGAGTGAAGACATCAAAACTATGAAATAACACATATGGAATCATGTAGTAACCAAAAAAGTGTTAAACAAATCCAAATATATTTTATGTTTTAGATTCTTCAAAGTAGCCACCATTTGCCTTTGCACACTCTTGGCATTCTCTCAACCAGCTTCACCTGGAATGCTTTTCCAACAGTCTTGAAGGAGTTCCCACAGATACTGAGCACTTGTTGGCTGCTTTTCCATCACTCTGCGGTCCATCTCATCCCAAACCATCTCAATTGGGTTGAGGTTGGGTGATTGTGGAGGCCAGGTCATCTGATGCAGCTCTCCATCACTCTCCTTCTTGGTCAAATATCCCTTACATAGCCTGGAGGTGTGTTGGGTCATTGTCCTGTTGAAAAACAAATGATAGTCCCACTAAGCGCAACCAGATGGGATGGCCTATCGCTGCAGAATGCTGTAGTAGTCATGCTGGTTAAGTGTGCCTTGAATTCTAAATAAATCACCAACAGCGTCACCAGCAAAGCACCCCCACACCATCACACCTCCTCCTCTATGCCTCACGGTGGGAACCATACATGCGGAGATCATCCGTTCACCTACTCTGCGTCTCACAAAGACACAGCGGTTGGAACCAAAAATCTCAAATTTGGACTCATCAGACCAAAGGACAGATTTCCACCGGTCTAATGTCCATTGCTCGTGTTTCTTGGCCCAAGCAAGTCTCTTCTTCTTATTGGTGTCCTTTAGTAGTGGTTTCTTTGCAGCAATTCGACCATGAATAAACCATTTTTTAAAATGAAGGCTTGATTCACGCAGTCTCCTCTGAACAGTTGATGTTGAGATGTGTCTGTTACTTGAACTCTGTGAAGCATTTATTTGGGCTGCAATTTCCGAGGCTGGTAACTCTAATGAACTTATCCTCTGCAGCAGAGGTAACTCTGGGTCTTCCTTTCCTGTGGCAGTCCTCATGAGAGCCAGTTTTATCGTAGCGCTTGATGGTTTTTGCAACTGCACTTGAAGAAACTTTCAAAGTTCTTGAAATGTTCCTGATTGACTAACCTTCATGTCTTAAAGTAATGATGGACTGTCGTTTCTCTTTGCTTATTTGAGCTGTTCTTGCCATAATATGGACTTGGTCTTTTACCAAATAGGGCTATCTTCTGTATACCAACCCTACCTTGTCACAACACAACTGATTGGCTCAAACGCATTAAGAAGGAAAGAAATTCCACAAATTAACTTTTAAGAAGGCACACCTGTTAATTGAAATGCATTCCAGGTGACTACCTCATGAAGCTGGTTGAGAGAATGCCAAGAGTGTGCAAAGCTGTCATCAAGGCAAAGGGTGGCTACTTTGAAGAATCTCAAATATACAATATATTTAGATTTGTTTAACACTTTTTTGGTTACTACATGATTCCATGTGTGTTATTTCATAGTTTTGATGTCTTCACTATTATTCTACAATGTAGAAAATAGTAAAAAATAAAGAAAAACCTAGAATGAGTAGGTGTGTCCAAACTTTTGACTGGTACTGTATGTCTTCAATTATATCCTCTGCCTTTACTTCTTGCACCACCCCAGAAATAACACCCTTGATAGGCGCCCTGCTGCGAAAAATCCATACAGGAAACATTCCACTCCAATATCTTTTTGAGTCTTAAAGAACGCTTCTTCTGATCCGCAGACACACACATAAAAAAAAGACCCCTTCTTGTGACTCTCCCCCACTCCACACTTTCCTCCAACACATTCCAGATTTTCCTTGAGACATTAAACAGATTTCCCAGGTAGCGTTGATCCAAAACCCTCACTCTGACTAAAACCAATCAAGTGGTTTCCTATTTTCCTCCACAGCTTTACTTCTCCTTTCCCTTTTTCTTCGCCATTGTAACCCACTCATTCTCGCTCTCTGTGCTCGCTCTCACCCGACTCACTAGCAGTTTCAAACCAAACCTCAGTTAATGCCATCTTCCCACTTTCTATCGTGCGGCCGCCCTATTAATCTATTTTTCTTATCTAGCCCTGTGTTTTCTGCCTACTGTTCTGGAGTGTGAATTCATTACACTCTGTGACACAAAACGTGAAGGGAAAAAGGACAGGGAAAAGGGAAGAAAAATGTGCCCTACCAGCTAACCAGCTAACCATACACCCATTAAAACCTCACCACTATTCCACTACTTGGCCCTATCTTGTTCAACACACTGTGGTATCCCGGGAGGTCTACCCTGCCACATCCTAGTTTGACTTTGTCAGGTAAAGACTCTGCATCAAAACTCAGCAGGACAGACAGTGTCTTCTCTGTTTCACCATACTCTCCACCAGGTCTGTGTCGCTCACACGTGTGTCAAATTCTTTGACAAACCACATGAGTGTACAATCTGACTGGATAGGAAGGTTACGGGCTAGTTCTCCGCTCTGGTTCAGTTGTGGGCGGTGATGGACAGTACAGTGTAGGCTACTGTCTATGGTAGTACATTGCAGAAATAAATAAAGATATAAGCATTGTATTGAAGGCCAAGCATTTGTTTCACCTGTCCAGATCAGTGTTGATGAAGACAAGAGATAGACAACCCCTCTCAATGTGAAGCCCTTGGCCTAGTAGTGCATTGATCTGCATAGGCCAAAATGTTGTCAGAAGCTGGTTACATTTAATAAACATTCTGTTGTGTTCCTCTCAGTGGTAGACAACTAGACATTCTTACTCCTCTCACTCAATTACTGAGCATTCTGACCTTGGGTTTGCCTGTTACCATAAACAATAGATAAACAACCGAATATTTAACATTTGGTTAGATTTTTTTTTTGCAGTCAACATTCACACACATTCCTATTTAGCTGTTATTCAATTCAAATGTGTGCAGCAGTGGATAAGCAAAGTATATGAACATACCTATGGTGCAATGTATAATCCATGCTAACCATGTGTTACAAGGCCTAGCAATGCACCAGGATAGTCTGAACTATTCCTCATAAAGAAAAAAGGATTGAATGCTGCCATCTGCTGGAGTACAAGCTCTACTGGTTGTGCTTTCGAGGTGCCTGACTACTAACATAGGCAAAGTTTATGCAAAAAAATATTTACAGTATTGTCTGGCCTACTTATTTACACAGCTATTTCAAACGAAACACTTTTCACTAAAACTTGGTGATAATTAGGCCACAAGCTTGACCGGTTAAACCAAGGCTTCTAGAATGTAGAGTAAATAAATTGTAGTCTGTCTAAACAAGTGCCTATTCATCAAAGCAATATCTGAAAAATAATATATATATGAAGTAACATGTTTAGCATTTTGTGGAGTCCTGGGAATGTATCTATTTGCAGACAGACTACACAGACTACAAGTAAAATGTAATGTCAACACTTCTTGAAGTCTTCCATGCAACATAAGGACTGTATACATTTTCAGAAAGAGGTCAATACAGTCCCTTTAGAGAAGAAAATGGAGACCTCATCTGAAAGCAGCAATCAAAAGCTCATTTTTATTTTATATTTATTCCATAAACATTATTACAAAACTCAGCAAGTTACCAATATTACATTGTCACCATACAGGCTTGTTCACAAATATTTAAACCTTTGCAACAGTTACAACAAAACAAAATGATACTAGAATGATTTATAAAACAGCAATAAAATCACAAATATGTCTTTATTTCAGTTTTTCTTTTTCTTTTATCATACTTTTTACACTATAGCACTACACTCCCACAACAAGATTGGTCTGATTACAAAACTTCCGACAAAATGTTACAGCTTTTTTCCCCAGTGTTTTCCCCTCTCCTTTTATAAATTTTTTTGTCATGTTTGTTATTTTGGTTTTTCAAACCAAAGGCATGTCATTATACATCCCTTTCACTGCCTGTAAAGGCAAAAAAAGGGTATCCACATTTACAAATACTTCACAGCACTTTCTAAGAAAAATATACACTTAGAAAATATTTTACAAATTGGCACACTGAAAAATATACAAGATTCATCAAGAGTTATTTTGGAATCCCTCTGGCAACAACTCTGACAATATTTATAAAGCTAAATATTCTTTTCAACAAAAACGGCAAAACATAATTCTAATTAATGTCAAAATCATGGCAGAATTACATCAAACATAACAGTATCTTATACATTCATAAATAGGGCACAGAGGATTTCTTCATCCTTTTTTCAGTTACCTGTAAGTTCATTTGCTTTCAAGCACCTTTCAGAGGCAGCTCAACAGTGGTACATCATATAAAACTCTTGTTGGAGAGGAAGTCAAATACATTCAATGAACAATGGGCAGGGATGCTATAAGGCAGGCTACTCCACACCAGCTGGTGGTGACACCTCTCCTGATCCCCCGTCTCAATGGCTAGCCTGGCAACTTGGAGAAGATGGAGGGGAAGGGGGGTTTCGAGAGACAAAGGTCTTCACAATAAATATCGATCTCTGATGGATAGTATCAATTTATGTCAATTGAAATAAATTGTAGAAATCTAATACAGAGCTCCATGTTGGTGCAGTGGTAGGTGAATCCATGAGATTGCATGAGATTACATGAAGCAGTGTACTAATCTTGAGTATAGTACAAATTCAAACCTCAAGATTGAACTAACCTGTTAGAGCATAAAGATTTCTTATTGACACAGTGCTACTTTTTAGTTGCTGAAACAGCTTATGGCATTTTCCTCAGCTTTCTACAGGACCTATTTAATCCCCTTCTCTGTATCGCCATGCTGGCTGTTGATTTTGAGTTCAGATGGCAATCATTTCAAAGGAATGTATGAAAGAAAAGACAGTCGTTTGCATTTTGGTAAAAGGTGTATCACTGTCAGCTGCAGGTGCTTGGCAAATGGAATGGATCCCAAGTGTAAGATCTCTAGAATGTCGACCGGCCACCAAAGTCCAGAACCCCCACCCCCCAACCCTAACAAAAAGAACATGAAACAGCAAATATACATATAGATAGAAAATATTTATACAGGTACTTGTTCAACGTTTGGCACATTAATTCCATTTTCAACAATTATAATTATCGTCATATTCTGCAAATAGTGCATATGTCTCTGTACAATAGCATTAACAAATTGCAATTCTGGGTACTTACTCCACTTACCCTCCCACCTCCTCTCCCCAAACCATGGCAAAAAGCCAATGACAAATAATGCCATTTCAAGATATTAAGAAAATTAGGACAGTATGAGAAAGTCATCTTATCGTTAATACAAAAATGTCCATTTTTTATTCTGAAAAGTCTGGTTCCCAGCAGAACAGCAATACAGTTCTCCTACACCAGTAAAACATCCACAAATGGAATGGCTGGGTGATATCAGTAATGATAGGACACTTTTATTGTACCCTTGTGACTAACTCTACTCCACTCTCTCTTCGTACACTGAAGGCAACCATTGACTGAATGTAAGGACGGACAACTTTTGAACTGTAATTTTAAACATTTGTGGAGAGCCACAGACTGAATTTGGACATTGTTAAGGTGGGGCAAGCTGTTCCGCTGAAATGGAGAATTGAAAAAACAAAGCAAACCATTAAGTATCACAAATATGACTTTCAAAACAGTTTCAAGGCAATTTTTCTTATTATACAAAAGTCAAACCTAAAGTAACAATAAACAAAACAAACTAAAGACCAAGAAAGGTGAATCAAGCAGCAGTGTAAGAAACAAAATGCAGCCACAGTAGTTCGAAATCCCAGTCAAGCTAGAGACAATCAATCACATAATAGGTAGTTTCACAGGAACAAATAAAAGCTCACATGCAAGTTATTTCAGGGTAAAAGAAGGAGGTGGGGTAGTCAGGGTTAATGTCTTTGCCATGCAACACTTGGATTTAAGTCAAAAAGGGAGAGCAGTAAGGGAACCCAGGGAACTTAGCAAGAGGCGGGAGGAAATAGAGTGAGGGGGACGTATTTTGCAGCCACTGTTACAAAATATTACCTCAGTTTCTCATAAGAGGCCATCAGAGCTGCGTTCTTGCCCGAGTCCCGCTTCCCTGTATTGTTTTCGTCTCGAGCAAATTTTGCACTGGTTTTGTGACGGTACATTTTTTTGTGTGCGGGCCCACAGATGCCAGGTATACCGAGGCTGGACTTGTTGAACATGTTGCAGTCTAGAGTGAGAGGGGGGAAGAAGGGGTTTGAAGGAATGAACTTGGCCTGGTTTTTGGCACCCCTGCCAGTTGCCTTCCTGCCCCTTCCTGTCCCAGGGGAGGTGGCATAACCACCCTTTTTCCTGACGTCAGCTGTTGTTCCCGCCAGGATTTTGAGTGTCTTAGTTTTAAGGCTGTTGGCCTCTGGAGGCTGACAGAGTCCAGACATGGGGTCCCACAGTGGCTCGATGGACACCTTCATAAACCTCTCGACCTCTGCCATCCCAGAGACTATGTTGGACAGGATGTTGGAGGGCTCCTCAAACTCTCGCTGGTCATCATCCACAGCACTGTTGTTGTTGTTACCGTCTGCCCAGCCCCCACCGTGCTCCACCAGTAAAGGCCAGTCTTCTGACAGTCCAGCAAGACCTTCACTTTCTTCACCTTTCGCCTTTGCCTTTGCCTTTGCATCAAGCAGGGCTTTTAGCTTTTTGGATGAACGAGAATTCTGTCTAGGGGCTTTGTTCTTCTCTGTCTTGGGAGCCCTTGGAGCCTTGGTTTTCTGTTTACTGGTTGTTTTCCTTTTTGACTTGGGACCTTTAGTTCGGCCTCCAATGGATTCAGCCTGCTCATCAAAGACGTCCGTGCCGTCAATCTTATCATCTAAGCCTGTGCCGTCATTGTCATTGAAAGTATGGAACTGGAACTGATGATTGTTTATCGCTCTACCATCATGATTATGTTGTGGCAGGACATTACAGTCCCACTTAGTCCCATCAGGTGTAGCTGAGAGAGTAATGTCTCCTGTCTCTCCTTGAAACTCACTGGCCTTTCCTAGGCTTTCCCTCATTTCTGGACCCATCACCTGTGGGGAGAGATTTGGTGTGTCGGGTGGCGACATCTCTGACAACGACGAGTGCCTAAACTTATCGGGGGTGAAGTTGGAGATGTCCAGTAGGTCTGTGGATTCCCTAAGGGGAGTGATTTCATCAGTACTTTGCTGGATCACCAGTTTGGGACTACAGTGGGCCAAGAAGTTGTCGTTCACATCCTCGTCACTCTCCTTCTCACAGGACTTGTGACTCATAGAGCTGTAGTTGCTGGAGGTGGCAGACAGTGAACCCATAGAGTCATAGCTGGCCAGCCTGCTGTTGTCTGTGTTTAGAGCGACTCTATGGAACTGCACCTGTTCCTCTTCAGCTGACCGGCTGACCTGTAGGGTTGAGTCTGGTCCTGGTGGCTCTTCAGGTAAATGTGCCTTATCATTCAGCAGTCTGTTGCCATCTACATTGACTTGACTATATCCTGACAATGGCAAGTTGTTTGTCATTGGCAAAGGCATGGTGCTGGAAAAGCCAGCAGATTCAGGTGGAATGTCAGGTGTAAATGGTAGCGGTTCACTTCCAGACTGCCATGATATGTGAGTGAAGTTTGGTTCCATCTGATTGGAGTTAGAGGGGGATTGTTGGAGCTCGGACTCTGAGGGAGGGGATAGAACACAGCTCTGGGCCAGCTGTAGGTTAGTGAAGGGATTCTCCTCCTGGTAGAGGCCATGGGGAAACTGTTGTCGGGGATTCTGCTGCTGCTGCTGGGAGTAATATGACAGTCCAGTGTTACTGGATGAGTCAGAGGCATCTAGTAATGTCTGCAGGTAGCCTCCGGGGATGACAGGTAGACCACTATTCACATTTACAGGATGGGTCATTGTGCTGGAAGAGGAGCAGGGTGCTGGTGTAAAAGTGGACTTTTCAGTGGGGTCGACACTGACAGTGGAGTCATCACAAAGCTGTGGGCTGCCTGCTTTGGAATAAACAATGTCAGTTTTCTGATTTGGGGATATTGGGGCAACCTTTCGTAGGTGTATCACAGTTTTACCATCCTCCTGCTGAGCCTCTGTAATGTTTTTCGACCTCAGTCTGGCCTCGCTTTTAAATTTCCTTATTTTCAAAATCTTATTTCCAAGTCTTTTTCCCTCCCTCTCTAGCGATCTACTTTTTCCTGTCACACTGCCTTGGTCTAATCTTGCAGCACAGTCGGAGGTCGTTGTTGTTATTGATGCCATATCTATACAGGCAGCCTGATCCTCAGCTGCTCGCACCTCTTGCTTGTGATCGGCGTGGTTTGGCGAGAGCTCTACAGTGTGAATTCTTTGAATCCGGACTCTATTTGCAATCCTGTATTTTCGTTTTGTCAGGCTAGAATTAAGGGAACGCCTGCAGCCATTCGGAAATCTGTTTTTATCACCAGCAGCCAGCCTGCGCTGCTCCTGCATTTCCTGGCGCCTCTTTTGCCAGTAGTCTTTCAGAGGGGCCATTCTCTGGTACTTATGAACTAAGTCCTTACTTAAGCTTACTGTTGTCTCTGATGTGTCAATTTTGCCAAGCTTTACTAACATGTGCTTCTCCCCTTTAAATCGGTTTATGATGATGTATTTGATTATCACCGGACGCTCTTTTCGTGAGGATTTTCTCCTCTTCTTTGGACACCAGTCGTCATCCTCCTCTTTTTTTGGACCCACCGGCTGCTTCTCTTTTTTCTCTGTGTTCCTCTCACTCTCAATAGAATCCACGTCATACAGATAGTCGTCGCTGTATCTGACTTTCCTCTTGGACCTCAGCCCATAGCTCAGCTGGCTAGAGGAGCTGGAGTTCTCCCTGGAGAGGAAGCAGTATTTCCGTTTGGTCTGGCAGGTGTCAAGGGAGGATCCAGTACAGGAGCTGTCATCACTGTACTCTCCAGAGTCCTCTGTGGAGTTGTTGAAGTCAAACAGGTAGCTGCTCTCTGGACTGACATTTGGCATCACTTCAGCAGAGCTGCTGCTGTTGTTTTTGTCAACCCTTTCTCCAGTCACCCAGACTTCAACCTTCTCTCCATTCACCTGCGGCCCTTCAGCTTCCTTCTTCACTGCTCCCTCGCCCTCCTTTTTGGCCACGACGCTCGGGAAGAAGTTGAACTGGGTTTCCTCCTGAATGGTATTGGTCTTCTCTCGGACGTTGTCCTGGAAGGACTCGTAACGTATCTTCAGCGAGCACACGTCGCTGCCCAGGGTGGAGTCCTCATCATCAAACATATAGTTGTCTACGTCCTCTTCTGAGAAGAGGTTGACAGAGAGCTCATTCTTAGAGCAGAGGTCCAGCAGCTCGATCTTACTCTCGCTAATAAAGGACTCAAAGCAGCCCCAGTCCTGGCTGGAGTTGGCCAGCAGAGCCTCCTCACCATTGCACTTATCCAGGAGCAGGCCTTCGTAGATACTCTTTGACGTGGCATCCTCCGAGTCACTGTCCTCCGCTGACTTCTCTTCATCTGTCTTCTCCTCCCCCCTGACCTTGTGCTCTGGGTAGCTGAGGAGCTGGTCGGAGAGCAGCTGATCCCCGTAGCGGATACCATCCCCAGAACTCATGCACTGCATGGCCATGTCAGGACAGGAGACAGGACAGGGGTCGTAGTCCCGGCCCAGGCCCAGCCCTGGCTCAAGCTCTGTAGCGTCCTTGGTCTCAATGAAGCAGCCCAGGCAGGTGCGGCTCTGTGGCATGAGGCAGTCCCCCCCAGACAGGGCCGAGACACTCCCTGTCTCCATCATGGTGAAGGCAGCCTTGTCACTACAGTCCTCTGGAAGAGCCCAGTGACTCACTAACTTGGTGGAGCAGGAGGAGGTGAGGGAGATGGCGTGGGTGGAGGAGGAGTCATCAGTGGTAGTGGTGGTGGTGCTGGGCTCAGGGGTCTCTGTTGGGCTGAGAGGTGAGGATGGGCTCAGTGAGGTCCTCTCACTCCCAGGGCCTCCTTTTGGTGGATTGGCTTTAGGAGGGGTACTGGCGCTGTCTGGCTTCAGAGAACTGTCCTGGTTGTGTGATTCTGTAGAGTGGAACAGAGAGATATTATCAGATATCAACTAATTCACTTGTGAACTCACTGATGGACAATGTGAGAGTACTTTAACGTACTGTATTTCCTATATAAGATGACATTTTAATATACTATACTATTTCCTTTCTTTAATTCTTTTTCATTTTCAGCTCAATGTACACAGTGTACAAAACATTAGGAACACCTTCCTAATATTGAGTTGCACCCCCTTTTGCCCTCAGAACAGCCTCAATTTGTCGGGGCATGGACTCTACAAGGTGTCGAAAGCGTTCCACAGGGTCACTGGCCATGTTGACTCCAATGCTTCCGACAGCTGTGTCAAGTTGGCTGGATGTCCTTTTGGGCGGTGGACCATTCTTGATACACACGGGAAACTGTTGAGCGTGAAAAACCCAGCAGCGTTGCAGTTCTTGACACACTCAAACCAGTGCACCTGGCACCTACTACCATACCCTGTTCAAAGGCACTTAAATATTTTTCCTTGCCCATTCACCCTCTGAATGGGACACATACACAATCCATGTCTCAATTGTCTCAAGGCTTAAAAATCATTCTTTAACCTGTCTCCTCCCCTTCATCTACACTAATTGAAGTGGATTTAACAAGTGACATCAATAAGAGATCATAGTTTTCCCTTGGATTCACCTGGTCAGTCTATGTAATGGAAAGAGCAGGTGTTCCTAATGTTTTGTACACTCAGTGTATGTTCCTAGCCTCTCTTACAGTTGGTAAAATGCACAGGTCATGTTTTTTCAAACAGGCTGCACAAAGTAATAATTCTGTACAAAGACGTGGCATAATAGAGCTAATTCAAACTGAAAAGGGGAATTCAGCTTTTTCTTGAAAAAAATGAACTGCTCATCATTAATCACCATCATTGTGTTTCTTGTGCTCTATCATTTGTGATAAGAATGCATTGAGAATAAAAGCCATAATAGAAAGTAATCATGGGACAAATTTAGTGGAAATATAGAAATCATTAGCCTATTTTTTCAATCTTAAATAAGGCCTCTGCCTTTTCTTTTACTCTGATTGAACATCTTTATGTTGATGTATTTATAGGATGCATGGAAGGAATGACAAAGGTAATAACCTTTTCCCCTCCTCTGTGTGAGTGGTCTTTACCCTTTGACATTCAGGGTCATTAAGGATGGGAGTGTCATGGGAAAAAGGATGATAAGTACTTTCAGAAGTAAAAAATTGAGGAAAACATTCCACACATTCATTAGACCATTCAGAGGCAGAAAAGGTTAAGTTCACTAAATATCAAGGCTGTGGCTTCTTGCCTTTCAGTTCTGTGAAGGTCACAGCCAAAATAAATAGCAGAGGAGGTGAAAACAATGCGTACTGTAGCATCTTGTTCCATATAAGGACTATGTGCCTTCATTGTAACCAGCAAGGACATAATATACTGTGATAATGTAGCAGCATTCCCTCTGTTCCTTCATAAAAACACATTTTTAAAATGCTATAACATACAGTACTATATGATCCAATATAGCTACACCTGTGGAGAAGAATTAGATCTTGTTGTGTCCCTTCGTTTTTTTAATTCAAGTAGGCCTAATGTGTTTCTAGCAAAGCAACATACAAATGTCTTTACCATTCTCATCCTCTTTGTTGATCTGTTCCAGGTTTGAAGCCAGCACAGCAAAGTTGGGTTCTTGAAAAACATCCATCAATTTAGCGTGTTTCTTGTTGTCCCTTACATTATTACCAATATCCAACCTGCAGAGGAAGAACACAGGACACATGAAAACACTGGTGCTGACCAAAGGAAAAGGCGTATTATGTCATCATAATAATATATACTGCCACGCAAATCTTTGTTGACTATCGTCTTTGCAACTACAACATACAACAGGCTTTATTTATTTATAAGGATCCCCATTAGCTGCTGCATGAGCAGCAGCTACTCTTCCTGGGGCTTCAAAAGAGGCTAGGGAATATTCGGGATACTATCTTTCTACCTTTAGCCCAAGATTCTACTCTTTGTTCCTGTAAAATATACAGTGAGCTCCATAATTCACTGGACAGTGACCATTCTTTTGTTATTTTGGTTCTGTACTCTAGCACTTTGAGTTTGAAAGGATACAATGACAATGAGGGTGAAGTGCAGACTGTCAGCTTTAATTTGAGGGTATTTTCATACATATCGGATGAACCGTTTACGAATTATAGAAGCTTTTGTACATGGTCCCCCCCATTTTCGGGCATCAAAAAACATGGGACAGTTTAACATAATGTAGAATAAAGTAATCATTGTTAATATTTGGTCGCATATCCTTTGCATGCAATGACTGCTTGAAGTCTGTGATGCATCGCCATCACCAGACGCTGGGTATCTTCCCTGGTGATGCTCTGCCAGGCCTGTACTGCAGCCATCTTCAGTTCCTGCTTGTTTCGGGGACTTATTGCCTTAAGTCTCCTCTTCAGCATGTAAAATGCATGTTCAATTGGATTCAGATCTGGTGATTGACTCGGCCAGTCAAGGATTTTCCACTTTTTGGCCATCAAAAACCCCTTTTTGCTCTAGCAGTATGTTTAGGGTCATTGTCTTGTTGCATGATTAAGTGCCGTCCAATGAGTTTGGAGGCATTTGGTTTTATCTGAGCAGATAAAATATTTCTGTAGACTTCAGAATTCATTGTTCTACTTCTGTCTGCAGTCACATCATCGATGAAGACAAGTGAGCCTGTTCCACTGGCAGCCATACAGGCCCAAGCCATAACACCCCCTCCACCATGTTTCATGGATGAGGTGGTATGCTTTGGATCATGGGCATTTCTTTTTTTTCTCCACACTTTTGTCTTTCCATCACTCTGGTACATGTTAATCTTTGTCTCATCTGTCCACAATACTTTTTTCCAGAACTCTTGGGGCTCTTTTAGGTGCTTTTTAGCAAACTGTAATCTTGCCTTTCTGTTCTTCAGGCTTATCAGTGGTTTGCATCTTGTAGTGTACCCTCTGTAGTCCTGCTGGTGTAGTCTTCTGCGTATGGTAGACTTTGACACATCTACACCTGCATCCAGGAGAGTGTTTTTGATCTGTTGGGCTGTTATCAGAGGTTTTTTCTTCACCATAGAGAGTATTCTCCGGTCATCCACTACAGTGGTCTTCCTCTGTCTACCGGGTCTTTTGACATAATTGAGTTCACCGGTTGTTTTTTTCTTGTTAATGATGAACAAAACTGTTGACTTGGGCATGGCCAGGGTTTTTGCAATGTTCCTGAATGATTGATTTTCATTTCTGAGCCTTATGACGGCCAACTTCATTTGCATCGACACTGCTGTCTTCCTCATGTTGTCACACCCCAATAACAACCTCCAAAGGCAATAGCAACGTCTAGAATCATTACTATTCATCAACAGCTCTCCTGCATTCACTAACGACACAAATGAATACACCTGCCTAACGACACACATCTGTGAAGCCAATTTAACAAATACTTGTAGTACCTTAAAATGGGGGGACCATGTACAAAAGGTGCTGTCATTTCTAAACGGTTCATCCAATATGTATGAAAATACCCTCAAATTAAAGCTGACAGTCTGCACTTCACGCTCATTGTCATTGTATCCTTTCAAACTCAAAGTGCTAGAGTACAGAACCAAAAGAACAAAACAATGGTCACTGTCCAATGAATTATGGTGCTCACTGTATGTCCCCATCTATGGGCTACCAAGGGATATTGTATTGGGCACCATTATAGGAGACTGCCTTATACTGTATCTAGTAGGCTTTTAAACACCTGAGCCTCAGTCTGCATGCAAATTGCAGGCACATCCTCCTGGCCTTTTGTTGATCGCTTTAATCAAGTGTTTCTCAAGTCTCAAAACTCCTCAAAACATGCTTGCTGAATGAGAATTGTTCTAAGAAAATGTCAGAAGAAACAATAGTATAAAATCACACCAAAAAAAATCATATTTCTGTACCATATTACATTTTCCTTGCTCTCTAACTCTCTTGTTCACGCTCTCACACTCCCCGTCCTCCTCCCACTATCCCTTTTCTTGCAGCCAGGGAGAAAAAACAAATGTCCAGATTAATGGAGACGGAGAAGAAGCAATAAGAGGTTGCATAAAATTAGCCCTCTGTCCAACGATCATGTCCACTTTAACACATTATTAAGCCATGTTGTTTCTCCTGGAGGCAATTTGTGACAAAGGTTTGTGAGCCGCATGAAACAAGACTATCTGCCAGTGCAGTGCTGACTCACTGCCAGCTAGAACGATACTGTTAACCTGGCCTGGTTCTCTGTGTCATTAACCTGGGCCTCTGTCTGTGTTAACCTGGCCTTGGTTCTCGCTGTGTTTTAACCTGGACTTGGGTGTCTGCATTAACTTGGCCATATGTCTATGTGTTAACCTGGCCATATGTTTGCGTGTTAACCTGGTCATGGGTCTCTGTGTTAACCTGGCCATCGGTCTGTGTTAACCTGGCCATCGGTCTATGTGTTAACCTGGCCATGGGTCTCTGTGTTAACCTGGCCATGGGTCTATGTGTTAACCTGGCCATCGGTCTATGTGTTAACCTGGTCTGGGTCTCTGTGTTAACCTGGCGGGTCTCTCTATATGTTTACCTGCCAATGGGTCTCCGTTTTATCCTGGCCTGGGTCTCTGTGTTAACCTGGCCAACCATGGGTCTCTGTTAAAGCTGAGATCCGCGTTAGGTGAAACAGCGCCACTGGCCGCCCCATGCGCATTTGTTATTGTTTTGAGGAAATGAGCATCCAGCATTGTGGTAAAAAACAATCGTAGTACATACTCTGCTGTTCTATCGCAATGATGTGCAATGATGTCAGAGGAGAAGAAACAGTGTTCGTTGTTTAAAGTAACTTCTTTGTTGTTGTAATATTGTAAACAGACATGGCAGTTTTACCGCTATGGATTGCAGCTTCAACCTGGCCAACCATAGGTCACTGTGTTAACCTGGCTATGGGTCTATGTGTTAACCAGGCCATGGGTCTCTGTGTTAACCTGGCCATAGGTCTCTGTGTTAACCTGGCCATGGGTCTATGTGTTAACCAGGCCATGGGTCTCTGTGATAACCTGGCTATGGGTCTCTGTGTTAACCTGGCCATGGGTCTCTGTGTTAACCTGGCCATGGGTCTCTGTGTTAACCTGGCCATGGGTCTCTGTGTTAACCTGGCCATGGGTCTCTGTGATAACCTGGCCATGGGTCTCTGTGTTAACCTGGCCATGGGTCTCTGTGATAACCTGGCTATGGGTCTCTGTGTTAACCTGGCCATGGGTCTCTGTGTTAACCTGGCCATGGGTCTCTGTGTTAACCTGGCCATGGGTCTCTGTGATAACCTGGCTATGGGTCTCTGTGTTAACCTGGCCATGGGTCTCTGTGATAACCTGGCCATGGGTCTCTGTGATAACCAGGCCATGGGTCTCTGTCTACCACTGTGCACTAATCTTACTGGGAAGACTCTAGTCTACACTAAGTTATCAGTATGAGTAATTGGTAAGCAGTTTGAAAATCTTAACATTAGAATTGTCTAATCTCAGCACTGCGTAGAGAGGGACCATTGGAAAGTAGTATAGGGTGAGAGTTTGCAGAGACATGAAAAATTATTCAGCGGGAGATGCTCAGCATCTTTTTACAACTAAAAACAACACCTGGCGGGCCCAAGATGACAAATGCGTGAAAGTATAACTGCCAGACTTGAATCCATTATTGGGGTAGCATCTGTGGTTATCAGACCCTTGTGAGGCACATTCAATTTATTTTTTTCCATTTCTGTATGCAGAGAAAAGGAAAACACATCCCATCATATGAAATGAAATGATGTTATTTCTAAGAGGCCCAGGTTATCAGAGCTCTCTCTCTACTCAGAGTGCGGGCCACTGGCCCAGAGGCTCTGAGGTGATTAAACAGAAGGGATCACTGCTAATGCAGGAGAATCACTTTCAGTCCACATTCACATCCACATCACCTGATCCATCTGCTGCAATCAGGGCTCAAAATGGGAGGATATGTGACACTGACATTGCTCTGAGTCTTTCTTCTCAGGAGGAACAACTGACTTCCAGGAGAAAACACTGAAATCACAATTTCATATGAAACAGAAATCAGCTTTTGAAGAAGACTGGTTGAAAGACGAGCCATATGGTGGTGCTGGGCTACAGCATAGCAAACATAACGTATGATTGACCAGTTTCACTTCAAATAATGAAACACTACAGTATGGGTTTGTAGTAGGGCATATCAGTATACCATTGCAGAGGTATGGTGATGTTATAGCAAATGGTAAGTCTTCAACATTCAACTTTCAAAATCCACTGCACTGTATATTTTACTATATTACATCATACTGCACTCTGCATGCACTCATTCCTTTGTTTGAAGCCATATTGAGCAAAATTAGGAAAAACAGTGTATTCTTAGCTGCTGAGCAAGGGAATAAAAACACATCTCCTGAAGTGTTGCTTATTGGTTTAATTGACTTGAGGCCACATTCAGTACAGTACGTATGTGAGGGGCTGTGGGTACCTAATAAGTAATGGTTGCATACTAGGGCTGGGAAATACCAGGGACCACCCGACACGATATTATCACCATACTTAGTTGCCGATACGATATGTATTGCAATTCTCACGATTCTACAGTATGTATTGCGATTCGATACTGTGATTTTATTACGATTCGATGTTCCAAACAAAAGTCAAGGGGTCTGAATAATTTCTGAATGCACTGTAAATAGCAAACAGGAGTGGGGA